GGGAATAATGAATGCGAAGATTAAGATAGAGATAATAAAAAATAATGATAATAAGGGAAAAATTGTATAAATGAAAATAAAGGAAGGGGGTAAGAGGTTAATAATATTCAGTCTAGATATTCGATGATCCAGTCGTAGGCCAAGATAAACAAGGAGGCTGGATATATTTTTTATGGATACATAAATTTGGTCTTCTGGAGTTGATCCAGATGGCTTCAGCTATGCAAGCAGTCGTAATCTAGCTCCTTGAGGTAGATATTTTGGAACTTGATGTAAAACAGAGAAAGCCTCCTCTCTTTTGATATGATGTTCACTATCTACCAAGTGAGAAAGAATAGTGCTGTTAATCGATTGGGTAACTCCTTTTCCCAACCATGCTGGTACATGTTCACGAACACGCAAGGATAAAGCCCTCTGAGTACGGCCTGTGTAACTAGCTCTACAGGAGCAGTTGAATTGGTGTCCGATTTATTACGCCAATGAAGTGAACTGTCGTGACTTTATGGCCCGGCTAGTTATCACGCATCTATTCGCCAATCAAAATACGACTTATTCGCGCTTATACTGTACTAAACCAATGGCGTGCGACCGGTCTGATCAGCCTAGCGTCCTACTGGTCCGTTGCTTACCTAACCCGTCCAGCTGAGTCCAGAGTGCTAATAACAGCCTACACTATGATAATCATTTATTTCAGATATACTGGGTTTATATATCAAACAAACAGACTGCGATGCACCATAAAACAGGAAATAATATTCGTACAAATATTGCCAAAAAAGGCAGTGAACGTGGGAGACAGTATATATATATATATACCCCTTATTATAAGCTTCGTTCTAACCTATAAATTATTATTGTACGATCTATACTCAGTTTATTAATTACTGTCTCCTACGTTCACTGCCTTTTTTGGCAATATTTTGTACGAATATTATTTCCTGTTTTATGGTGCATATATATATATATATATATATATATATATATATATATAATCTAGCTACTAAATAGTTATACAATAAGAATATATAGATAATATTACTTCATTAATAGGTCTTCAAAGATACCCGTAATTTGATCTTCACTAGGATATAACATGACCGGTATTTCAAGTTCTACTGTATCATACTTTGGCATTCATTAGTCCTTTTGAGTTCCATATGACCTAGCAATGTTAACCAACTTAAATGTAAATGTGGTGTTTGTATGAACTAATGGTTCTTTTGTACATGATGATTTTCTAATTTCAAATTCCAAATACAATGCTTTCGATCGTGCTCACTTAGTTCTATTTGGCCTTGAGTACTTTATTTCTGGGATTCCCATTTCTTATAATAATTCAAATACTTCTAACCATTATAGTAAAAATCCGATTTTTTTCAGCAATTCTGTTCAAATCTTGTCTCATGTTAATGAGATGTAATTTACTGGGGTTATATGCAGTGTTTTAAGGCCTTAGTAACTGTAGTGTTTGTTGTATCTACTGTCTTTCTCCCATCCATTTAATGGAGGAATGTTACATAATCGCTATGTAATATTCATATTTTCATTTTTACAGCTTCTGATATTACCAGTGCTGCTTTTGTAGCGAACAAGAACACCAGTGGGGACAATCAAATGCATTTGACACAAAATTACAGGACTTGCTGATAAAATCTAACAAGCAAATATTAAATACGTAATTTGTAAAATGTCCATCAATTGTCTCATAATGACTCAGACTTCATTGTTCTTGCGTTTTCATAAAAATTGCATTCTGTTCCCATTCTTTACTGTTCGATTATCTTGTTTCTCTGCTGCCAGACATTCTGTTGTCCACGAGGGACGTCATATACCACTCATGTCAATATAAGTAGCACACACCACACCATGAACATGGTGTAGAGATAGTGAAATGCCACTGAGCCCTAGCCAGATCATCTGGGTCACTGAATATCGAACAGACCATCGATCCCTGTCAAAGTCTAGCACAACCAACGCGCAGTTAATCGTACGCAATGGACTGGCATATGCGGTGGTGATCACACTTTCGCATGTACCTACTTTAAACAATATATTCCTGTAATAAAGTTCTGTGTGTTGTACACTCCTTAAATCATCCATAGTACCTTGATACGGCCAAGCGGTAATCCACTTTAGGTGCTGACCGCAAGGTGTGACTTCAACGTTAGCTGTTGGTCACATTATTCCTGTTTAACTCGAGCAGGTCCCCAATCACTCGACAGAGATCATCAATGATGATGATCTACAATGGCATTGCAGATCAGCTAAAAATGCAAAGTGAAAAACGAGAACACTATAAAAGTTATGAATTGAAACAACATTTTTAATGAAACATGCACTCTAATATGCAGTAATGACCGACTCAGTGAAAGGGAAAATATATAGACTTAAGGCAAATTTCTACTGTAACATAGGTAAGTGATGTATACATTCCAGTTAATCACAGTCAGAGGTTTAAAATCACAGAATTTCTTTTCCTTCATTGTATCTACTTTTTAATGACTTACTAGCTGATGAAAATTTCAAAAACGTCTAAATAATGTGCGGGGTGTAAGTAATAGAACATTTGTAATGCGAAGTGTTCTTACGTTTGTTGTGATCTATTATAATGTCGACAACACAAGTTTATGTGATGATTAGAAGTATTTGAATTATTATAGGAAATATAAATCCCAGAAATAAAGTGCTTCAGGCCAAATAGAACTAAGTGAGCACGATCGAAAGCATTGTATTTGGAATTTCAAATCAGACAGTCGTCAAATACAAAAGAATCTGTAGTGACTCACATTTATCACGAGAACACGACTGGTTTATTAAAAACAATTATTATTATAACCAACTATACCAGTGTTTGTTTTAACGTGCTTTTGTTTGACTGTGCTAATGACAGCTATTTTGTGCTTCCATTCATATACTTACACTTTGATTGTAACTTCGCGCGAATTCGGTTACGTTCTGTAGCCAAGCTTGTATCCTGGCACGATCTCGGTATCCTCTCGATACCACGAGATCGCCAGCAAATATACACCTCGATTTGGTCCATTAATTGCCTTCTGGTATTTGGCTTCTCGGGGATTTTATGGATCTATTTGGTTACGTTCGATCCTCGCCTTCTGATTCATTTGCCACGTGTTTCTTCTGTAGCGGTGTTCATAGTTAATTTCAACTCGACGCCACGCTACAAATCATTAGCTTATACAAACAGCACAACCATCACAGCCTAACTTGAAATCTAAGTTTATGTAGTCGATTGTGTGTCGTCCACTTAAGTTGATTGTATGCCTGTCAGATTGTGCATTGCATAATAACTCTATGATCTAGAATATACTTATTAGTAACACAATATAATCCTAGTTCAGCGTACTTTAAACCAAAGTTCATATTTGAATGTTGTTTACTTTTTACTCCATTCGGGACTATCACTAATTATTGATATCATTACGAAGTTCTGACTGGCACCTCTGCAAACATGGATCTTAATAATCTTGGGAAGTTACCAACTGACAGATCACTGTGAGAAACGGATATTTTGTTCAAGAAACAACTTAGTAGTCGGGCCATTGTTCTCCTCTTAGTGCCCATCAATGCTCGTGATAAAGAGCCCTACATCAACCAAAGTTTTCATTCCTTTATACGTCCATTCTTTTGATAACATCCTTATCAAAGATGTAAACTTACCGCGTTCTCAGGCCATGAAAAGTTTGAAAACATTTGTCTGTACACTTAGGCGTAGTTAAAGACCTTATCATCTTGAAGTGTAGATTGATTATACATGGTTTTAAAGTTAAGTCACTTAAGAGACCGAAGAAACGAAACAACGATTGTGAAGGATGTAATACTTTCTCAGAATAGACTTAAAAGATACATTTTTACGAGTTTCATGAGATGAAGTTTCGAGTGATCTAACTACTACCGATTCACTGTTCTGATGGTTTAGATACGACTTCTTACTTTTTGGACTGATATTCTTACCTGATACAGTCCAGAATGTTATAAATCAGACTGTTAAAGGTTCTAGTGGTACTGAATTTTATCACGATTAAATTGTAGTTCACATTGTAGAACTGTTATGTGGTCTTTGAAGTTACTTGAACTCCCTAATGGTATAAATATTTCGGTAAGGTCATAGCAACAACTAAATTGTCGTAGACCATCATCACAAGTCATCCAAGAGGCCGAACATCTGCCAGACTAGAAGATTTACATTGACCGTTGGATGTTTGATGAAAAGTAGTAAATATCAGCGCACATCTATGCGGTCGAATCATAGAGATTGTATGGATCTGCCCTTCAGGAGTAGTCACTGCAAATCCTTCCTTTTTATATTCAATTTTTTTTCTACCACCACACGGAATATGTTTTTTTACAAGTACTCACTAACGATTACACTGACTACCACGACAGAAATAATCAGCAGACTTCGACGCAATATTAAATGGACTAAGTACTCAAATCATGGCAAGTACACAATAATGGATTAAATCTGTTAGTTTAGTTGCACAAATAAATGCACTAGTACCGATATTATACATAAGTTTCACAAATCCCTTCCCGTGTCTAGTTCAACCTAATTGTATCAACTGTCTAAACTATATTATAGAGACAGAAAGTTTAAACGTGAGTGGGTCGTCTATTCCCACTTATTCAAGCACTAAGAATTCCCCAGAATTCAGTAAATTGATTGATAGTTTTTGATGTTACTACAGATGAAACATATATGTTTACATTTTGATTTTCTCGGAGTTAGCATGGAAACAATGACACAAGGACATCAAGAAAACGTTGAAGTTCCTAGACCATGAAGCTTTTTTCGGGTCAGTTTGACCAGCTGAACACTACATCCTCACTATAGTAGCATCACCACTGTGGATAGGTGCACTCCTGAAACAGAATGGGAGAACTGTAACTACTACTACTACAGAGGTACTATTATTCCCAAGTTTCTTGAACATTATGTGTCTTGTTTGTCTCACGTTCCAGTTGTGCTTTAATGTTTGAACACTTTCTCTCAAGGTTTTCTATACTTTCGTTTGGGAAGCGCGTTGTCCAAATTACGAAGGATCACAGCAATGTCCAACAAGCGTCCTTCATTAGTCCCTCAGAAAGGACCTAATTCTTTTAAAAAACCAAGGTAGTTTTTGTACAGTGATTTTGTGCAACGTTTAAGCCTACCAAATGTAGATATCGTGGTAGTTTCGAGATAAAAATATTTCTGCATTAGCATCGAGAGTACACGTGCGTGTAACCAAACTCATATGTGATGGACCTAACATCATTAAAAATCAAGGGTTATTTAGTGATTAGTACCAGTCTTGTTGAAAGTAAGGTCTGCACGTCCATTGGAAAACCCTTGTGTGACTTTGGAAAAACGCATCTTGAGTCCAAAAACTTTTGTTACTATTATTATTATTATTAACTAGGATTAGGGTTGGGAGTTAAAAGTTAGGGTTAGGATTTGTAGTTGATTTTCCATCACGAACTGACAGTTATGATGTCGAAATGCTATTTAACCTAACCAGTGGGTGAACTAGTCCCCAAAGTCCAAAGCTCGTTTTCTTTTATCTGATTGGTTCGCCCACAAACTATTACGTCGCCTGTTTTTACTGTGCTAAATAATATAGCTTGACTTGGGTCCTCATCTTTTAACACGGTTTGACCCTTTTTATCTTGAAGGCTCGTACGAGGCAGTCAGTAAAAGGGTGTTTCGAATTTCTTTGCAATGCAGTCGAACCGACGTTTTTACAGTATTAGACCAAATCCTAAGTTTCTTCGACAGTGATTTCGGTTGGATGGTGTTCCATGAGTATTATGGTGATCAGTAGTGAAGGTGATGCACCAAATCCAGGTTTGGCAAGTAAATCAATACAGTTACTTAAGCTTACAGCAGGTGAATCAATCTAACCTGACCAATGTGTCATTGTGTGATAAGTCACAGATTTGTTGGTTAATAGGCTTGCTTAGGTTATGGTTAATTATATCAGGATGAATTATACAGACTAATATCAGTTTGACAGTAAGATTCATTTCGCATTAACTGAAATGTTCATTTCTCTTCAACCAGAGGTAACCACGATGATACCCCAGAGCCCTCAAAGTTTGAGCAGGAACTAATGTTGTTGGATGACATCGAAACTGAAGATATAGCTTTGGTGGACGAAAGTTCGGCTTTGTCTCAACTAGACTTTCTAACGAATTCGCATTGGCCAAGACGTAGGTTGGAGAAGTTGGATCCAAATAAGTACAGTATTATTTTCCAGCAGTTTGATGTGTCACATTATAAAGTTAGTTTTAAAAAAAACATTTTATTGTACTCCAAACATACCTTAATCGAGTCTAAGAGTTGAAATTATTGTAAATAGTTTGATTTATTAGGCGATTGTAATTTCTACTTTGTGCGTTCATACCACCAGTCAGTTAACACCACTCGTCGAATCACTAAATTACTTGAACAGAAGACAATTTCCATGCTGTTTGTATTGTTTTTCATATCATTTAAGCTTGATAGATTATTTCTTTATTGCCGTCATCAATTGGTGTTTTGAATAGCTTTAATTACTTTCTTCGATTCAGTTATTCAGTAGCTATATGTGACTCGTTTGCGATCTTTAGTGTTGAGGATTTGCATCTGTATAATGTTGTCTTCATTTTTCATTATCTTGTAGGTGTTTTAATGAAATACTTTGCTTAGTAACTGTCGTTTCAGTGATATGTAGTATAAATTCAGCCTTCCTGAGTTTTATACTTGTTGACAGTCATTTACTGTTATGACCTTGATTTTCTACCCATTACTTTGTATGTACTACAAAGAGTTCGTCTCAAACTAGGTTTAGGGATTGATATGCTAGGTCACGTAGTAGCTACGAGACTCGTAACGCATGAGTTTCATTTATGACTGAAAGGCCTTGAGGTTAGAGAGAATAGTTATCGTACAACTGATTAGTTGGCAAGCGGCAAGGAAAGACGATTTAGCAGGAACTATTGGAATGAGTAATAATACAACTCAGTAAGTTGATGCGAATTCAGGGTATTCAACAATAAGTCACAATCCCACGTAACAAACTCGGAGTCACTTTGATGCATTGAATAGATTTGAATTCCAACTGTCAAGTTGTAAGCAAGAAATTCAAGTTATCTATTTCTTTATTGACATCCATGTCTTCTCACTAGCTCTTGTACAGACAGTGCGATTCAGAAATTACCCATCACACATGTTTTATTCTGATTTATCATTATAATCTGAGCAGGTCTGTAATTTAAAGGCTAGACCACTTTGGGTTGGAAATCTGTTTTCTACATCTGCGTTACTTCCTTTCGCCTTATAAAAATTTATCTTACCATAGTGAATTAAAGATAAATGTTCCAGGTCTAGATGGTTGTGTTCATTCCCGAGAATATGTAACGACATTAATCTGTAGTCAAACTTAAAATGTACATCTCAATGTTTTACATGTTAAAATATGCAGTCCAATAACTTGATATGTATTTACTTCCCTAGTCCTGGGTTTCTGTTTCATCCATTGAAGGCTATACGTTATATTTTATATACAGCTTGTGTATCTGCTCAGTGCACGAAAGTTAATAAGGCCTTCCTGGAAGCTGATGGCTCATGTGGATAGTGTTGTTATTTTCTTTCGGCACACATGCCGGACTACAATATGTTTTCGGCGTGAAATGATGTGATTCAGAAATCCTGGCACTTGTGAAACGTTAATCCGATAATACGATAGAGTAGTGGACTAGGATGCTTGCCATTGATCATTCATTCTAATTCACACTGTTCCCGCTATTCTCCAGGTACCTTGAGTTAGGAGCCGAATTTTAATATGGGCCTGGTTACTGTTCACTTATTCAATTTTCAGTTTCTATTTCACCTACTTATAGTGCCCTACCTCATTTTTTCTACATATATATTGTATTACATAAAAATACACTGTTCTCCATTGTTTACGAAGTTGATTCGCTTAACGTAATTTGACAAGAATTCTAACAATAAGCAGCGTACAGTTTACCGTAGAACCTTACCTGGACGGTCAAAATTACCCATAGAATTTTCACAAATTCTTTTTCATCAAGATATATTATTGTAATAAAAACGATTTGAATTATGATGTCTCTTTCTACCTTTGTCAAGTATTCACCATTAGACAAATAGTCTTAGAGTAGGACATAATTTTCCAAGTCATATGCTGTTTTCATACATGCTACACTGTGTCTGGAACTTACAAAATATTATGTATTTATGTATAATTGACGAGTTATTCAGTCGACTTAACAAGTAATATTATTAGTTAGTTGCTAAGACACAGGTGAGATATATTTCCTTAATAAAAGGTTTTGAAGTTCACATAGATTTTGAATGATGCTTTTGTTTTCAAACAATTAATTTAAAAAGTATTGTTGATTGATCTATTTTCTTTAAGCATACTTAGATCGTAATTTTAAATTGACTGGAGCGGTTAATACATATGTTACTCATCCCTGACCATATGGAATGTCGTTTGACAATGGAAATATTTATTGTTCTATGATAATCTGTTGTGTTCATGAATGAAGTCTTTTCTTTCATGTAAAACTCGTTTTGTATTGCATGTTACTAATACGGATTTACGTAGTTTTCTTTTGTAGTCAGATAACTATTTCACAAGGTTGTAATGATTTATCTTGTTTTCCAGGGTGAACATCTAACTGGTATGCCTGGTGCTACTCAAGGTCCTGTACCAATTATACGTTTGTTCGGTATAACTGAAAAGGGTCATAGTGTATGTGCGCATGTGCATGGTTTTCTACCATATTTCTATGTACCAGCACCGAAAGATTTTTCAACGGATCATTTGAATGCTTTTCGTGAAGCCTTAAATTCTATGTTATTAAAAGAGAAGTCAAAAGAGTTTGAAGGATTGCAACACCTCGTACTTAGAGTTACATGTGAAGAGAAACGAAGTAAGTCATTTTAATTGATATTTGAAATGCTATTCCTCTATTTTCCATCCTACTGCGTTTTCTTTTTGAACGTTACAACAGTATTTGATACTTGCTTTTTTGATATTTCTAAGCTTTTTATCTAGTGATAAAGTTGACTCTGAATGTTCTGATTTTCTTGGACGTTATTAGCTAAGAACGTTTTTCTTTTAAATCGTGATCATATTAAGTGGTTTAGGCAGTCAGTTATACTCAACGTTAACCTTGACACATGTCCATCGGTTCAAGTTGTAATACCAGATTATCACGGCAAGGTAAAATCGTTTCAAGACTAATCACAGAGTAGTGCGATTAGTAACATTATCAGTAGTAGTACCAGAAATGTAGTGAGCGGAAACTCAAGTGGGGAAAACTGATTTATTGTTTAATGCAGAATTACAGTGTCTTGGTCAAATATGGAAACCATACACTAAATACATTATTTCCACATTTTTTTCGCGTTGTCCCTTACATACTTTATTATTCCTCTAATTCTGTTGTTATTTTGGTTGCTCTGCAATTTTCTTTATGTTCTCTGCATTCCAATCTTCCGCTAACGGGCATTCCACTTCCTAATGTTCTTACATACCACTTATGTCGTTCAGCATAAGTAGCATACACCGCAGTAGTAGGAAAGATTTAGTACAGAAAAATAAAGAAAGTATACGATTTCAGGATTCGAGTTATTAAGGAAGGGTGAGTGAACCTACCCCATTGAGAACGATCCTAAGAAATGTCACCCAAAGCCTTTAATAATCGGTACGATAATCACTCAAATCTCAACCAGTTAGGTTACACCTATTAACATGGCTCAGTTAAGCTATAAATGACTTCAATTACTGATACCATATATTGATTTGATACTCCTAACTTTCTTTCAACCAACTCCCACACCAGATAAGATCTCATATCGTCGATATAGGCGGTAGTTGGATCTACTCAATACACTCGCCAACAAGCTCATTTAATAAAGATCACTACCTCATGGATCGATTTGTCATACGTATGTAGTACTTTATACCTGACCTCAGAATTGCTCACTGGTTTGTCTGAAAAGGTATGAGCGATGCTTGGAAGAGAGTTATGATCGAATACTTAGTCTATGAAAATCCTCGATTGTAGGTGGTCATGTTTGACAGTAATGAAATAGAACGAGTTGAACTACTATGCTATGATTTGATCCTTTAGTTGCTTACAATTAAATGTGTTGCAACCATCTCACAAATCAAATATTTTAAAATGATTCATTCCAGATACAGACCATCATGCGGTATCTGTTTACCAATAAACCATGTTGAATAAAGTGACAATATTTGACTTTGGGTAAGGGGACATATTCGCTGTGTTTAGTCTTTACTCCTACGATTGATACTAACTACTATTATTATGATTCCAACTTATTTGTTATGCATTCCATCAGTTTTGATTTTGCTGTATCGATTTAGTGTTGCGACTTTGATAAATACCCATGTATATCAGATTTTATAGCTGACCGACTGATTTATATTGTTAGTTGATGATAGATATAGAATGGCATAAAACTCGACATCTTTAGTTAATAATATTTATTAAACATATTTATGAAGTATGAGAAGTCTTGTTTTCAAATACCCTGAAGGCCATTTCTTTTTCTTTGTGATACTCTTCAATTTTGTACGGTTATTGTGACAGAACATAGTTTTGAGAGGTTGACAGTAGTCGACAAGAACCCCTAGATCAAGACCTCATTACGTGAGGGTTCAGATCCAACAAGAAGTCATAAGTTTCCTCAATACTGCAGGTATGCCTTACTAACAAGTACCAGCTAGCACAAAACCTAGACCCCCCCCCGACTACATCCTACAATGCAATACACACAATATCGACTAACTTAGAGTAGTAGTTACACCCTAGCTTAATTCATGGAATTCGATCAGTACCAAGGATAAATGTGGTACTGATTCACTTCTCAGTGGTCAAGCAATAGTGAGCTACCATAGTTTTGTCATAATATATGTTAGTTTAAGCGCTCAATAACACAAATTGTGATTTCCTAATAATACGAGTTGTTTCAAACCAATATTTGTTATAACTTCCATAGATGTATATGGTTTTCATGGAAATCGTAGTCTACCATTTCTTCGTATTACTTTGGCATTGCCACGTTTAATTGCACCAGCTAAACGTATATTAGACAATGGTTTATCATTTGCTGATTATTCATTACAGGTTAGTTTATAGTTTAAATGGTCTCTTTTCTTGTCAGTGTAATTTATTTACATGATTATCTACTTTGTATAATGCCCAATTAGTATCATATCTGTCTCCCCAATCCCCTTATTAAGTGAGATAAGGTTCGAAACTTTTTACTCGGAATTCAAATATCAAGTATAACCAGCAGTCAAGTTATCTTTCTATCAGGCTCAGAACGTTCAAACTAATAGGAAGGGGTTATTTTTGGCCCCATAGAGTAAAAATAAATGTTAGCGAAAAAAAGTTCAGTTTTTCTTGTAGATTGTTTATACCAGGAAAATTAACACCACACTTAAATCATATCCTTAAATTCCTAATCCTGAAGTATTTCTTAACAAGCTGGCTCTATATCAGCGAGACTCTAACTTGTGGACGAGCCAATCAGAGGCGTTTTAAAGATTTCAAGGTTACGGCCACAACTTCAGTGCTTAATGCTAACGTACTATCGGTTCACAGGGAATTTTGTACAAAACGTGATAATTGAGCGGCTATAACAAATAAAACGGCGGGACTATAATTTGTGGACGAATCAACCAGGTATAAGATAATAGATCTCGGATTTTAACGCGAAAGCCTCTCATCCATTTGGCTAAATAAATTTCTGGAATTATAGCTGATGAAAACCCCATATATAATTCCTAACTAAGGCAAATTACGACAATTATTACGAACTGGATAATAAAAGCACCAGCCACACTGACTGCAGCCAGGTACTACAATATATACGGATGTTTGGAGAGCGTACAGACTCTTACATAGGTTTGGTTATGCGCATCGTGTCGTTATCCACAAGTAGCATTTTGTGCACTCAACAACCGGTATGCACTTAAACAATATTGAAGCTATGTGGTCAAGGCTGAAAGAGTTTTTGAGACTTTATCATGGCTCGAGAGGCCGACTATTCTGTAGTCGTACGGATGATTTCCTCTACTGCATGCATTACGATTTTAGAACCTCTGAACCTCTTTCTAACCCTGACAAGTTTTTGAACCACGTATAAGAAGTGTATCCACTTTATTTCCTTGGTTTTGTATAACATATTTTTACTCTATACTGACTGTTTGCTGATTGGCTAATATTTTTCAAGGTTACTTAAGATTCGTTCAAAGGTCGTCCATAAATTGGGGTCTCGCCAAAAAAAATTTTTATATTAAAGCTGATGTCAGTTCATGATTGAAACCATAACCCTTAATCCTAATCCTAACCAAGAATAGTTTGATTGTTCCTTAAAAATTTATTTACGTCCTTTTAAGAGTTCTAGCATATGGACACTACATTAGAACAAGTTTGTGTGTCATTGTTCTTTCGATTTAAAGTTAGATCAACTTGTAGACCACTTTAATCGATTGATTATTTATGCGAAATCGGTTTACACTTTGTAATTTTATTATATTTTTTACCACAAACTATTTCACTTAGCTTTTTTCTAGTTGACTAGTAGCTAACTTGAAATTCGTCATGGTTTATTTAATCTCATCCCCATGTTTACTCCGGTTCTGATTACCATTGTGAGATGCTTGACTGAGTTTAAGGAAAATCTCTGTTTGAAATTCATTTCATATCTTTCCGCCGGTAGAAGCGATTGCTTAATAATTAAAGCACTGTTTTCAGTAGCTTGGTCACCCGTTCCAACTTGCATCTCATCTACTTCATTTAGAGCATAACCAGGTAGTTTTACAAGCCCTCAATATGTCCAAAAGCTTATACCGTAGATTTACACATGATAAATTAGTTATGTTAATCAATATTAATCAACTGATATCTACAACCATACCAGGTTTTTGTGGTAATCAATTGCCCGTCATCTATACTCTCTCCTGATAATGAGCTGGTTTGTGGACACTGGAGTAGATCTGTGCGAAGCTATAAACTTAATTTATTTCGCAGTATATATAACATATTAGTGTGTAGCCTGTTCTGCTGTACGTATCTTGGTTATGTCTTGTATGGGGTAATCCATGTGGCAATAGATCAAATTATTTTAATACCATGTTAAAGAATCATATGTAGAGTATATAAGACATTTAACACCATGATCTTTTATTGGTTTGATGGTGTAGTAAAGGCCATAGCAGCTCACCTACATTTGAGTTTGTATATGTTTCGTTTTGTTAAGCCCTTCAATTAACTTATTTAATAGGCAGTGTCGTTAGGTCAGTAAGAATTCGACTATAACTTTGTAGTAGTAGTATTATTATCATGTTTGTATGAGCATGTATTTCTGACCACGTGTTACAACCCACATGCATACTCCTCTTACTAGTTGATATGTTAGTTACTTAGATCTCTCAATGACTTATTCTCTTTCATGTATATATGTGATTTTTAGATCATAATAATTCATTCGTTCGCTTGTATTTATTCGCATTCGCATTTATATTCATATTCCTTTTGTGTGTTTGTATTTTTTTGATATGCTCTGTCCAATAATAAACTGTAGTCAACGCTTCGTATTGTCTCCTGAGACTTATACATTGTTGCGAGTTATGAAGTAATATTTATCGAGATGAATGGTTTACAAGCTGTTAGAAATTATTTCAAAGGTTTTCCGCTATAAGATATTTCAAATTCCAAACATTTGTGTACTTTTTCACCAGTTGATTCAAAATCAAGGTGTTAAGAATTACGCAGAAAAGTTTAGGATCAAACTATGATAGAAATCCATCAACCGAATAATTAACTGATCTTCAATAATTTGTAGATGTGTCTAACTTTTCATGTTAATTAGTAACCAAGATCAAATCAATCAGTCCTAATCAACATTCAGTTTGATACAAATGTGCGTTAATTCCTCAAGAGAGATGACTTAATATTAGTATTACTAGTATCGACAATGATTACCCATTAAAGAATACTATTTGAATTGAAGGACTAAATTCTCTGAATAAAAAATACGAGACTATCTTGAAGTCCAAGTCTTGTGTGAAGATAACAAGCGAATACATTTATTCCATTATTACTGATCCAGAGCCATGCCAATCAAAGTTATCGCTCAGACCATAAGTAGACAGTCTGCATCTACCTACATAGCGCAATTCCAATGATCAGTGACTTTATAGACTGGTGCAATGTCTTCGTTTGGATAGCTTTATGTTACTCCCAACCTACTCTCAAACTGATGAGCATAATATATCTAGGTAGGTAGAAGTTATGCTTATGTAATACATGCCTCAATCGAAGGTTATTTTAGGTGTCATCAGCTAGTTTATCTTCGTTACGTAAGACCATACATTTGACGTCAACACTATCCACTCTGTCGCTCTGTGATTCTCGAGCAGCGCTTTGAAGACACTTATTTTTGAGAACTTGTGGGTTACACATGTCTTCTGTTTTCATAGACTATGTTTCACAGCCATAGAGCAATACAGAGCAGCAGTATTGATTTATATGTTGAACACATCTGTTTTATAAATGTTAGTAATAATGTGAAACTGCTCAAACCTCGAAATACGAGGAATAGGGTTCAAATTTGTTACCTAGCATTTTGAAGTCGAGTGGTTCAGCCACTAAGCCTTCACTTCAGAGTAGCTCGTTCAAGAAACCCAATAATATGATTGGGAAGGAAATCAGTCTCACCTTCAATCAATAGTACTTTCTGTTAATTTCTTACTGGAGAGCATAACTTATTTAGCAAATATAGGTTTTTTTGTGTAGGTGACTTTGGACCAAACTGTTTACTTGGGCGTTAGTACTATTTTCCCATTTATTTTGTATGTCACTGGCGCATATAAGAGTGTAGTCTTCATTCATTCATTCTAGTCATCTAGAGCTATCTACATTTACCTTCCATATACACACTACTGTAGAGCATTTCGACTTACCGGATGGGAAAATAAAAAAAGTGGGAGTTAGGGTTTTGAATGAGATCTTCCGCAAAAATCATGCTCTTATATCCACTAGGGTTAGGGTTAGGCAGATGTGCTACGGATTCACAGACATGTACTTACTCTCACCCACTACCTGATTGTTCAAACTGAATTGAGAGGAGCGGCATTTGAGCTTGCCACAAGCCTATCACTTAACAATTTGGTGATCTAACCAACTAAGTTGTCCTTCCACTTACTGAAGTGTGTTAAAACTCAGATGATTGCTTACCAGTTTATTTATCATTAACAATAGTATACTAAAAAGATTTAGTTTATGGAACATACATTTCCCTTCTGCTTCCTTTTTTTCCCACTGAATAAATACTAGTCATATCCTGCTTTTGAAGCGAATATTGATTTTGAAATACGTTTTATGACTGATACACAAATGACTGGATGTAGTTGGGTTGAAGCACCAGCACAGAAATATCACTTGAGAGATTCTACAAAGAAATCGGATGATGTGAAAAAATCTATAAATCAAAAATCAAATCATTCTGTTAATTCTTCAACGACCTGTACTACAAATGGTTATAGCAGTGTTACAAAAAATGGTGTTAATGATCACTCGACATTGTTAACTAGTCAAACAAGATGTCAAATTGAGTTTGATATAGCATGGGATGCTTTGATTGTTCACTCACCTGAAGGTCAATGGAGTAATATCGCACCATTACGTGTACTGAGTTTTGATATTGAATGTGCCAGTCGTAAAGGTTTGTTGAGTTTTCTTTTTATTATTATTATTATTATTATTATTATTATTATTATTATTATTATTATTAGCTTTATTCAATATTATAATTTTGGTACAATATAGAATTCTCAGCGCAAAGTATTTCAACAAGTTTCCGTTTCTTTCTTCTTGGTCGGTCCTGGCGATAAATATTGAGGAATCGCCAGTTAGATGTTAGCACTTCAGTGAATGAACAACTGAATAATGAACATTCTTTTCGTTGTACATTGCCAGCAACCATATTGTCTCTTATTGAGTTTTCTGTAACTTTGACAACGAAAGGTTGTACACTTTTCAGAAACGCAGCAGAATAGGTTATGCGATTAATAAACATAATGATATATTAAAACAAACAACAATAGATAACTTGTTGAAATATGTAGATGGCAGGAACAGGTAGCCCAGATGCTCAAGCAGGCCGCCCTTATTACTGTTAACTGATTAACTGTATATGTAAACAGCCGTATAAGATAGTATGTAATAGTGTTTGTGGAAATAGAGAAGATTAGAAGTCGAAGATACAAGCCGAAAAAATAGGTCAGTTTTACAAAAAAAATCATAGAGAATTTAGAGACTTAAGATATAGGGAAAGACAAAGGGTAAATGCACCTGGGCCATTGTGAATGATTCTGAGGCATGCCACCCAGAGCCTTTAATAATTGGTACGATAATCACTCAAATCTCAACCAGTTAGGTTACACCTATTAACATGGCTCAGTTAAGCTGATACCATATATTGATTTAATACTCCTAACTTTCTTTCAACCAACTCCCACACCAGATAAGATCGCGTGTCGTCGATATAGGCGGTAGTTGGATCTACTCAATACACTCGCCAACAAGCTCATTTAATAAAGATCACTACCTCATGAATCGATTTGTCATACGTATGTAGTACTTTATACCTGACCTCAGAATTGCTCACTGGTTTGTCCGAAAAGATATGAGCGATGCTTGGAAGAGAGTTATGATCGAATACTCTTAGTCTATGAAAATCCTCGATTGTAGGTGGTCATGTTTGTCAGTAATGAAATAGAGCGAGTTGAACTACTATGGTATTATTTGGTTGCTTTAGTTGTCAGACAATTTCATTATATGATACCTGTTGCCACGAAATTATTCATTTATTTACATAAAACTTCATTTTCAATTGACTTAACTAGGTGTATTCCCTGTGCCGGATAAAGATCCAGTTATACAGATTGCTAATATGGTTACTAACTATGGGGAAACAACACCGTTTATACGTAATGTATTCACATTGAATACATGTGCACCAATTGTTGGTTCACAAGTTATTTGCCATCAAACGGAAGAAGAACTGTTAGCTGTAAGTATAAAGCTGTGTTGTACATATATATATTATACTAATCGGAGAATCACTGAAAAATAGAGAAAGACTCTTCTGGATTGTTTCTTCACCCATCTACCTATGCGAAACGAGATCTAATTGTGGAACTAAATATCTCATGGTTGACAGTTTATTTGATATGGAAATTACATCGAAATTCTATAAAGTGCCTCACAAAATCAACCCAGTAATTATATATAACCAAACAATTGGTTCTAATGGCTTTATCATGAGTCTCTATGTATATCTATCCACCGACTCCCTCGACGGGTAAGGATGGCTGGTGTAGGAGTACGTTGGAAGAAAGCTGGGGGGGGGGCAACCAAACCAAGACAAGGTGTCAGTCCATGAATACTCTGACTATCCAACTAAAGTATGTAAACAGATGCAGACTACCTGGTTGGTGTTCGCGTTATGATTGTAGTCAGTGCTTAAAGACTTTGGATGGCATGGCTCGAGATCGTTCACAGTGGTGCGGACGTATTCACTCATTGTCTTCCAAATTTTGAACTTCTGAACTTCTTGTAATCTTTATTTTATTTACATAATTTGTAATTTTTGAGATCATCTCTTTGGTGCCTAACCTTTTCTATTGCCATGAATACTATTACTACCTTTACTAATTTGAAATTTACGCTTACAATTTTATTTCACTGTACTAATCGGATATGGCAACTTAAACTAATGTACATATGTCCCATATTTTACATTGCGTCCGACTAACTGGCTAAATAACAGATGTTTACGAATCCCTAATTGTTGTATATTAATGCCTAAACATATAAGTCATTTGTAATGTCTCTGAATGTGAAGTTGAGCGACATGTGAACAAATCCTCCAGGAAGCATCAGTCTCCTCAAAATTACAGGTGTATATCTAGTCAACGAATACCAGATAGAACAAAACCAAAGTCCAGTGTTTCCTGCCGATTATCTCCAACCATTAACTCACAGCTTAACACAGTACACGCCATGTCGAATCACTTAGACTAGTTGCCATATTGCAACTTGATCGGTAGAATTCGATCAGCACTCAAAAGTACTTGACATACATGACATTTGTCACTACTCAATGATTAATCAATTGTAGATATATATATGTGTGTAGTTGTTAATTTATATTTTTTTTGTTATATTGCTAGAATTGGTCAGTGTTTGTGCGTGAAGTTGATCCAGATATAATCACTGGTTATAATATACAAAATTTCGATCTACCTTATCTTATTAATCGTGCTAACACCTTAAAAGTTGATGGTTTTGAATTTCTTGGTCGTATACGTGGCGCACGTTCTACAATACGGGAAGCTATGACTCAGTCAAAACAAATGGGTCGTAGAGAGAATAAATTTGTAAATATTGATGGACGTGTACAGTTTGATTTATTACAGGTTAGTTTGGTTTTCTTTTGACCTTTGTACGTTATGCTGTCTTAGATCGACCATTGTCTTACCTGTGTGTAGTTTCTAATCAACATATTTCTTACAACTTTACTTCATATTTTTATTTCCTACAGTGGGTTTTTTCTATGATCCATTTACTATGTCCACATTGTTTGCGAAGACGATTATGGTATACTACCCAGCTGCCCAAAGCGAATTAGTTGGGGTAGGGTTCGAACCCGAATTTTACCTGGTGGTTTAATATCGAATGTAGTTACTTCTCGTGAACACCGTCTTGCATATATATGTATGCATCATGGAAAACGAAAGACTTCGTAGTATTGATAGCAGCAATGTTGTATTATTTCATTTGTCAACTCGGTTATTTTATGTTTATGACGGACGGGGTTTCCAAAATGAATTGATATCACATTTGTGATAGAAATACCTAAAAAGAATAATTCTGCACGCAGTAGACAGTGATGATGTTCAAAATAACAATGAAAGCTTCACATTTAAGCCATCCAACTTAAAGAACACACCGTCAAGTTTCCTTGTCGAGTACTTGCTTGGAATAATAGCTATGTTTGACTTAATGCATCAATCAGTCACTCAATCCTCTACAACGTAGGACGTAAGTATTCCGCCCATCATTCTAAACGTTTAGACTGAGATCAGATAAGAGTGGCGTTTTTTCCTGAGATTGTTTCACTTACAACTGACTTCATAATTCCAGTTTCTTTTATTAATCTGAAAAGCTGTCTTGTATTACCTACAGCCGCTGCCTTTTCCATCTCTTTTTCTTTCGTTGTCCACCACTGCTCACTATTCTTCCGTGGACTTTTGGTTAACGTAGATCTGATTTGTTTTCACTCTTCATTGTGTTCTGAGCATAGTGGGATAGGTTTATGAGAGTCTATCAGTGCAGTGGATGTAGTAGAAATCCACTGGTTTTTCGTGACCCTTTGGTTCAAATCACTAATAAATACCGCTGCTGTTTCCATAGCTTTTCGTATATATTTCCAAGCAACATCTGGGTCAGCCTCGTTTTCAAAACTGCTTAAGTGTGACCTCAATTCTTGGAATATACTTTTAGCTTTCTCGTCAATGAGTTCAAATCTAATAGGTCTTTTTAATGTGGCTTTTCTGCGTCCAGTGAGGCGCAAGCAAATCTGTGCTCGTATTAGAGCATGATCCGAGTCTAAACATGTTTTCCAGAACGAGCGGCAGTCTTCTGTCGAGCAGGGAGTCGCAATGTTAGGCGGTATCTCTCCTTATGCTTAAAATTATTGTTAGCCAAAAATAAACGATTGTCTGAGCACAGTTACAGCAGACGGTTACCGTTATCTGTTCGCTGAGCCGCAATACCAAAATACCCATCTGAATATCTTTCTGTTTGGTTTAAGCTACCTACTTGGGCATTAAAGTTACCTGCTATGAGTAATATGTCTGAGTGTTCAGCTCTTTGAAGGAGTTTGGAAAGCTTTCTGCAAAAGTCATCTTTCACTTCATCCGGGCTGCAGTCAGTGGGAGTGTAGGCAGAGACGATGAAAAGATAACGACATGTGTCTCTATTCTTCCGAGTTCTTACGGAGCCGTTTAGGCGAACCAGCACATAGGCGACTGTTAACAGGCATCCATCCTAAAAGTGCTTGTTCTGCCTTCATACTCAATGCTATGCCTACATCCTCCAGTCCACGAGAATTCACCGTCGGGTCTCCAGATAAAAGGCGGGTGTATCTCGTCGGTTCTCCATTTTGGCTAGGTGAGGTCATATGAATAACCACACTATGATCCTGTATGCGTGTTTCTGAAACATTATAAACCAGTGGTACGAAATTCTAGGGTTTTAGTCAAGGAGACCTGCTGGGCGATTTGACATAGAGTACGTACGTTGAAGGCTCCAATGTGTTGTCTGAAGAGAGGTTTCAGTAGACCTGGGACAGTATTTCGCGCACTAGAATCATTGATCACTTTAGGCGGAAGCATAGAGCTGATGGTTGAGGCAGGGAATAATAGGAATTGAAGAGGGAAACGGATTATGAATACGGTGGTCTTGAGTGCTGTTAGAGGTATGAGGGCGGTTATCACTTCCCGACTGCCCACACCGTGGAAGGGTTCTTCTAGAGGTACTCGAAAAGAAAATTGTGTTAGAGTTGGTCTTAGTGATCTGAGAGCGTGACCACAGTTCCCAATAAACAACTGCTTGAGGTAGGTCACACACGACCTTTTTGTGAGTAGTTTCCATGTTAGATCCGTACTTGTTGGGACCTTACCGTCGGAGACGGATATCCATGGGATAAGGCGAGGTGTGCATTTTAAGGGTCGACCTTTTCTAACCCCATCTCTGTTATGTTGGTTGTCTGAAGGGGACACCTTACTGCCGTTACACAGTCTAAAGTACGACATCACCCTCGGACCTTGAGTTCGCCACTTTTAGTCCTACCACCCTTCAACTGACCTGCCTGTCTAACATGGTAGGATCTCGAGGAACGATTGTTTCAGCCAGTAAGACCTGATTGGTTCATTACGATAGATAAACCTGGCCACCACGTCAATGTAGCAGTAACAGTCCGGCATGAATGTGTCACTCTGATACACATCCAGTGTTATTTATTGGTATGTAAATACCTTGAGGTAAACGTATCACTTTTAAATAACTTTTCTCACAACATTCAATGGTTTACATTTCTAACTTCAGTCAATTCATTGAATTGAAACTTTTTGTTCGAATGATTTTTTATATTATTACATCATTTATAAAATTGTTCTTCTTGTCACTTATTTTATTTTATTTAAATCTCGTTTTAGATATTATTTCGTGATTATAAACTTCGAAGTTATACATTGAATGCAGTGAGTTATCATTTTCTTGAAGAGCAAAAAGAAGATGTACATCATAATGTCATTACTGACTTACAAAATGGTGATGCTCAAACACGAAGACGTTTAGCTGTTTATTGTTTAAAAGATGCTTATTTACCATTACGTTTATTAGATAAATTAATGTGTATTGTAAATAATATTGAAATGGCTCGGGTTACTGGTGTACCATTAACATACCTACTTACACGGGGTCAACAAGTCAAGGTTGGTATATGTGTATACCTTTTTTGTGCAAATACACTTTTTAACAGTTGAATCCATGAGTCGATCTAAGCTAGACCATAATTGAAAACCTGGGACACTAGAAGGACGTTTCGTCTTAGAATGGGGTGTGCACTGTTGAGGAGTCCTATACTGGGATGGAACAGCTATCCAGTGCTTCCAGGTTTCCAATGATGGTCTAGCTCAGATTGCCTTGCGGTTCCGACTTCGAAAATACATTTTGTCAGAATCTTTGACTACTATTATTTAGTAAGTAGCATAATTCTATATTGAAAGATTTCGTGATTCCTAATATATTTTATGCTTCTTCAATAGGTTGTGTCTCAGTTATTGCGTAAAGCTCATGAACATGGTTATTTATTGCCAACATATCAGTCGCAACAGGGTGATGAATTCGTCGGTGCAACAGTACTGGAACCACGCAAAGGTTTTTATAATGAACCGATAGCTACATTAGATTTTGCTAGCCTATATCCAAGTATAATGATGGCTCATAATCTATGTTATACAACTTTGTTACAAGTGAATACAACACCACACGGTTCAACGGGCGGTGGTATTCAAGCACTTGTTCAACGTTATAATTTAACTGATGAAGATTACATTAAAACACCGACTGGAGCGTATTTTGTTAAATCACATATCTGTCATGGTATTTTACCGGAAATTTTACAACAGCTTTTAAGTGCCAGAAAAAAGTAAGTGTGTAATCTCGTTAAGGGCGAAAGCCCGTTAAGGGTGCCTTTTTCAACGGAAACTTCTATGAGATAATCTTATTTTAACTAGTTACCTGTTTCTGTATAGATTTCTTAAAGTTCTCGTTACAAAATTAAACTTGCACCGTCTTCTTATCAAGGGCAGAACTGTCACTTTGCTATTAATGATGTAAACCATAGGAATCTCACTGAATGACTTGATTGTATCTCGCTTAACGCAAGATGTATGAGAAACTAATAGCTGTTTCTATTCCTTTACCAACATCTTAATCAGTAAATAGCATGTTTGAAAGTTTTATCCTTGAAAAGTTCACGAATAATTTAACAGATCCAGAAAATATTACTATGTGTAAAGCAGCAAGGTAAATTTTGTTAAAGCTAAAATTTCTAATCAACATCGCGTATGATATTCTCAGTCGGGTTGGCTACCTTTTTCACGGATATACACACTGACCAATGAATAATAATCGAGGCCTTTGCGATTTGTTGGTCCCCGCGGCTCTCCCAACTTGGGGGCCATTCATAAACCGCATAAAAAGAGCAAATTAGTTCTCTGTTATACCCAAATCGATCATGTTATAAAACTCATACAATAATTTACTGAAAATTCTTGATTACTCAGCACGGCAAATAAGAAACTATACTTTAAGCACAATTACATCATAAATGGTAGTGTTCGTTGCTAACAGCGCATAATTAATTAGCAATAATTATGCAGTAGTAAAAGGTATAATATCAGTGAATAGGTTCACTGTACGCTTACAATAAGAATATAGCAATGCAATAAAGATATAAATAATGGTGGTAATAATCATCTGAAAAATAGCCTTGTGAGTTTCAACCTGCTAAAGATTCGTCCAACTAAAATATATTTCACTCATCAATCTTTTCCTATGTTTCCTTTGATTTGGAATCTGTGGTTGTCGAGAGTTTCTTCATTTAATAAAAGTTCAATCAAATACAAATTCTAGTCAGCATACTTCACTTTTAAATGGGACTTTATTTAAATACTTTCTTATAATAATGTAATTGATTCACTTAACTTAAGCCATGTTCGCTTGTAAAAGCATGAATATTTTCGCATAAAGCAATTAAAAGTACTTTTGAAGTGTACTCCATGATTTAGTTCTGAAACATATCTTATGAGACCATGTGTTTCCTGAGCATTCCATTGTTTGTTGTGTGTCTATTTTTCTCAGTTTAAATTTCTGTGGGAGAAATTCATTGTCAGTAATCAAGTTACCGTCTGACTGGAGCTTCTATCTTGACATGGCGGCTGGTTTTTTCTTTAATGATCTAGCTGTATTAGTTAGCGCATTTGCTTTTTTAGACCCTATCTTATGTAAAAGTCAATCACTTACAGATGAATCTCTAAACTAGTCCTTAGGCTGTTGGAGACATAGTCTTGGGGTGAACAAAGTCAAAATAAGTAAGCTTTTTGACTTGGAAAAGTCTGTGCTTATGAAGTGCAAATTAATACCGTTAATATAAAACCAGAACTCAATGTAGTCTATTAAAAGAAAAAAACAGAGTGACAAAAAATGATACACCAGATGGAGCAGCTAGAGGGTACGAAAAGGGAGTGAACAAAGTTTAACATTCTATACAAATGTACGAATATTTGAACGAATAGTCTGATACAATTGTCGCTTAATAAAGAAATTCTTTGTATGAAATCACATTTGTTATCCTACGAAGCATATCCATAGCGAAGTTAAAATAAATCAATGTAGTGGGGCACGTTTATCAATCACACTTTGCACTATACGTTACCGACTAATTGGAGAACATTAAGAATATAAAAAAAGCAAACTAAGGTACTTGGGTGAAATCTTCTAAGTGCTGATTGTACTGAGGTTTAACAGCAGTTAGGCATTTTCCTACAACAATCAGTATTTCCAGCCATCCACTCTCCTCACAATTAAACGAGCAGGTAAGAAAAGTTAGACCTAGGATTTGCACACTATCATACCACACGGATTTCGGTTGCTGGTGATACAGCTTCCAAAGTACGAAGCTAACATCTCAAAAACCACTCACAAGAAGGTCATGTTGTGACCTGACCTCAACTACCTCTCTTCTGGGGTCTGCTGTCACGTTCCTCGGTTGCTAACACGACTACTTATCCAGACAAAGTGTTCCTACATGGTATGGGTCACCGCCTACTTACCTCTAAGCAGGAACCTATGGTTCGAATTCGCATTTATACTCTTCACTATACTGAGGTGTGATAGTAGTAGGGTTTCCCATCGGAAAACCACTATCTGCAATAAAACTGCCTTCTTACTGTAGACGGAGAGCTTTGGAATCGGCTGACGCGTTTGACAGTACCAAACGCCACCCTATTCACAATCGAATACACCTTGATTTAAAAAACATTTATTACACATTATTACAGGCAACTAGAAAAGCGTTTAAACTAAGTTCTTTGACATATGTTTCACGAATTCATTATATACTGTTTTTCACTGATAAAGTCCTATATTCTAAAATATTTGCCTTTTTAGTTGTCGAATTTCACTTTACTACTGATCACATTTAATATTTCATACAATATGTTGATTAGTTTCGAAATTATTCTGTTTAATGAATTTGAAAATGACTCTAAGAAGGTAGGACCAATGATCGAGCCATCAGAATTCGGATGGTAGTGTTGAGTAACGTGCTATATAGAAACTCCAAAAGGGTTACCCTTAAGATTAGGATATATCAGTAGGACTTCTAAGTTAAGGTTTGTATGGGAGTTGAAGAATTCTTTTGCAGCTACAAACAAATATTTATTTGTTTAAAAACATAAACATTGGTACAAAAGAGCACCACACTTATCATTGAATTCGTGTGAGGGCTGGGATACTCCTCGGTGGTCACTATCCAATCTTTTGGCCCAATAGAAAAATATTACTAGACGCAGTCCCACGTTGGCCGGTGACCAAGGATAGATTCATACTCCATTTGTTGCCTCAGAATCCTGAAGCCTAAGTGTTCCACCGATTTAAAATTTGAGTTTTTAAACACTCTCCTAGATGTATCCTCTATTCCTGCCCACTCGGTTTAAACACAGGACACTCGACTTTCATCCTCTTGGTTTCATAAAGCAACATCCCTTCCATGATAAGGTAGTGAACAGGACTACCATAAGATTGGCTGTATACTCCTGGTCATATAAGAGTAAATGAATAATTACTTATGCAGTCAGTTTTGAATCTCATTAGTTTGTTAAGGTATTGTTTTACTTTCTTTATCATTTTCTCTTCCCCATTTATAGAGCTAAAGCTGAACTTGCTAAAGAAACTGATCCATTACGTAAACGTGTTTTAGATGGACGTCAATTAGCATTAAAAATTAGCGCTAATTCTGTTTATGGATTTACTGGTGCACAAGTTGGTAAATTGCCTTGTTTAGAAATATCCGCTTCTGTTACATCATTTGGACGTTTAATGATTGAACAAACAAAATTACATGTTGAAAGTAAATTCAATATTGCTAATGGTTATAAACATGATGCTGTGGTAAGTGGCATAATATTTAAATATGTTTAAAGGGAGGGGGAACTAGATGAAATTTTTTGAGGGCTAGGATACTGCTCGCTTCCCCAAAACTGAAGCAGGTGGTTTTCTTAAGAGGGGGTTATTTCCGAGGCTTTGACTTAGAGACTAGTCAACAAACCAATGAGGCAACGTAAGATGGTGGTGTCCCATGGTAGCTGATGACCAAGAATAGGTTCGGACGCCGTCTATTTCCTCAGGATACTGAAGCCCATATGTACCATTAATTGTGAGTAAGAGTTTTCCAACTCACCTAGATGGTTGCTTCGTACCTACCAGCACAGTCTAAGCGACGTACACTCGCTTTTCGTCCTCTTAGTTTCTTAATCAACAACCCCTCCATGATGAGACAGTAAATAGGGCTTCCCTAGGATTGGTTATATACGCGTGGTCATGTCATAGCATTTCGAGAGGAAGAGGCGGGTTTTCAAACAGAAGGCCTGTAGGTTTGAATTTCTCTTCGAATAATAAAAATCGACTGAATGTTCATTTTGTAACCGTTTATTTTTTTTCTCTGTTTATTTCATAGGTTATTTATGGTGATACAGATTCAGTGATGTGTAAATTTGGTGTATCCACAGTAACGGAAGCTATGGAATTAGGTCGTAAAGCTGCTGAAATTATATCTGAAGAATTTCCTAAACCAATTCGATTAGAATTTGAAAAGGTATGTTCTTGAATATATTTTCTATAAATAGATAAATATTCATTCGATATTTCAACTGATATCATGGAACATAATATATTGAGCCAGTCAGAAGTTTCCAAATGGATGGTCTGTTTATTCAAGTAGCTTGATTGACTCGTATATAGGGAGTTTACTTATCAGTATCAACTCTGAAACACCGGTCATTACAACAGTAGACATTGGTGATAATTTGTTAACATGAATTATGAACTATAGATGTAACGCTTATTGCTCTCATCTTTCAATTACACTTAATGTAATGGATTGGACGGTTTACTTTTAGTTAATCTCATGTAATGAATGGGTAGGATATGCGGTGCCCAAAATTTGATACTGATACACAAGCTTCGTTGTACACTAGTCAAAGCAACTACTTGACCGAAAAGACTGAAAGTGAGAAATTTTACTAAATAAACCGAATCGATGTGTAGCCTCACGAATAAAATAACCGGCCTATATTAGTGTATAGATACTACGAATAACTCATCCAAACTTTGTTGTGATTAGTAGAGTAACTACTCCAATCCGGTTAACCGTCCCAGTGCTACCTTATTCTGCCACAGTGATTATTCAAGCGTCAACGACGAATCTAATTCAACGTGTGCCCTCCAAATAATGATAAATTCATACGACCAAACGAGGGTCAATGGCTTCAATATGCATCTTCATTTACATGTCCATTAGAAATTAAACCATCGGTTTATTATTTTATTTTATTTATTTTAACACATAGATATTGGTACAAAGAGGCACCAAATACATATGCGCCACACAAATCTCATTCGATATATGTAAGGGCTGTGATACTGCCCGGGTGCCCAAACCGAACCAGGTGGTTTTCTTAAGGGGCCACTCCCCGAGCCTTCGACCTGGAGATCTAATCCACAAGGCAGTGGAGCATCGTAAGGAGATGCAGTCCCATGGAAGCCGGTGACCAACAATTGGTTCATACTCCATTTGTTTCCGCAGGATACTGGAGCCCATGTGCACTATTGGTTTGGAATCCGGTCAAAGCGCCGGACATTCGCTTTTCGTCCTCTCATTTTCGTAAACAACACCTGTGGTGCGAGAAGGCAGTGAGTAGGACTTCCTTGGCAGAGGCTATATACGCGTGGCCATGTGAGAGCATTTCGAGAGGGAGAGCGAACTCTCCCCACTCTCGGCAGTACCAGGGCATTTGGGGGCTCAGTGGTCTAGAGATAAGGCGTTCTTGCACGAGACCGTTAGGTCCTGGGTTCAAGTCCCGTGAAGCGGGATCGTGGATACGCACTGCCACTGATAAGTCCCATACTAGTATGAAACCATCGGTAGTGTATATCTTATCTCTCAGAAATGAAAGCTATTTCTTGGTCAATAATATTCATTAATTTACTTGATTTCTAGTCGGATTAATGTATCGTGATGTGATTTATACAGTGGTAATCTTCATTTTAGTTGGCACTAATTACTTGTTTTGTTCCAGACAGAGATATATAGATCACTTTAACAGTAATCACAAAAGTACGAGTTTAAATGCTTCTGCTTACATTAGATTTTGACACTTATGCTACCGCTATCGAAAATACCATGGTACATACTGAAATTATGTTTCTTGTGGAGTCTGATCTCAAAGATTTAAAAATGCACCAGATAATCTAAATGTTGCTTGATAACCTGTCTGCATCAACGCCTGACCTAGTGACAACGAGTGAAGTAGTTGTGTGCGTCGACCACTACTTATCCTAAGAGTCTCTTCAGTCCTGATGGTCTGGTGTTCGACAAAATCTCGGGATGGATACAGAAAGCTTGATTAGTTTTACCTAACTTGCATCACTTGTAGCGTAGTCAAGATGTCCATCTGCTAACCGAAGAGCGAGCATACTGCGTAGAAGTTTGGTTTGTATTACGCTGTTTATAAAACATAATATGCATAGGCTTCACTCTTTCGATCATGCTTATCTTTAAAGCATTGTTTAATTATCGTGAAACGGCCGAATAAGTGCATAGGTTATTTGGTAAAGATGGCAAATCAGCTGACCAGGTTGTACACCCTCATCGACCGAGGCAGTTGGGATAAGTGGTTCGTATACCCAACCACCGCCCAGTTTATTAGCGATTGTAGCTGTTGTTAGAGTACGTCTGAATAAATGTAGGGGAGCCAAATCAAGGCTATGCATTCTCTGATGAAGTCACTCACTATTTGTGTAAACCACGTCAGTACGTGCATACTACTCCGCTGGAGTCTGCTTGATAACCACGATCAATGATTGGAGACGTTTGGTGACACATCAGTCAGAATCGGTCGCAGTAGCGTACGTAAACTCATTCACGCTCTGTCTTGCCACACATCTAATATGACTACTAGTGATGCCATAATTATTTCGATTCGTTTGGTATTTATCTTTTCAAATTCAGGTCTTCGTTCACTTGTGGTATGGCAACTCGGGCTAACACATATCTGTGCTAGTCTCTATGTTCATGGCTAAATGTGACTGACTTAGATACTATTTTTATCATGAGTATTAGAAGCTGCTTTATTTTCTCCTTCAGAATTTGAGCTTCACTATTACTTTCATGCATCTTATTTTGCCGAATGACCCCGCCTTTTCAAGCATTTCAACTGTATCTATGACATCATTTTATTTGTCAGGAATCTCGTTAGTTTCACTTCACTATACTAATGTGTGACGATTACGCGCCATTCATATTTTTTCAAGTTCTATGTTATGTATAACTAATCTAATTTGATGTTTATAAGCCTTCACAACGTCGTTAGTTCATTTCAATGCGTTTATCTTTCCATGATAGAAATAATCTTTCCTATATTTATATCATTAATTGATTTCAGGTGTATTGTCCATATTTATTAATCAATAAAAAACGTTATGCTGGTTTGTATTTTACAAAACCAGATCGACACGATAAAATGGATTGTAAAGGTATTGAAACTGTACGTCGTGATAATAGTCCATTGGTGGCTAATTTAATCAATGCGTGTTTAGAGCGTATATTGATTGATCGGTAAGAAGATTAAAGTTTTCTGTACCTGTATGTACATATATATATATATATATATATATATATATATATATATATATATATATATATATATATTTATATATCTTTTTGTGGAGATTTTGTGTAATGCGAATGGATTTTAATCACTTGCTGGAATAACGCTCTGTTTTCTACCTTACACAATGGGATCTTAATTCACTTTAGACGATTATCTGCACTAGATACCCTCCCAATGTCTTCTCTACAGGATTTCAACACACTTCAGATGAAGAACACGTGACTAGCCTGAATAGAATGTCAGTATATTTCTATGCTAACAACAGACAATCACAACAATAATAAGGGTAGTAAAATATATAACCCATTTAATACCTGTCAGACTCTCTACTAATCTGATTGAACAAACAATCAAGCATTATTTTCGTCGTTCATACATCACTTACTAATATCAAATGCAGAAAGGCTTTCTACCATTTTGTCGCACGACATAATCCTTTTACACATACTTTGATTTGGGTAGCCACTTCTGACTTCTACAAACTATTTGGTAAAAATCTGAATACAGAAAACCTGTACTTGACCAAGGTGTATTAGACAACTACGTTCTGGTTTATTTGTGGTCGTGATTGAGGAAGTTTTTCGAGTTCAAAATCAAATGAACACCTCACTTTTTGTACAGACTTCTCCTACATGCTACTATCGTCATATTTTAAATAAACTTAATGGGATTTTGTGTCACATTGGTAGTAATTCATAAGTTGGAAATGCTAGTTTCTAGGAAAAAAAATATCACATAAACAAACAGATTATCACTTCACGACCTGAAATTTTATTAGCAATAATCTTTTAACTTTTGTTGTTCGAATATCTCAGGAGTTTCCATTAGGAACCTTCTATTCATCTTTGATAGACAATCGAAAACCATACACAACTTGTCACAGACAGCCAAAAAAGCATTACATAATTGCAGCATTAAAACTGAGAATTCAAAAAGCTACCGATCTACACTGAGGATAAATGTCGAAATAGGTGTGATATCACGAACTGACTCTACTTAGATAATAATTAAAATTTGGGAAGCGCTGAATTGCTCTTTCATTTTGTGTATGGGACGTTTTCAAGACTGCGCATCCTCGAGCACATCAGGGATCGAACTCAGATCGTGAGTTTTCAATGGTTTGTCTATGGTCAGTCCATAATATGGAACCACGAAATTCAACAATATTATTTTAACAGCAAAAATGATAATGTATTTGTTCCTCCAGTACAGAATGCGGTAGATAATACCATATAATTTATACACCAACACTAGACTGGATAATTTAACTGGGGTCACCAGATCGAAATACTAAATACGAAAAGATCAGACCACTAGACTAATTCACGTTATGCACAAATACACATTCCCGATTAACATTTAAACATCATATTATAAAGACAGGGGTGTCTAATCTTTCGATGGACAATCGGTTCGCACACAATGAACCCAGAATAGAAATTTTATGTGAATCATTTACCGTGTAAAACTAGTGGTTGGTATTATAGATCATGGAATAGGCGTCTATCTATCTGTCTTCATTCATTAACCGATTACAGCCTATTGTAACATCAAATCTCTACATTCATCTTAACTGTTAAGTAAGTAGCCAAATTCTATGTTCAATTTTGTAATATTCATCCTATTGTTGTCATATAAATACGGGGAATAAATAACATTACTATTTTAATTTGTCTAGTATCTGTCGATATGGAGAATAGTTCTGACTTATCCATTACTGTAGATTTTTAGATTACAATAGACACCTACATAAGAGAGTTGAATGATGCGAAAGACAAAACAGCTGTCCACTTCACTTCTTTGAACTAAAGTCAATTCGTGTTACAAACCTTTCTTCGGACTGGTCAGTCTCTCTGCAGACTTTTCATGTTTTAATATTCAATAGTTTTCCATACATTTTTGTTTGTTTGTAATTTTTCTCTTTTTTCAGTGATCCAAACGCAGCGATTAGTTATGCCCAATCAGTGATCTCAGATTTATTATGCAATCGTATTGACATTTCGCAATTAGTTATTAGTAAAGAATTAACAAAAACCGATGAAGAGTACTCTGGTAAACAAGCTCATGTAGAATTAGCTGCAAAAATGCGTAAACGTGATCCAGGCTCAGCGCCAAATTTAGGCGATCGTGTACCTTATGTAATTACTGCTGTAGGTGGGAAAAATACAGCAGCTTATGCAAAAGCTGAAGATCCTCTTTATGTATTAGAGCATAATATACCGATTGATACAAAGTATTATTTGGAAAATCAATTAGCTAACCCTTTACTACGTATATTTGAACCAATTTTAGGTGAAGTGAAAGCAAAATCTGTACTGTTAAGTAAGTTGTTGTATATTGTTCTTTTTAAAAAATTGTATCAGTTCATTACTTCTTACACTTGTTACTTACCCGTCGTGGAGTATAGATCACTGACCAAGAAATTTGTTTTGAACTCTCCTTTCCAATTGTTGTCAAGTTCTACTCATCCTCATGGTGTATTTTGGACACTGTGCTTTTGTCTTGAGATTTCCAAATTAGGATTTGCCTCGTGATCCAGTTAGCTGGTTTTCGTAATGTTTTATCTATCCATATACAGTGTCTGTACATATTACTGCATATTTGTAAAACTCAACACAGCCTTCTTTACAAATCATGCAGTAATCGATATCAGAAAGGTTTATATGTAGTTTTGCTAGTTTTACTTGATAGGTGGTGGATGTATAGAGTTATCTTACGTATGGTGAACGAAGACTTTATGCAGATGACCAATTTATTGTATAGTGCGAAATTACAAAATGTCTTCGTAAATTATGGAAGCCATATATTAAATACTTCATTTGCACATCTTCAGATCTGCCTATTTTTAAGTTTTGTTTGATCCATAAATCGTTGTTGTATGTCGTATCATTCCAGATTTATCACTGATTGATTACTCTTCTATTACTCCGGTTTTATATCCCTTATGATTGAGTTGTGTTCATGCTGCAATTCCCTGATTATGTCGCCACGTGGTCAGATATTTCGAGTATGTCATTGAGTGAGTTTTGAGTCATCGTTGAATTGAACACAAATGAGCTGCTTTCTATCTTCGTCCTCTGATTAGCCACGGGGTCTCCAGTAGCTTGAGGAGAAAGTGTTATGTTCTTGGTTCATATGTCATTTCGTAAATATGTCACTGGTTCTAATGGTACTATAGGTGAACTAGTGAATAATCACACTAGAGAGTGAAAGAGAGAAAGTGATTATACAACGGCTTTCTTGTCATCCTAGCCCGATTACGCGGGACTCAGTACGTTACTAGCTAACATTCAGGTTTTTTTCATTATAATAATATCACATTTATTTCTTTTTTACAAAACTTTCTATTTGTTCTTTGTCCTGCATAGATGGCGAACATACACGTGTAAAAGCTGTGGTACACTCTACTGTTGGACAATTATCAGCTTTTACAAAAGTACGTGCATCATGTATTGGATGTAGAACATTATTACCTGCTGATAAAACAGGTGAGAGGGAGATTATATTGAACACGTGAAGGTTTTTTGCGTATCATTTTCTATTATTCCATTGTTTTCCTTTCTAACATCACTGAGCTTGACAACTAAACAAGTATTCACATTCAATGGAAAGGTATCATATTTACTAAAAAAGTCCATTATTGTTTAGATAGATAGTTGGTAGTAAGTCAGTTCAAGGTGATGGAGGAATATGTTCGTGAACAAGATGACCTCAGGTGCTGTTAAAGGTATGAGGACGGTTGTCACTTCCCGGCTGCCCATATCATGGTAGGGCGTTACCTCTTGATTGTGGTCTTAATGACCTAGGAACGTGACCAGAGAGCTGATGTGACAGCTACTTGACTTCGGTCACACACGGTTGTTTTATCGAATGTTTTCGATGTGCTAGCTCTGTTATTTAAAAGGCCTTACCACCAGAGACGAAAACCTGTGGAGTAAGGTGAGATGTGGCAATTATATTATCAACCTTTCCTTATCCCTTCCTTCTGTTATGAGAAGGCAACATCGTTCCGGATACTTGTTGTCTAAGGAAATTACCTTACTTCTGTCACACTTCAGTATAGTCAGCAGTACTACTTCGCCCTCGAACCTTAATTTACTGCTTATAGTCTTATGGTTCTCCAACTCACCTATCTGGTATAGTAAGACCTACAAAAACATGTGTTCCAGCCACTATATTTCAGTCCAGTTATCACGATAGGCAAGCCTGACCAACCACATCAAGGTAGCAGTTAAGATCTGAGGTTGATGGTTAAAGGTAACCAACACGAAACTCCGGACTTGAACTTCATGCTAGTTAATTGTTTTGTCATCATAAGATTGCTCACGAAGATACTGACCCAAATCAGCTGATATCTTTTATTCTAGTAGTAGCTTGCAGCTAATTACCATCAAACTACCCCAACATTAACTATAACTCTTTAAGAACATGAAGGCAACAGCTGCGATTTGGGAAGAAGTGGAGAAAGGAAAGGGGGAATTAAGTCCTAATCAACTCAAAAATTGTTTTTATTATCCATATTTTTCCTCTTTTACTTCTTCTTCGTCAAATCTAGACGCAGCTTTATGTAAATATTGTGAATCACGTGCATCAGAAATTTATCAAAAAGAAATTGTACAGTTAAATTTATTAGAGAAAAAATTCACTTCTTTATGGACAGAATGTCAACGTTGTCAACAAAGTATACATGAAGAAGTTATATGTACCAGGTAGATTTATTATTATTATGATTACTTTGAGTTACATTCATTGCGTGATATAAACTAGAAATTCAACGATCTCGATAAACTGCTTAGACTAATGATAATGTGCTCACTAATGATTCATAAACAGAGTTGTCGTGCAAAACTGTCGAATGACGGATGGTCTTACAATATCGCGAATTGACTGAGGTTACATATTTAAACTTAGTGATCTGGAGATTCTAAGTCTGATTCCTATTGAGGTCAATAATGCATAGTTTTCTAAAAACCTACATTTGACCAAGCGGTGATAAAGGGCTTCCTAGTTTTTAATGGTCATCTATCTGCAGTCAGTGAGTGGTGTGAGTTCCAAATATTGATGTTAGTTTAGTCTTGAATATGTCTGATTTCGTGATCAATCCGAGAGGAAGAGGCTACTGCATACAGTTTAACATTTTTATTATATTGAACGGCTTCTGTTAGCTTATTGTTTCGTTGATCCGACTCTTCATCATCATTTGCATTCGTACATTGGCTGCATACAATTCGATATACCTCTCAAAAATTGGATTCTAGATGTACATTCTATCTTATCCTTAAACTTGCAAGCTGCACTTATCTTAGTGTTTCCTTGTTACGATTGATAGGAAAACCATTAGCTGTACATACCGTCGTCTATTATCCGGTATTCACTACCAATCGATATTCAAATAGCTTAGTCGTTTTGTACTTATCTATTTCTGCGTCCATTCAAATATATCGTTCTTCATTACACTTCTCTTTTTCCTTGTCTTCACTGTACCGTATATCGAAAACTGCTGACTGGAGTGTCATCCGGTTCTATCGACATCTAAAACACCACATTCATAACTTTCATTTCAGTGATTTGCATTTCCCGTGAATTCAAATTTCGTTAAAAGAAATTCCGATGGGCTAACTATGATATCTTTCAGTTTGATGTTTTCTTTCTTCTGTTATGTAATGCACTTATCAAACGTGGGTTTGATTTAATTCATACGTCAGTTATATGAAGAGTATGACTTATAAACGACACTGACTAACTACTTAAATTAATATAGGCAACCAAGCTATATTCATTCTACTGATGGGAAATCGAATGGTTCAACTGACATTACGAATCCAACCGTCCCATGAAAGTATCATTTATACTCAGTTTAAATCTTCTTCTCCTTAACATAATAAGTTTCTTTCATTTATCACATGTTACATATCCCTCCCACTATATGTAAAACTAGTTGTGGCAAACACTACTCACAAGATTGTTAATAAGTGATATATAGAGGAACGTCAAATGGAAGTTACTACAGTTGACTGCCGAAAAAAAGAATTCCAGAAGGTCAAAAAGCACGGTATGTACAGAATACTTTGAAAACCAAAAGAGAAGCGAGAGAAGGCAACCTAGAGTCAAATTGTCTTAGGCTCATCTATTACTGACGATACTTTCAGACTCAACAGTTGTTTAGCTGTCCAGGCCATTTACGCTACAGTCCAAAAGTTGTAGCTAATGAATGCGGTACTCTAAGGCATCAATCGTCGATTTACATCTTGTGTATTGTTCAATGCAAGTTAATTCTAGACTGTTTTCTCTTCTTTCTCTTCTAGTCTTCATGGTATTCTGTATATGGCGTGCTTCTTAACCTCCTGAGTATTTTCTCTTCGACAACTTCTACTCGACGCTTCTCTACATACTACTTTAACAAGCAGTCTTATAAGTAGTAGCATTCATTCACCACAGAGTAGTAGTAATACACATATTAAATTTAATTATTTTTTCTAACATTTATATTTCAGTCGAGATTGTCCAATTTTTTATATGCGAATGAAATCACGTAAAGATGTTGATGAAGCATATAAAACAATTCAACGTTTTGGTAATCCTAATTGGTAAATCAATAAGAAAAAAAGGAGTCACATTCATTGAATTAGTCTAATCCATTGTAACAAGAATATCCTTTAAGATCATTTTATCCGTAACATTCTCTCTCAGGTTTTGTTTAGTTCTCTCTTTATTCCAGAGTTCAAATCTTTTTTTTTATTATATTTTCTCTTATAAAGATTTTTTTTGGTATTTTGAAAAGTGCATTTCCAAATTATTGTACTTCACATTTTCATTGTTTAACATATTTTTCTCTTTATTGTAGTGCACTTTGTTTTGTTAGGAATTAAAAAAAAGAACCCAGGCGATTGAACACCTTCAAAATTGGAACAATTAAGCGGGCGAAACTTTATCGGTTGAGATGGCTGGGACACGTGTTACGTATGCTCAACCAACGACTGCTTCGGCATGCGATGTTTTATGGTGTAGGAGTAGGTTGCAAGAAAGCTAGGGGTGGCCAGACCAAAACATGGCACAAATCCATGAAGTCACTAGACAAGTGAACTGAGCCGTGTTAGTAGGTGTAGACTACCTCGATTGGATCCGCAAGACGATAGCAACCGATGGTTAGAGACCCTGAATGACATGGCTCAAAATCGTTTGCAATGATGCAGGTGCATACACTCTGTGTTCTCCCAAATTCTAATCTTCTGAATTATTCATGTCCCTTTCTTTTTTCTCTTTCCAAATTTATTTCACTGGATTATACTCTTTAAATAACATCTTCAAACCCTAATCTTTCCGATTACTGCTTAGACTCTTACCACCTCTACCACTATGGGTTTTGAATCGACCACTGCATCTCTGTGCTAATGTGGTGTGGCAACTCGAAGTGATATACGTACGTACGAAGTTCTAAAGTTGTTATTGACTGATGGGAAAACCAATTAGATTTAAGATAACAGGTTTTGAATTCACTCATCCATTTGACGAAATTCAGAGTCTTGGCATTATAGCTGATGTCAGTTCGTAATGAAAACCTATATATCTCATTCCTAACATTAACCGTCAACTGTAAATCACAATTCTAATTTCTCACACTAATTTATTACCTTCATTTGATCCTAGTTATCAGCTGGACAGTCTCAAGGTCAGTCTACGTCGTCCATAAATTATAGTCCCACCCAAGTAGGGTATTCAACTTAATAAACTTCATGTTTTTGAATAGTTACTAGAGAGAATGGATAATAATGGGATAACAGAACTTTTCATTGTTTATGGTAAATATGTAAGATTCTGATTGGAAAATAAACGAAATATAATCTATATGAAGATCAAAGTGAACTAATCTAGTGGTGGACGTTTAATGCTGGTATTGGTGGATTCATTTATTGATCACAGCACAAATTTGTACGTTTAAAGATAGGGATGTAATTATTATCGATACCCTCCTAAAATGTCACCCTCATAAGAGCATGTATTGAAAGGATGTGCATCAATCAACCATGTTCGGACTTCAGAAAACACCAAAAAGGCGACTTAACAGTGTAATTTAGGTCTAAATATTGCTTACGTTTTTAAATATTTTTTAGCACTCTTTAATATGCGTACTCATACTGCGCCGTGTTGGTTATGCAGTTGAGTATCGATCTGTTTCCATAATCTACAACTAGTATCCTGGATCTAAGCAACAAACTTTCTAATTTTCTATTTATTTAGACTGAAATCCTTTTATAAAAAACGTTTGGATGAGTGGGTCCAATAAGTTATCTAAAGCCTCTCTGCCTCATTGCTCGTTCTAATCACTCACTACTAAAAAATCAGCGTCTTTGCTGTCTCCTAAGTACTTTTATTCCATTATGACGAGTCAAAAAACATGTATTTTGGGACCGAGCTCGTAACATTTTGTAGTCCTAAATGCTTCACTTCAAAATAAACATTATTTTACATCAGAGATCTTGAGTGCTGTTAGAGGTATGAGGGCGGTTATCACTTCCCGGTTGCCCACACCGTGGAAGGGTTCTTCTGGAGGTACCTGAAAAGGAAATCGGATTAGAAGTGGTCTTAGTTACCTGGGAGCGTGACCGCAGTGCCCAATGGACAACTGCTTGAGGTCGGTCACACACGACCTTTTTATGGGCAATTTTTGTGTTAGCTCCGTACTTATTGAGACCTTACCCCCGGAGACTGATATCCGTGGGATAAGGCGAGGTGTGCATTTTTAAGGTCGACCTTTTCTAACCCCACCTCTCCTTGTGGGAAGGCAGCATCGCTGTCATGCTGGTTGTCTGAAGGAAACGCCTTACTGCTGTCACACCTCTGTACAGTCAGCAGTACGACTTCGCCTTCGGACCTTGGGTTTGTTGCTTTTAGTCTTACCGCTCTTCAACCGACCTTTCTGACGTGGTAGGACCTTGAGGAACAGTTGTTCCAGTCAGTATAGCTCGGTTGCTTCATCACGATAGGCAAGCCCGACCACCACGTCAAGGTAGCAACAACGGTCGGGATTATTTTACATGCAATCACACGACTGTCCTCAGTACCCAAATCAACCAATTTAAAATGAATTCCTAATTATGATGCTTGTTCTTGTTTGAGTTCTTTTTTTGATGTGAACCACTTTAAAAGGAGTAAAAAGACTTATGTACCATAAATATTATCGAATGGTTTTCAGAAAACTTTCCACGAATTTACTGCATAAACTCAAGGAACCTTGTCGTTGATATAACAGCTCGTTTCCACGTAATGCTACTATATTTAAGCATATTGGCCCTCTGACTGCTTCAGAAACATTTGCTCTTTTGTGATTCATCACAGCATTAATTAGAGATACTACTCGACATACATTAGTTGCAATAATATCTTATCAGAATTCGACTCATTCAGGGCATGTTTATAACGATGATGAGAGATTTCACTGGAAATATATGCATTGTGAGGACGAACATACCAGCTGAGAGTGAGTCATTCGTACTTGTTTGTTTATACACATAAACATTGGTTCGAGGAGGCACCAAATACATATGCGCCACACTTTATCATTCCATTTTTTTGAGGGCTGATGTACTGACCGAACCCCCAAATGAAAGCAGGTGGTTTTCTCAGGAAGCCCTTCTCCGAATCTGTGACCTACAGGTCTAATCTACAAGACAGTGGAGCGACGTTAGGAGATACAGTCCCCATGATAGCTGGTGACCAACAATAGGTTCATACACCATTTTTTCCCGCAGGATTCTGGAGCCAATGTGCACCATTGGTTTGGAATCAAGGTCTCTCAACTCCCCTAGGTGAATCTTCCATCAACCTGGTCAAATAGCCTATGTATACCATTGGTTTTGTGTTGTGGTTTTTCCAACTGTCCTAGGTGTATTCTTTGTGTCTGCCAACACGGTTAAGGCTCCGGATCATTCGAACAGTTCACATCTGATGAAATGGCATCAGGATTTGATACATTTAACATACTTTCTTCATACCAATTAAAGATTTCACTATAAATACTTGAATCATTAGGTGAACCTATGTCTTCTGGTAAATAATGTTGGAAATTTAGTTAGGGCTTTATTCATCTGAAATTATTTTCTCACAACAATTTAGATCAGTTGGTATCAGACATTAACACTATTACGACCAATTTTTTCCAGAATGTCGATAATTCCCATTTGAGTTTGCACAATATGTCCATTTTTCTTCTCATTATTATCTGATCACAATACATAGTATAGTGACTAGGTCTATTAAAAAACCGATTTGTCGCCAAGATTATATGATGGGGAGGACAAATATACTTTCTGTTTTTCTATGGTGTTCTACACTAGCAGCACAATAACAGAATTAATGATTGAGATTACATTGCTACTAGATCGATATCTTATACACAAACTGGACCACATTATCTAAAATATATCATTCAAAGACAAATATAGAGAACTAGAGTATAGACTAGGCAATAACCATATTCAACAAAACTACAGATAGTTTACACTCAATTAGTCGAAATTATAAATCAATAATAGAAAAGGAAATCTCATTTTGAAGTCAATAAGCTAAATGCCTTTTTATCCACACTAAATGGCTAATCACAATTATTTTCACTAATACACAATCTCATAAGATTTCTAACTGCCCCATTGAAGAACAAAGTCATGAAACGATGGACATTAGACCACTATTGAAAACCTGGAACCACTGGACGACCGTTTCGTCTTATTGTGGACCTTCGATATCGCGCAAGAACACTCCTCAACCTCTAGACCATTCAGCCAGGATCCAACGGTGTCAATGTCTAACCTCAACTCAATACTGATAATAAGAGATTAATTCACTTAATAATCATAAAAATGGTGTATTCATTAAATAACTTTCATTAAGATTACATGATTAACGGTTTTGTGTGTGTATGTGTGGTAGATGATAAATTGCACCAAATAATGATTAGACTAGTTGAAATGTTACATAATAAAATGATAATTTTTCTAAAAAATAAGTAATGAGAATTACATAATTTTCTTATTATTTTCATGATCATCCAATCCATGATTGATTGGTTGTAGTTTATTCATCTGAAATACAGATTAGTGTGAAACTGAACAGTTTAGTTTTTAATGAGATAGAGAGAATATGAAAAAGGTTTCAGTACAAAGTTGTAGAGATCATGACCATCATTGAAGACTTGGAAATACTGAATGGCTGTTTCATTCTAGTCTGGCACTCTTCAGCAGTGTATATTCACGATCCTGCATTGCTGAAGGGTTCCATACCAGAACGAAACGGCCGTCCAGTACTTACAGCTTTGCACTCGTCGTCTTACATTCATCCACCACTCTTGATATAAATTTAAACTCAACAATCCCTACAACCCTATACTGATAATTACCATATGCTCACTAGTGACTAGCTTCGAGTGGTAATTCTCGGAGTTCTAATGAGAAGCTGTGACCAGTGGAGCTAATCCGTGTCTGGTAGAGACAGGTAATCGAAGATGGTCGTGCAATTTTGCGGATTAGTTGACGTTAAGCATAAACACCGTCGGATGCTAGTTCGACAGTATAGACGTCTCATGTGATTGTTCGTGGATGCGCACTTCTGAAAAGTCATGTACTAGGGCTAGGATACTGCCCGGGTGCCCGAACTGAACCAGGTGGTTTTGTTAGAGGGCCACACTCGAAGCCTTTGACCTAGAGGTCTAATGCACAAGGCAGTGGAGCAATGTTAGACGATGTAGTCCCCATGGTAGCGGGTGATCAACAATAGGTTAATACGCCGTTTTTTCCCTCAAGATACTGGAGCCCATGTGCACCATTGGTTTGAAATGAGGGTTTTCCAACTCCCCTAGGTGGACTCTCCGTATCCACCGAACCAGTTAAAGCGCCAGGTATTCGCTTTTCGTTCTCTCAATTTCGTAAACAACAGTCATGCTGCGAGAACGCAGTGAATAGGACTTCTGTGGCAGTAGTTGTTCGAACCCCGTCATTAGAAATATTTGATGTCACAGTCTGATAGTATTATAATCTCGTCATGCCTGAAATTTAGCTTATAGTAATATACGTGCTTCTATGATTATTTATTATTGATTTTGATCGATGAGAATAAATGAATTAATAATATTTAAGTTAAAAGCTCATCACTTTAGATTCAGTTTGGGTATTACTCTAACCCTTCAGTTATTTAATCACCAATCATGAAAGTGCAACAGTTTTTTTTCATATAAACATCACTAAACGTTTCATTGGAGAGCTAGAATGCAGCTGGACGATCTAGACTTCGCAGATGATCCGGCTCTTCTATCGCACACTCAATAACAAATACAGGAGAAGACGACCAGTTTAGCAGTAGTAGTAGGTTTCAACATACATAAAGGGAAAACTAAGATTCTCCGATACAACACAACATGCGCCAATCGAATCACACTTGGTGGAGAAGCTTCGGAAGATGTAAAAACCTTTACATATCTGGGTAGCATGATTGATAAGTGCGGTGGGTCTTATGCAGAATTGAAGGCGCTGATCGGCAAAGCAAGAGCAGAATATCCACAACTGAAGAACATCTGGAACTCAAAGCAATTGTCAACCAACACCAAGGTCGGAATTTTCAATACAAATATCATGACAGTTCCACTTTCGACAAATGGAGACAGACATGAGAAGAATGAACAATAATTGGATAGAACTAGAGAGGAAGGCCCAGGACAGAGTGGGTTGGAGAATGCTGATCGGCGTCCTATGCTCCATTGGAAGTAACAGGCGTAAGTAAGTAAGTAAACTTTTTATTGATTCATTTTACTATGTCCATTCTATCACCATGTGGGTTCTCTTTCTGAAACTACTGACTGTATTTTTTGCATTTTCGAATTAATGATAGTAATTTACATTTTAGATATAGATTGTAGTTGTTAACTAAATATACGGTTGCCTTTTATGACTGTAACCTTGTTAAGACTCTATATACCACAGTATATAGAATTATTCATGAAGTTCATTTATAGGTCAATTAAATTAATATAAATTAACGTATTATCATTATGAAACTTACCATCCATATAAGCACCATCAGCAAGAACTAATTGTAAAATACGATCATAATAAATTCGAGTTTTTTCTTCACCTAAAACATTAGTAACAATTTTTTCACTTTCTGTAATTGTTTCATCTTCATCTTCTTGTAATGCCTAATAGTAGAAAATAATTTTTAAGGAAAAAAGTTATATAGAATACTCTGGATAAACGTCATGTTTTTGATTAAGATCATGAACTGACTGATGTTAAACCACCATTGAAAACCTGAAAACACTGGACGACCGTTTCATTCTCTTGTATGGACGCCTCAGCAGTACACATCCACGATCCTGCTCACGGGATCTGAACCCACGGCCTTTGATCTCGCTCGTGAACGCTTAACCTCTAGACCACTGAGTCGTCATCCAACAATGTTAATGTCTAACCTCAATCAATCCGCGAATCCCGCGAGCAGAATCGTGGATGTGCAATGCTGATGAGTTCCACAATAAGACAAATCGGCCGTCCAGTGCTCACAGGTTTTCAACAGTTGTCTAACATCATTTGGCTCATAATCTCATTCATAACTTAATAATCTCCACAACCCTATACTGATAAACTTCATGTTGTCAGGTCAACTAAGTTTATCGTAGTCAGTGATTATAGCTATGTTTGACAAGACTATGATTTACGGACAAACTTACAGAATTGAAGATAACAAGTCTTGAATTTTGGGGCGGAATCCATTCATCAATATAGTTAAATAGCATTTTAGCATTATAGCCGGTATTATTCCATAATGAAAACCTTAACTCTAATACTTCACTTGAACATTTTACTCTCAATCCTAAAAAAAATTACTCCTACTAATTATAAAACTCTTATGGTCTCAGGAAATAAATGATTTTTCTCACGATCACTTTAGTGCTACCCAAAGGTCGTCCATAAATTCAAGATTTATATACTTAGTGGTATTTAAATCCATTTTGTATTGTTTGTTTAAATCTTCCCATGGGTGAATAGGACTGAAATTGATCAGTCTTTTATTGGCATATGTGCGTCCTGCGCGGATTGCCTCGATATTGCTTTAATTCATAAGGATTATAAGCAAAGATGGTTGGTGGCTAACAGTGGAATGTAGAACGCGCAGGTACATCCATCTGACGAGTCCTAAATGGGACGAAATGCACGTCCTGGATTCCACTGTTAGCCCTCAACCATCTTTGCTTATAATCTTACTGGTATTTTTCTAAAAAAATAATTCGTCGGAGTCATATCTCAAGGGCTTTTGTTTTATATTTCTCATCATAATTACATCTAGTGTTTTAGGGTTGCCCTCACTTGGAATCCTCAAGGCCGAAGGAAAAGAGGACGACCGAAGAACACATTACGCCGAAGAATGGAGGCAGATATGAGAAGAATGAACAACAATTGTATACAACTAGAAAGGAAGGCCTAGGACAGGGTGAGTTGGAGAATGTTGGTTGGCAGCCTATGCTCCATTGGGAGGAACAGGCGAAAGTAAGGAAGTAAGTTTCAGGGCTACCAATCGCAGTTCACATTGACTCATAAAACATTTGTCTAAGTCCTATTGGTTACATCATATCTGTACCTGGACCAGTTGGTACGAATGACGTAATTGAGAGTATCAGGAAAGAATTGATATTTATTAACCATTGAAGAATAATCAATATTATGTTTGTTTAGTCCTTAGTGTTAATCCGATTATTTTGATCAAATTGCAATAGAGCCACTAGCTAAAATGGTTTGACATTACATGCTGTAATTTGTGATGTTCATTGTTCGGAGGTAGTCAGTAAGAATCCGTAAACCAAGATTTGGTGCTTGTTACCACACGCCAGCATATGCAATATTGAGGAAACTGATACTGCTTGTGGGAGCAAACGCATTGAATGAACACTAAGAATTAAACAAAGGTGATACTAATTAGTACTGAATTTCCAGCTAACTGTTAACATCTCAACCATAATGGTAGCTAGTCTTGAAGTGATTCACTAAAAAACTAAGTGTCACATGGGAAAAATCAGTTTCTTTAAGATTACTAGTTCTATGCTTAAAAGTGGCAACTAGCATAAGACATAGGCCGAATGTTACCTTTCAACTACCTTCAACAACTAAATCTATACATCAATCTTCAAAAAGTGGAATAATCACTGAAAATTTTAGGAATAGTTAAGGAAATAATCTTACTTGAATGACATTGTAAGCTTTAATCAATAATTCAAAGCCTAATTCTTCTTCTAAATCAGCTCTCATTTGTTCTAAACGAAGAAATTGTGTATCGCCTAATTGATTGTTGTTGATTGTTGGTTTTATGATACTGTTATTGTGTAATCTATCATTATGATAATCATTATCTCCATTCTTTTGGTAGATTTTATTTATTTTTCGTTTATGTGAATTTTTCGATACATTACTTATGAATGAATTATCACTGAAACTATCAGTTTCACTGGAATCATCTAAAACACTGTCAGTATCATTGTCGTCATCACTAAGGCTTCCATCATCATGATCCTCATCATCGTCATCAACATCTTGACTCATTTCAAAATCTGATTCGTTCACTTCTGTAACTCGAGCTAAACGACTACCATGAACTGATTTACATATATTAATAAATGATTCTTGACATTCATTATTCAATGTTTCTTTATGATTTTGTTTTATGTTTACTCCTGTTGTTATATCATGAACACCATGATCATCATCATCATCATCTTCTAATTCTTCTGTGATTTCATCATCTGTATCCTTTTCATCCATCATACGAATCTCATCTTTTGTTGTATTCGTTGTACATCCAATTGAAACATTATCTAATCGACTAAGAAAATTACGTAATTGACCACTACTTGATGTTATATCTTCAGGATGATTTAAATTATTATTAATATTATCATATTTATTAGTTACATCATCAAGGGTATGATTTTTATGTGATTGTCTGAAAACTGAATTCATTTCAGTATAACTATTATATGAGGTTTCTTCAGTTTGTTGTTCAATTTTACTAATTCGTTGAATAGGGAGGTTGATTGACACTTTAAATACAGTTTGAATAGTATTTAATAAGAAAAAAAAATACATACAGAGTAATAGGATCAGTGATAGTAAACAATAATAGGAATAGAGAAATCTATTTTAGGAATCAAAGTTACAAGACCAACTCAAAACCTCGACATCCAGTGACTCCAATAATAAGCAGAGATTATGGTAGTTAGTAGTGGAATCCAAAACACACGTTTTGTCCTATTCAGAACTCACCAAGTGGGTGTAGCTACATCGCTGCTTATAATGCTTGTGAATTAAGGCAATATTTTGGCAATCCTCACAGGATGCACATATGTCAATATGAGACTGATCAAATTACATTTCTAAACACCTTTAGGGAGATTCAAGTGGAGTAACAACAATTTGCCACATAACACTTGCCTATAACATAATCAACGCAGGTTCATAGTAAGAAAATAGATCTTCAGCAAATCATATTATAAGAATCTTTTAAGATCTAATTGTTAGGGCGATCCAGAAAACTTTTCGCAAAGGACAAGAAAGACTCACGAAACACTAAGAAACATTTCATCCAATTAGCGTTCACTTGAAGTTTTAGCTAGAAACATCAAGAAAGTGAAAAGTGAAATGTAGAGTTTCTGATTGGATGATTACTACACTGCTACTATGTTTAGTAGAATTCCAGAATTTTCGAGAAAACCAACGTCATCTAAAATACTATAAAAACATTATATTTTCTGTACTAAAACGAACCTTTGAAGTAAAGGGCTTCTCGCATATTTTGCGCCTTTTCTCTTGTGTTCAGGTCGCTGTGTAGTTCTAGCTTTGGGGTTACGAGAATAGCTTAGGAACCGAATATAGCGTTCAACTAGCAAGACTGATCACTAATATCATGTCTATGGGATATGTATTTAATTGTTTAGTGAATAACAGGAGAAATTTATAAGCTTCGAGTGAACCTATAAACTTTCATTGTTTGTTCTATAATTCCTTAGTTATTCATAACGAATCACGTGCTGTTTGTTCTACCCTGTACTATTTATGATATAGTTGTTTTCAAAGTATGATTTTCTATTTGGTACGATATTTAGCCAAGCATCTTAATTATATTACTGTCGACTTTGAGTATTCATCAGATTGAGTACAATAGAGAACTATTCTGCTTCCTATCTGCATCTTCTACAAGGAGGCACCAAATGCATATGCGTCACATAGATCTCATTTGATATGTGTGAGGGCTGTGATACTGCCCAGCTGCCCAGACCGAACCAGGTGATTTTCTTAAGGGATCACACTCGCAGATTTCGACCTAAAGGTCTGATCCATAAGGCAATGGAGAAACGTAAGGAGATGCAGTCCCCATGGTAGCCGGTGACCAACAATATGCCATTTGTTCCTTCAGGATCCTGGAGCCCATGTGCACCATTGGTTTGGAATGAGGGTTTTCCAACTCTCCTAGGTGAACTCTCCGTATCCACCAACCCAGTTAAAGCGCTGGAGTTTCGCTTTTCGTCCTCTCAATTTCGTAAACAACACCGTCAATAGAAGGCAATGAGTAGGACTTCCCTGGCAAGGGCTTTATACGCGTGGCCATGTGAGAGCACTTGAAGAAAGAGAGCGGACTCTTCCCACTCTCGGGTGTACCAGGGCATCTTCTAACTGGTCACTGGATTGGAATAAGCTTTAAGACTATTAAATATCAAGAGCTTAGTTTGCAAATTACAAATTCACTGATCCTACTGACACTACAGATGAACTAATTGATAATCCTAATCTTGACAGGTAATATCGATTATCGATCACAAACTATGAAACAAACTGACAATCACGAAACACAACATACAGTATTATCTAAATGATAGTAACTATGAAATGAAATAAATTCATTAGTCACTTGGAATTACATCCATCACTCAATTATAATTGATACATACCTGATCGTTTTCTGTGATTATTTAAATGATCATTGAATGGTTTTTGTTTATTCAATAGTTTTATATCAATTTCTGATATTGTTGAATGATTTGAATAAATATCATCCATATCATCGGATAATAAAGCAACATCATTAGAATCATTTGTATTTGAAGTTAATATAACTTGTAACATACTTTGACGTACTAATTCAATATCTTGTTCATCATCTTCTATATCTAGTTCTTCTTTCAATTGTTCATTAATTATTGTTGGACTATTGTTGTTATTGTTTATCACTGGTTTTTCATTGACATTCCAACAATTGATTTCATCATCTGCCTGATGATTTTTCTGATAAACATTCATGCTACTAACAAAATATAAGTAACACAGATGTGTTTTAGTAAAATAATTATGAGTAGTTTCTTTTTTTTATCTGATGTATGGAAAAATAATTACTAACGGGAAACATGTTGAATTTTTATGGCATTGAATGTAGTTGAGTACCATTAACAAATAAATAAACGACCATGATGGAACAAAATATTAATCTAATACTTAGTCTGTAACTGATGAAAAACTACATTCAATAGGTGATGGGCGGTAGTATCATAACGAAAGATTTATGCTTCTTAGTTGAAATTTTGACAAAAGCTATTGGTCTGTGGTTGTATTCACATCTAATTCAGTTAGTATGTCAATAAATGAATCATGATAGTCATCGGGGCAGTAACTTAAAGTAAAACTTTTTATAGGTAAGTAATATAATATATAGTATACCATTGTGAGTCAGGGTAATTTTACATTGGTTTTCAGGAGAACCAGACACTATCCAGGCTTTCACGTGACAACCCAAACAGTACAGCTCAATCCCATTTAACAGGAGAGCCAGACACCACCTAAGCTTTGACGCTACAATGTGAATAGTACAGCTCAATCCTGTGGTGCAACCACACAGGTACCAAGCATCCTGGTGGATCATTCGCACCATTCATATATACATCAACATCGTGTATAATTATTCTGATCAATGATCGCGTGAATCAATTATACACAGCACGAACACGCCGAAGTTGACCTTTTCCGCCAACACGACAGTCAAACTCATTAATTTTAGCAATGGCGACATGCCCTACAATGTCCCAACAACAATGGCCCTTGAGAACATTGAAAAGCAAAAACCAGTATGAATGAAATAGGGTAACCAGCAAACCAATTTCGAGCATGAACAGTCAACAAAACTTGCCAAAGTAATGCCGAACCACCCACATTATCAACGGCGAACCTCCAGTCTCATATGAGACCTTCAGCTCTACATAGCAATATAGCTTTTACTTCATAGAATACATGGCAGGGTAGTAAACCAAATAGCACAGCCTGAAGCGTCAGGGCTTAAACAACGCTTAAAACCCATACTATTACAAAACCACCGAGATCATTTTTATCTCATTTGCGAAATCCTAACTGGGAGACCAATGAGTTAGGAGTAGTATCCATATATAACATGGCAAGTAAGAGCAGATGTAAATCGTCAAGCACAAATCTTAATGTGCGTGTACATATTATACATCACTAAGTTGTACTCAATCAGATAAGTAACACAAAGAAAACCCCATTGAAAAAAATATTAGTCCGTTTAAAAGTTATGAAGTAAAATGTGACCCCAAAGTTCCCATGTAAAATCCGTGCGGCAAAATCCAATAGAAATGCCCAAGACAAAGAATTTCGTGAACACACTTTTGACCATAACTTTTGAATGGCTCAACCGATTTCGTTCATTCATTTCGTATTCAATTTCTCTTGCAAATATCTATTTGACAACTTATAAAACATTGCTATACAATGACTGGGGAAAATGTTTTGGTCAAAAAACTGAAATTCTCTTCAACTTTCTATAGAAAAATAAGGAATTTGAACATTTTTGTTGATGGACAAAATCTCTTGATTATTTATTTAGTAGAACATGCAACGCTGCACAAAATCAACCATGAATATGGTGATTATCAGTATGTGGAGGATACGGTCAATCAGTGCCTTCAGGCTTTGCAATGATTGATTCGTGATCTCAATGAAAATTGATTTATTTCATAAAATAGATTGAAAACAATTCATCGGACCTATTCAAACTGAGAATTAAAACTCACTTTGTATCATTGCAATTGTTACCATGATTATTAGTATCTTGTTTATTTTCTTGTAAATTCAATAATGACTTTCCATGTAAACCTTTATTTTGTGTGGATACCTCAGTAGGTGATGATGAAGTTGGGCAAAAATTACTGATATTTGGTAATGAACCAGATCTATTCATCTTTATGAAGAAAGAAAAGGACATCGATTAAGAAAAAAATCAGATATCAGTTTATTATTAATAGTGATAATAAAATTTCCTTTAACTGTTTCATACTAGTCGAAGTGAATCAAATAGAGTTGGCAATTAAAAGTTTCATGTTTGTTGCTTACACTATTGATAAAACAGTCCAGGAACGTGTACTATCATTATTATTAGCTCATCGGTTGTGTTTGAGGCTGTGGAGTGGAAGGATACGGATTCGTACCCTACAAAGAGTAAATATCCTCTTAAGATTGGAGATACACTGTACTGACGAGGTTTCTAGGTTTCGAGTATCTCAATCTAATATTGTAAACATCAGGGATTTTATATGTTACACTAATTAAAAAAATAACAGAAGTTCACATTTCATGGTATTCTCCCACTGTTGAACTAATGAATTAATTGTTTTGTGGACATTTTCAATTATTTCATGACAGTAACATTTAATGATTATTTATATTGAAGAAAGCACCCACCGCGTCACAACGCAAGCCCCCACATAGGCTTTTCAAGGTCAAAGGAAAAGAGGACGACCAAAAAACACATCATGCCAAGAAATGGAGATAGACATGAGAAGAATAAACAGCAACCGTGCAGAACTAGAAAGGAAGGTCCAGGACAGAATGTGTTGGACAATGCTGGTTGGCGGCCTATGCTCCATTGGGAGCAACAGGCGTAAGTAAATATAATCTAACTAGTAAATACAGGCTGAAGTACTAGCATAATTGACGCATACTAATAAAGTGTTGGATTGGTGGTTATAAAAATTGGCTTTAGAGCAATAGGTTACAAGTTAGAACAATGCTACACGTTTTTTGGGCTGAATCACCTAAATAGTTTCATCAGCCTGTATACAAAGTAACTGTGGCCAGAAATCAACTACATAAACTTCTGCTCTTTTCAAATGAATTGGATTCAGTAAAACAATACAGAGTATTTGTTTTGTTTAGATTTTATGTCATAAACGTACTGTAAAAGAAAGATTACCAAGTATTGAATATCCAGCTTTATTAGAGTTTAACACAAGTCTATACAATTCATATCAGTCCAGTTGGAGAGAGGGGGGAATTGACATGATTGATAAAAACAAAAGAATGGTAATAATTGTTATGATTTGAGACGTTAATGGATATCATGTGCTAAATCCATCAATCCGAATTCTGATTATAACTTTTTATATCCCTCGTTTATTGATCTGTCTAGCGTCCTAAGCTTGATCAATTATACGTTCTGACCTGCACAAATAACCTTGACCCAGTGCAAGCTACACTCCTGTTGGCCAGCTATCTTCATTCTTTTACTCTATCCCCGAAGAAAAGCCAGTAGCCAGCTTTCAATATATAGATATATATTCTAAATCAATATTATTGTCACAAACAACAAACGTGTCGTCCATGTATCTCACGTATAGGTGGAATCGATTGATTATTGAACGGAGTTCTCGCTTGACGTTAATTCTTTGTTCACTAACGTACCCTTAACCGAAACAATATGTTATATATGTGAGTATATTGATTCTAACAATATAGATCTAGGTTTGCCAACTGAACACTTGAAAGAATTATTGTTACGCTGTACTTTTAATGTCCAGTTCAGTTTCAATAATGAAATATATAGACAAAGGGATGGGATCGCAATGGGGTCTCCATTGGGTCCAATTTTAGCAGACTGTTTCATGGCAAAAGTAGAAAACGACCAACTCCGTTCAATATAGATATATATATTTCAATTATTTAGCCTGGACAACAACTACCTCAAACATCCATTAGATTATGTACATGAAACTTTTGTACAGTACATCAGATAAGAAATCATGCTTTAGACACAATCATACTATCAGTGGTAGGTAGCGAAACAAACAGTACATATTTATTTAACAATAACTAAGGTATAGTAAAACGTATAACGATGGTTTATAGATCCATTGGGAGCTTACAATGAGGAGAGCATAGGGATACAACAATACAATTGTCTATCAATTACATGATAAAAAGAATAGTAACAATCATAATCCAAAAGATGGTTCTAATATTTCCTATTCTTGTCCCATTTAATATTAATAACAGAGTTATTAGAAGAAAAATGAACTAGAATAATGAAGTATATTCTATAAAGAAAGAATACATTAGGAGTTTTTGGTGGTGTTTTGTTCTCTGAGCTGGATGGTTTGGTCGTGGAGCTTTCATCGTTCTTCTGAACGACATCACCAGCACAAACTTCTATCTACCACCTGAGCTACAAATCTTCTCCACCATCTCAATACATTAGGAGTTTTGTAACAGATTTGAAAATTCGGTCACTTAGTCCGATGCCAGTTAGAATTTATAACATTTGTGCTTCAGTTTGAGTTCCTATAGCCAGGTTAAATTATTAGGACAAATCATACAATAGTAGAAGGAATAAAAGTATCAGTAGAGCCAGGAAAGATTATTTGAGAATAAAAGATGAACTTGTGGGACAAAAAGTATGGGATAATTTTAAACCTCAAGATCTTAGATAAGACGATGAAGAATGAATGAATCTAAGCCAATGTAATCGATTCTGTGTTGTGTCATTCAATGTCTTTAACCGTCGATCAAATTCATCTTGTGGACTTAAACCAGGTAGTTTGTATGTAATAATATAGATTAATCCACCAGTTAGTGACTTTACGATCTGGTAACATGTTTTTATCTTCCTTAATCCACTCTTTCCTCCTTGAAAGGGTAAGTTCACTACAGATGATCATTGTCTGAGAGAAACACCTCACTTCCGTTACGCCCCAGTATATTTAGAAGTACGATTTCGTTCATGAAACTTGGGTTGCTGATTTTTACTAAAGCGTTCTCTAGTTAACCTATCTGGGATGGAAAGATGTAGAGGAACAAGTATCCCATCCAATATAATCCAACTAGATTATCATGTTACTTAACTCCCATTAACACAGATTAGAGCTATTTTATAATCTTCGATTATTACACTCTATTTCAACAAACATAAATTCAAATTTGTAAAATCTGGATGGTTTACAAGTAGATCCATTAATGCGTTGAAATACTCACTTGATCACGTTATAGTCTATTTAACTAATTAAAATTACAGACAAACGTTTAGTAAAAGACATATCGAAAATCATAGAGCATTGGATAATTGTTTCATCTTAAAGTGAGACTTCTCGGGATTACGTAAAGACAGTTACTTCAAGTATCTAGATCAGGTGCCCCAAGAAGTGAGTTATCTTTAGATTACTGAGTTAACATTAAAACCGTTCATATTTCTAAATTCAGTCAAACTATATTAATAATAATCTTTATACAAAGTGGATGGAATGTGGCTGGTAGTGATGTACAGGATGTGTTTTACGCCTATTTGAGACTTATCAGTTGGATTTACCTAGATTTTAGAGTTGAAGTAGGAATGAAGCGAAAGCTACTATGTTTAGATTACAGTGCGAACATTAACTCAGATTCTGCTAAATTTATCTGATGAGTTCCAAGTAGGACGAAATGTGCATTTGGGATTCCACTGCCAGTTACTTTCTATCTATCCTTTATAAACCTGCAAAATAATGACTGCATCGAGGCAATTCGCATACGATATATATATATATATATATATATATATATATATATATATATATCACTATTTGTGCATGTTTACGAATAGTGTTGCTCCAACAAGACGGAAATCCATGAGGTAAGATAAGGCGTGACACCTTTAGGGCTGACGTTTCTTAACCCCTTCCTTCCTTGTGACTTTACGATCTGGTAACATGTTTTTATCTTCCTTAATCCACTCTTTCCTCCTTGAAAGGGTAAGTTCACTACAGATGATCATTGTCTAAGAGAAACACCTCACTTCCGTTACGCCCCAGTATATTTAGAAGTACGATTTCGTTCATGAAACTTGGGTTGCTGATTTTTACTAAAGCGTTCTCTAGTTAACCTATCTGGGATGGAAAGATGTAGAGGAACAAGTATCCCATCCAATATAATCCAACTAGATTATCATGTTACTTAACTCCCATTAACACAGATTAGAGCTATTTTATAATCTTCGATTATTACACTCTATTTCAACAAACATAAATTCAAATTTGTAAAATCTGGATGGTTTACAAGTAGATCCATTAATGCGTTGAAATACTCACTTGATCACGTTATAGTCTATTTAACTAATTAAAATTACAGACAAACGTTTAGTAAAAGACATATCGAAAATCATAGAGCATTGGATAATTGTTTCATCTTAAAGTGAGACTTCTCGGGATTACGTAAAGACAGTTACTTCAAGTATCTAGATCAGGTGCCCCAAGAAGTGAGTTATCTTTAGATTACTGAGTTAACATTAAAACCGTTCATATTTCTAAATTCAGTCAAACTATATTAATAATAATCTTTATACAAAGTGGATGGAATGTGGCTGGTAGTGATGTACAGGATGTGTTTTACGCCTATTTGAGACTTATCAGTTGGATTTACCTAGATTTTAGAGTTGAAGTAGGAATGAAGCGAAAGCTACTATGTTTAGATTACAGTGCGAACATTAACTCAGATTCTGCTAAATTTATCTGATGAGTTCCAAGTAGGACGAAATGTGCATTTGGGATTCCACTGCCAGTTACTTTCTATCTATCCTTTATAAACCTGCAAAATAATGACTGCATCGAGGCAATTCGCATACGATATATATATATATATATATATATATATATATATATATATATATATATATATCACTATTTGTGCATGTTTACGAATAGTGTTGCTCCAACAAGACGGAAATCCATGAGGTAAGATAAGGCGTGACACCTTTAGGGCTGACGTTTCTTAACCCCTTCCTTCCTTGTGACAAGGCAGCATCGCTGCAGATGCCGGTTGCCCGAGGGAAACACTTTACTGCTGTCACACTCATCTACAGTCGGCAGTACTGTAGTGAACAAGAACACGAGCGGGGACAATCGACTGTATTTAGCACAAAGATTACAGACTATCTCAATAAAATGTGAATACCATAAAGTCAATCGTCAATTTGCAAAATATCATTCCATCACATCAAACTGTACTGTTCCCGTTGCAAACACTAATTCATTGTCTCCCATTCCATTGTACATGCGTTTTCTTACAATTCCATTGTGCTCTTGCTCTTCCTTTCTTGATCTTCGCCATCTTCTGCTGCCGGACATTACGTTCTTTTAACGCACGTTATATACTACTTATATCAATATAAGTAGGTCACACCACAGTACGACTTCTCCCTCAGACCTTGAGTTGCCGATTTTAGTCTTACCGTTCTCCAACTGACCTGCCTGGCATGGTAGAACCTACAGGAACATATGTTCCAGCTAATATAGCTCAGTTGGATCATCACGATAGGCAAGCTCGACCACCACGTCAAGGTAGCAGCTACGGTCGGATGACTGAACGGGATCTATTTTCATAACTGAATATAGCTGATATGTGAATTATACTATAATCATCTCTCACTTGTTTAAAGAATCCAAAAGAAGAAGAAAGTATATACAAACCATTGTAGCAGTACTCGTTGATAAGATTCATAACAGTTTATAAACATTTCAAAAAGGCTCATAAGTACTTGTAGTTAGCATAGTTAATTAAATAAAATAATGAAACTTTATAACAAGGAATGTACATTTGTAAACATTGTCGCTCAAATATTTGAGTAGGCCACTCTAATCAACCTATTGTTCCAAGATCATTGATTTCTATTAATAATATTCATCTCCTATCTAACAATGAACTAACCTTCAACTTAAAGAATACTCAATCAATCAATCAATTAACCAATAGATCAATCAATCAATACAACCATCTAAATATTAACGTACTTCTCTAAATGTATTCATAGGATAAGAATTTTGTACAAAAAGTTGACCATTTTCTAAATCTTCCAATTCACATGATTGATTTACTTTATTATTGTCTGTTATACTTTGATCTGAAATTGGATCATCTACAAAATCCACCTAATTTTGAAAGAAATAATAAGTAAAATATGAAAAAAAGAAGAAAGTGTGATAAATTGCAAACTATCGATCGTTGTAAAGAAGATAAATTATTGATTGTAAAGGTATACAATTTACATTACTTACATGTGTCAGTTGGTCAGCTACATCGGTTCAAGTTGTCATACCACATTACCACAAGAAGATGAACACTAAATTCGGAGAAGCAGTTACTTCAGCAGTAGTAATATATGTGTATAAAAATCGTCTATAATGATATGATACAGGGAGAAAGAATTAATTCGTAGGAAGGAAGGTATAAAGTGATTTTAATCTCATAGTTTAAGGGAAGACAGAGAGTGTATACACTTATGTCATTGTGATCGATTCTGAGCCATGTCACACACAGTCTCCAACCATTGGTTACGATAGTCATGCGGACCTAAACCAAGTAGTCTGCATCTACCGACATGGCTCAGACGAAACGTTAGTGACTGATGCCACGTTTTGATATGGCCGCCCCTAACTTTCGTCCATACGTCTCCAACACGTCTATATCTTGTATGAAACTTTGGAGTAATTCACTCAACCAAACGTCTAAGTATTGCAATCCATTTAAATCTAGAAATTTATTTATTTTCGAATGGTATGAAACATAAGGATTATCAAAGATTAAACTAGACTAATTCCTTCTAAATAAATTAAATTCATTTAGGATTTTATCAGATAATTCATAGGGAATGGTTTCATCTCTTCAACGTGAATCACATGACGAATTGATTGAAGCTGGAAATTCGGAATGACTGTGTGATAAATCAGTAGCAGAAAGTTCCAATCCTTGACGCGTTCGTAGGCGTACACTGCTGTAGAGTTTCGTATCAGGACTGAGTAGATGTCTAATGATCCATAGTTTTACCAAGTGACGTGAATCCGTGACAAATACCATCTAGAAATCGGCTCTTAATAAACAATTATACTGATATATTTCGGAAATGTTCATTATGATAACATTTCAAACCTTTCACTATTTCTGAAAATTCACTTTGAATTTACAGTCGTAATTAGTTATGTACATCCGCTTCTTTACGACTACTTGTTATATCTAGAGGTTCGATTCTTAATATATGACGTACAACTTGACCACTAGAACGCTAAAACCCTCCAAGTCGCAAATGAGAAGATAGAAGATAAGTGAAAGGAATGCTATTCCAAACAGTGTCAATTATCGTGCAAAACTGTAAGGTATTTATAGTTTTCAGTAAAAAAAGAAATCATCATTATGGCTATCCAATCCGCACACAGGGGGTTATTAGCAATTGTCCAATAGGGAAGCTACACATAGGGATTCTGGGAAATTCTTCCAAAAGATGATTGGAAGGAACATCTTCGGTTCTTTCTGAGCTTCTTAGAGTTTCCTCGAGTTCATCTGTGGGCCGACCTCACACTACTCATTTTCTAATCTAATTTTACTCATATGTCTAACAATACTACTCTTTAAAATTAAGATTAAACCCTGAAAAGAATATCAGTCGAATAAGTACAGATAACAAATTTGTAATTAATACGGGTGTTTGGTAGATGCAGACTACTTGGTTGAGGTCCGCGTGACTATCGTAACCAATGGTTGGAGACTCTGTGTGGCATGGCTCAGAATCGATCACAATGGCGTCGGTGTATACACTCTCTGTCCTCCCTTAAAGTAAAAGATTAAAATCGCTTCATATCTTGCTTTCTACGAACTAATTCTTTCTTACTGTACTATTTCATTATATACAATCTTTCTTTTAAATATTACCACCATTGAATCAATTACTTCTATGAATCCAGTGTTCATCTTGTTGTGCCAAAGAGGTATGGCAACTTGGACCGATGTATATAGGTGCCTCGTCCTACGTTGTAGCTGACTGACTGACTTACTCTCAGTATTAAGTTATTTATATTGAGAAATTGTAACGATTAGTGAAAAGTAAAGTTATTTTCACCTAATCAACAGAAATGAAACCAAAAAAAACAAACCAAAAAAAACAAATTAAATTACTTTTTCAAATAATTTTTCATCAGGTTTATTAATTATTCGAGGATGCTTTAATCGATAAGTTGCCATGCGATTATTAAACGACAGTTTCGAGTGATCTGAAATGTTTAAATCATCTGATAATCTGTTTGTTTTTCCTTCATGATTGTGATCATTATTATATTGGTTGACTGGATGTAAACAGTCAGCTGTTAAATTGACATTTGGTCCACCTGGTCCACTTGGGCCAGGTAGAGAAGGTTTATGAATATTTGACAACAACGATGATGATGATGATGATGACGGGGTATTCGTAGTCGTAGCTATAGGAGTAATAGTTGTTGTTGGCGGTGATACTGATATTTCTCTTACGTTAGTTTCTTTTCCTTGTGGATCGAATTGCCAAGCATCTGTAATTTAAGCACAAAAAGTGATATATGTAAACTAACTGACTTTCAAGAAGTATGATATGTCCTATAACCCGTTAGATATCACGTGACAGATTTGCTACTCAGAATGCCGACTTCTATGACCTTGTCCCTATGCTAAATCACCAGTGTATCAACCAGCACTAGCAGCCTTGAGTCAACTTATTGGTCCTCCGTATAGTAGTTCCCTACCTAGCTCAATCGTTCAGTCCAGAATACAAATATCAGCCTGCGCTGTATGAATCGTATATTTCAGACATATGTGGTTTATATACAAGCAGAATAGACCAGATCACATCATAAAATGAAAAATAATAATTATACAAGCACGAGCCAAAAGTGGCTGTCAGTCAGTCAGCAACAACGTAGAATTTCTTAAGTACGGACATCAGTTCTAGTTGCCATACCACATTAGCACACCAATACAATTGTCGATTCAAATCCCATAGTGGCACAGATAGTAAAAGTATAAGCATAAATCAGAAAGATCAGGGTCTGAAAATGTTATTTATGGAGTATAATTCAGTGAAATAAATTTGGAAAGAGGAAGAAATGGATATGAAGAATTAAAGAGATTAGATTTCGGGAGAACACAAAGAGTGGATGCACCTGCTCACACCATTGCAAACGATTTTGAACCATGTCATTCCAGGTCACCAACCATCGGTTGCCATCGTCTTGCAGATCCAATTGAGGTAGTCTACACCTACCAACATGACTCAGTCCACTTGTCAGGGACTTCATGGATTTGTGCTATGTTTCGATTTGGCCGCCCCTAGCTTTCTTCCAACCTACTCCTACACCATAAAACATCGCTCGTCGTGGCATTCGGTGGTTGGGCATGAGTAACACATGTCCCAGCCATCTCAACTGATGAAGTTTCATCACTTCATCAATTGATTTGCCATCCTTACCTGATAACCGTTTCCTAACAACTGCATTACTTAATCAGTGGTCTCAGGATATATTATTTAAGACAAACTTAATTTTACAAATCTGTCAACTAAAATGATAGTAAATACATGATCACAATGAATAAATTGACTTACTTTTTATAGGACTTCCTAAACCATTGAGACGATTTTGAAGATCAGATTTTGTTGTGATTGATGTTTTCAATTGTGAATTATTATTCATTGTTTGACAATCAGAAGGACCTTTTAATAAATTATAATGAAGAAATCTATGTTAACTAGTATAGTACTTTTTTTGGAATGAACTAAAATTATTAATTTAATAGTTGAATTCATGAGTCAATTGAAGCTAGACTAACATAGGAAACCTGGAAGCACTGGACGGCCGTTTTGTCCTAGTATGGGACTCCTCAGCAGTGCGCATCTACGATCTCGTTCGCGTGATTCAAACTCAAAACCTTCTGTCTCGAGAGCGCAAACGCTGAGTAGTTCTATACTTGGATGAAACGGTCGTCCAGGACTTGCAGGTTTTCCATAGTGGTCTAGCTTCAATTGACTCATGATTTCAACCATTGAAATTTCTAAAATCTCAACAAAACCCCTTCTGATAATAATCATCTGCTCACTAGTGACTGATTTCAAGAGGCATTTTCTGGAGCTCTAGTGAGAAGCCGTGACCAGTGGAGTTCAACCAGGTCTTTTGTGAGATATCAGCTCATTGAAGACGATGGTGTACGGTGGCACAATTTCTTGGATTGATTGAAGTTAGACATTAACACCATTGGATACCGGCTCAGTGGTCTAGTTGGTAAGCGCTCGCGCGTTATACCGGTAGGGCTTTGGCTCGAATCCCGAGAGGCGGGGTCGTGGATACGCACTGCTGTGGAGTTACATACTAAAACAAAGTGGTCATCCAGTGCTTTCAAGTTTTCCATGATGGTCTACGTCTAATCACTTCATGAATTCAACTATTGAAATTACTACAATCTCAACAAAACCCCACTTTCTGATAAATATCAATGTTAAATAATAAAGATTGTGTTTAAAAACTGATTTCACTTTAAAATGAACTAAAAATCTCTGTACAGTTTGATCATTTGTTTGTATAGATGAGATTGTTCAATTTTCAATCAAAATTTAACCGAAAACAAATAAACTTTTATATGGACATTAATATTTAGCTTCATGCTGTGAAAATGATCCAATTGTTGCCGTAGTGTCTACTATGTAACAATTAGTTCTAAAAAATATGTACACATTGAACATTCAATGTATATAAAAGATGTTTGTAGCCTACTTCTGATTGACTCTTTATATTTTAATGTTTGAGTAAGATATTGCCAATCCAAGAGACTATCGATCTTTTACATATTGGCAAAAAAAAGAAGTTAGTAGTAGTTGTAATAATAATAATTGTCGTTTTTGTACTAGAGGATTGAATATAGACAATGGAGACTGTGTTAGTGACGTGAATGAAACCACGGAAGAGGCAGTAAATAATCCAATTGTAAAGTGTAAAAGTATCTGACGAAACATATGAATAATGAAATTTCGAAGAATCATAGACCAATTGTTGATGTTGTCCATTAAGTTATTTTATATGATGACCGTAATAGGACTGTTATTAACTCAAAGAGTTATGTGACGAAAATCTCAAATGAAAGAAAATGGAGGTCAGTGTAGAGACGATGAAGAAACTAAGAGACTCTTGCAAACAGTTCGCCACCCTTGATTGATATTATTTTCTTAAGTTTCCATTCGGAGTTACATAATACTTCTCTAAAGCTCCACAGTCTTACTATAAATACACTTGGATCAAGAGAAAAAATTCAAACTGTTTCCAACATTATTGTGAACGATTTGATTGAATGAAGTGATATAGATATAGAAAAGGTTGGAATACTTACACAGAACATTCTACTGAATAACTCAATGGGATTTCAGTCCAAAAATCTGGTAAGAACAGATACAAGTATGGAAGGAAACGCTGATCTTCTATAATGAAGACTCTCTAAGGAGATTCTAGGTAGGAGGCACAAAAATCTGCTTGTTAACCGGTCCTTGGAAGCGAGATAGTATTTATATTCGGATAAGACCTGACACACTACTAGATTATAAAATATGGCAGAAGATGGCTCTAGATTGATTAGTAACCCATCAACAAAATGAGGAAGAAAAGATTCTTTTAGTGTCTTCTCGAATAGTTAGTTCTTGCTAATGCCCCCTGCCAACAGTGGGTTTCGAGCAACGGTGTTTCTTTCATAGATCCTACGTTTGTTGAGATGACAGTTGTCCTGATACGACTCCAGAACCTCGAAGTATGTAAGTTCAATGATCCTGATGATATTCATTCAGGAATTATGAAAGTTCTAGTGAATATAATTGAAGGACTACTAGCAATATTGTTTAATGTTATCTTTGGAGCAGTCAAAACTCCCAAGAGACTGAAAGAGTGCAACAATAGGTCAGGTCTGAAAAACTGGGGGTAAACATTTGATGAATAAAAGTCGCCCAGTTACCACTCTTAGTAATATGGTCAAACTAATGGAGAGTATTTTTCAAGTTGCCACTCTGCGTTACTTAAAAGAGAATAATCTTCCAATGGTAGAATAACATAGTTTTAGAACAGGCCTTTCATGTTCGATCCATCTTTTCACTGCAAAGAAAGACAGAGGTATTCCAGTAGATGTAACTTTCACCGAACTAAGTGAACTCTTCGTTAAGGTCTGTGACCCAAGTCTTAGATTTCAACTTTGAAGTTACGGAATCATTTGTAAGGTCATGAATTGACTTTCACAGAGTTAGGTGGAAACGAGTGAGAGTAAATGATGCCTTATCATCATGAGAATCTGAGGACGATCCTATGCCCTCTTCTTATTTTACTTAAAGTAGATGATTAACCAAGTGTCACACAGTCATTTGTTCTACTGTTTGTTGGTGGCATCAAAACATGAAGACCCACATAAAGTGCCTGTGGTAAGATATGATTACAGTTAGACTTAAATGTACTAGTTGAGTGAATGAATCGGTAGTTATTAGAGATAAATTCTACCAAGAGCATAAAAGTGCCGATCAGTTACCAAAACGATTGACATATATACACAATAAATGGAATCCCATTATCCAAGTTTATTGATGTCTTAACCAATTTTCATTATTTTACAGTAGGTTACGATGTGATCTGATACTAGTTAACCGTTTGCTGAATGTCGGCTTTGGTATTGATGTGTTTTATCATTATCTTCGATCCGGGACTCCGTTGCTATTTGACTGGTCTCCCCGGTCTCCCACATTGTTCGGGCGTTCCATGTACCTATAAAACTTCTTGCTCTGGTTGTTAGAAAGGGCATCGGCCTCGTGGCTTCCGAAGGAACTCGGCTTTCACCATGAAGCGTCATAATTCTTCTAAATGAAGACCTTCTAACTTTCAGGGCAGAGTCTAGATGGTTTGAATTATTTTTTTCTGGTAAGCGTTTTTTTGGCGAGTTAGTTTTCTACGGGATGGAACGCTAACCCCTTGCCCAACCCTCCTCCTTTACTCGGGCTTGGGACCGGCAGTAGCTCTGGAAGAGCTACAGGCGGAAATTAAGAAAAGACGATGGAAATCGATAGGATATACACTACGCAAATCGTCAAACTGCATCACCAGACAAGCCCTAACTTGGAATCCTGAAGGAAGGCGGAAAAGAGGAAGGCCAAAGAACACATCACGTCGAGAAATAAAAGCAGATATGGAAAGGATGAATAACAACTGGAAGGAGCTGGAAAGGATTGTCCAGGACAGGGTTGGATGGCGAATGCTGGTGAGCGGCCTATGTTCCTTCACGAGGAGTAACAGGCGTAAGTAAGCAAGTAAGTAAGTGAGTCGATCTGGGACTGATCGCCTGAGAATGTTTTCTCAGAAAGTTAAAAAACTGAGATCAAATAATCTAAATCTGGAATTCATTCCTCATGTCTAGGGGCACATTATTAGAGTTTTCAGCCAGAACAAGTAGTACCAACATGTGTTGGTACATCCAAAAAGAGATTAGATCTCCACAGTAGTACACTCCGAAGGGATTAACATAAGTCATTTGACCTTCTCTTCTTACATCTGAAGATTGAAGACAGATATGACTGACAACTTCCTGTTAATTTTGAACTTGATTGGTTGTGGCATATTCCTACTCAATACTCCTTTGCGCAACAATGAACAGCATTTGACTATATACCAGTAGTGTCACACAAAATGCCGCCTAGGTAGTAGTCTGAATTAAGTTTTGACAGCCAATCTCGCTTTACGCGCTCAGCACAGACCATCTCATTCCGACGACACACCTCCCCCTCACGAGAATGACTCCCGATCGCCGGGTGTGTGGTGTGACCATCAGAGCCTTGTCTGTTGGCCTGCACCCCTGTTAGTGGGGCCTCTCATCACGAGAGTTTGCTGCTGCACGTCTCAGACCTTCCCGCAAGGCTAACACGGGTGACCATGCACCCTCTACATAACCTCACAGTGGCTAACCCCCAGGCGACAACGGTGGCCAATTGGTGTCGCTGCTCAAATAAAAACTTCACAAAACTAGTATAAAAGTATAATTTGCATAATGTTTCCAAGCATCCAACTGAGGATATCCTAGTGGATCATGGTTAAAGGCACAAGAAATTAAAGCCAACCTTTACGATCATTTCTTTACAATCAACTTTACTTCTTCTGAACTTCTGTATTCTAGATCCTCATCATTTAAGTAGTATATACGGTGTGTACACAGTGAGTTATTTTACTTCGAACCAGATATATCACCAGTTGACATTGCAGTTTAACAACAGACATCCACAACCAAAGTAACACTATTTAAGTAGTATATATAGTCATATTAACAATCATGGTAACGATTACTCATGAATTCCTTCCTTCATCTCAAGCAAAATGTTTATAGTATTATTTCGTTTATGAAAATACATTGTTAAACTGCAATGTCAACTGGTGATATATCTGGTTCGAAGTAAAATAACTCACTGTGTACACACCGTATATACTACTTAAATGATGAGGACCTAGAATACAGAAGTTCAGAAGAAGTAAAGTTGATTGTAAAGAAATAATCGTAAAGGTTGGCTTTAATTTCTTGTGCCTTTAACCATGATCCACTAGGATATCCTCAGTTGGATGCTTGGAAACATTATGCAAATTATACTTTTATACTAGTTTTGTGAAGTTTTTATTTGAGCAGCGACACCAATTGGCCACCGTTGTCGCCTGGGGGTTAGCCACTGTGAGGTTATGTAGAGGGTGCATGGTCACCCGTGTTAGCCTTGCGGGAAGGTCTGAGACGTGCAGCAGCAAACTCTCGTGATGAGAGGCCCCACTAACAGGGGTGCAGGCCAACAGACAAGGCTCTGATGGTCACACCACACACCCGGCGATCGGGAGTCATTCTCGTGAGGGGGAGGTGTGTCGTCGGAATGAGATGGTCTGTGCTGAGCGCGTAAAGCGAGATTGGCTGTCGAAACTTAATTCAGACTACTACCTAGGCGGCATTTTGTGTGACACTACTGGTATATAGAAGGATATGGCTAATATACTTGAACTATTTCATTTTCAATGATAAAAGTCATTCTATCCCATGGATACTATTCGACTGAAATCATCAGAAATTGGGCGCCGAGTATAGAGAAGACATTATATGTGACATAACTAAGGTCAACATCTAAATATGATTAGTTAAATATAGTAAAGATTTGATTTGATTGCTAAATACCATAAACTCCTTTGATAATTTTGTTTTATCAATTTTGGCGATCCGCGGAGATTATAGTATTTTCAACGTAGCATTCATGAGTCAATCTAAGCTACAATCTCCACAAATATCAAAAACTGATAATAATCATGTGTTTACTAGTGACTAGCTTGAAGATGGATTTCCTGGAGTTCTAGTGATCATTCGTGAACAGCGGAGAACAATTCGTGTTAGGTTTGAGACAGTTATCCACTTCACACAATGGATGAACGGTTGCGCAAGATTACGGATCAATCGAAGTTAGACATTAACACTTTTGAATACCAGCTTATTGGTCTAAAGTTTAAGCGTTCGAGCGCAAGACCGAAGGTCCTGGATTTGGATCCTACATGCGGAATCATGGATGCGCACTGCTTTGGAATTCCGTATTAGGATGAAACGGCCGTCCAGTGCTTCCACGTTTTCAAAGGTGGTATAGCTCAGATTGACTCGTATACTCGGTTTTCATTATTACCCTGAAGTTCAGACAAGTTTGCTGGACGAAACATTTGAATTATATAAATTCTAATCGCTGAGATTATTTAAATATAATTTTCCCATATAATGTTGTTGTGACGTGCGGTAATCGACATCCGATACTGATACACGGTATGCTAAGCTCTAAGCCCCCAACTGACTACTTCATCAAGAACACTAAAGTGGGCGAGAAAGTGTATTGAACTACCGAATAAAATGCATAAATACTCATTCATATATATACCGGTTTATCTTTAGGAGATTGATCCATTGATCCAACGAAATGCACTTGAACTTTAAGTCACTTCTGACTACCATCGATTGACCTTCTCATTAGGCTACTTCTGATTGGCTCACCATATCAAATGTCTTATTTGATTTACTGGTCATGGTATAAATTCTTGTTGTAACCTGTCTGTTTCCGACTATCAGCTTTTATATATCAAAAGCTTTTGTATGGTTGCGTCTTTTTTTTTCATTATTTGCAGTTAATTTTTACTTAAACTTCTTAAGGTTATTTTCGAAGTTATTATTTATAAGATAAAGTTGTGGGGACATTGATATTTTGGGTTAAGCTGAAATGTCTGGTTGTCGTTTTATACATTTCAGCAGATATGAAAAGGATGAATAGCAACCGTAAAGGATTATCAAAGACAGCGGTCGATGAAGAACCGTCGTGGGCGGCCAATATTCCTCCCCGAAGGATAACAGGAATAAGTTAAGCTGAAATGTAAGGACGGTGTAGAATGACTTTTCAAACGACCTTAATAACTTGTTGACTTCATTCAATTAATCATCAGAGGTCAGAAAATTTGAGTAAATGATTTATAATGTTAAGACTAAGATTTAAGCTTTAGGATTGAGATTTAGAGTAAAGGATTTGCATAGTGTGATAAGAAGACGAAGATTATCAGAACTATGTGAGGACATATTAGCGCAATAGATTTCGAACAATCTGATTACATATAATATACTTGTTAAGAACATGTATATATAAAAATAAAAGGTCAACTAGACTAGAAATGAAGGGTATCAGGAGACAAGGATAATAAAGAAATAATGTGAAAACAATTTGAAATCTCAACACTCTGGATAATAAGCCAATATTACCAGGGTAGATTTAAGGTGAGAACAAACTATTTTTGAATACACAGAGGGGTTTTGAATTTTTGTATGGCTAAAGCTCCAATGAATCTTAGTATATGCCCTTTTACACTTTTATATAACACCACAAATGCCGAGTTAAGATCAATCTTATGGCCTGTTTCGATTATATGTTCAGCAAAATAGAGGATGATGGATGTTTATCCTCTACTCTTATTGGGTCATTCAATTCTGTTTGTTTTTGCAACCATTTAGGTACATGCTCACACACCCTAATTTCGAGATCACGATTACTCCTCTCTATGTAAGTGTGCCCACACACATTGAAATTGGTAATCACAATGGGATGTGACGTAATCGTTTTCATGTCTCTTAGGTTTTCGAGGAAGCATGGACTTTGTTGTTTCCTTCATAATGACCTTTACTGCGTAATACGTCTTGTTAATGACTCGTTTAAACCTTTGTTTCAATAAAAGGCTACTTGAACCACTTGCAAATGGTAAGGTGATGTAGGCAGTTTTTTTCTTCCAAAGCTATAGTAGGTGTCACTGTACCGAGAACTTTCCATCTATTTATGAATTTAAGACAATGGCTGTTTTCCATTAATGTGTTATTTAGCAACCTAACATCATCATTAACGTCATTATTAGTGCAAATACAATCAAGCCTGTTAAACAGGCACCTTATGAAAGCCCGTTTGTATTGCACAGGTTATTAAGTAAGGTACTGACCTATCCACGTTGGTTTTCTAAACATAGATCGTTTGATTGAGTCATATTCTTTTCTACTTATCTAGGAAGGGAAGCTGGTCGTTCTTCTCCTGAAGACCTAATCGAAAACATGTCACTTTATAAAACATATATGGACGAAAAGGTTTTGTGAAGATTGTAATAATTTCAATAGTTGAGATCACGAGTCAATTAAAACCTGAACACCATGGGAAATCTGGAAGCACTGGACGGCCGTTTAGTCCTATTGTGGGACTCGTCAGAAGTGCACATCCACGACTTCTCTCTGAGGGACTCGAACCCAAGACCTATCAGTCTCACGCGCGATCGCTTAACCACTAGACCATTGAACCAGCAGCCAACAGTGTTAATCTCTAACTTCAACCAATTCACGAAATTGAGCGACACATCCACCATTATCATCAATGAGTTACTCGGTTGAACTTCACTGATCACTGCTTTTCACTAGAACTCTAGGATATACCTCTTGAAGCCAGTCACTGGTGAACATATATTGATATGAGGACATGAACTGTGCGATGGTGGAGAAGATTTGTAGCTCAGGTGGATGCTTTTGGTGGAGTTTTGTTTTCTGAGCTGGATGGTTTGGTCGTGAAGCTTTCATCGTTCTTCTGAACGGCATCATCAGCACAAACTTCACCAAAAGTATATGAACTGTTTACTGAATAAACTGAACACTCTGTAAAATCATATCAGAAAGGAGATTCGCTTAAATGAAATCAGCTTCATTAACATTGAATTAATTTTTCTCAAATAAAATAAAAATTTAAACAGACTTCACAACAAAGAGAATACCTGTTACAATTGGCGCTTCATTTAATCTACGTACAAGTGTATGATTTGAATTTGACCAATTACAAGTAAAGGAATCATGAATAGGCTTCAATTGATTATTCTCTTCATTATGATTTGATAAATGAGTTAATTCCATTGATGAATTATTATTCGTTTCTAATGTACGTTGAGCTAATTTATGTAAAATTGTATGATCTATGAATGGATATTTTGTTATTGAATGTTTCAATTGATCTATATGATTTTGATAGAAAAGATAATTTTTAAAATTTATATCATATTTATAATTAGATGAGAATTTAATCCATTTACTACGGGAATCCGTTGATTTTGCATTTAATCGACGTAGAATATTATCTTTTCTTTTACGTATTGCAGTACTGTAATAATAATAATAATAATAATAATAATAATAATAATAATCAGTTTACGGGTTATGGAGATTGTTAAGTTTTTGGTTGAGACCATGAACCGATTGATGTTAGACCACTATTGAAAACCTGGAAGCACTGGACGGCCGTTAGACATTGACACCATTGGATGCCAGCTCAGTGATCCAGTAGGTTAGGCGTTCTCGGGAGAGACTGAAGGCCCTGGGTTCGAACCCCGCGAGCGGGATCGTGGGTGTGCACTGCCATTGAGGAGTCCCACAATGGGATGAAAAGGTCATCCAGTGCTTCCAGATTCTCAATGGTGGTCCAACATCAATCGGTTCATGATCTCAACTAATAATAATAATGATAATAATAAAGGAAGAAAAGACTCATGTTGAAAATAAGATTCAGATTTATTTGAACAAAAAGAAATTGTTGAATAGATAGGTGTTATGTCCCGACAAGAATAATGAATGGTAACTTTGTGGATTTATTGATGGACCAATACTAAACGTGTATTTTTATCGTATAATTGTTAAATAACCAAATTATTCATATTCATATTCCTTTTATTACAAGCTTTATTTTGACCCATAAACTATACGTTTTACCAATCTTGAGTTATACCCAGTACATTAATTACTACCTCCCTCATTCACAGCCACATCTGGCTAATTCTTGTACAAATGTTGTTTCACATTTTATTGGTACGGTGTGGTCTGTTTGATTCGTATATAAACTCAGTATGTTTGAAATATAATGACTCATATCGCAGAGGCTGAGACTGGTGTTCTGGACTTAACTGGCTGAGCTAGACAGGAAAACAGGACCAATCAGGGCTCTAGGCTGCTCGCACTTGTTTTACGCGTCATTGAATCGATCGATAAGTCACTGCACATTAATCGGCGGTCACAAGTTATAACAATAGGATAGGATATATATTGAGAGAAAGTACCTAATTGTGTCACAAGGTAAGCCTTCACTTGGAATTCTCAAATCTAAAAGAGAAGAGAAAGCTTAAAGAACACATTATGTTGAGAAATGGAGATAGATATGAGAAGAATGAAGAACAATTGGATAGAAGTAGAAAGGAAGGCCCAGAACAGAATAGGTTAGAGAATGCTGGTTGGCGGTTTATGTTCTATTGGGAGTAACAGTCGTAAGTAAGTAAGCAATATCTCTTTTGTTCCTTCTGAAATCGGTGAATAAAACCGTTAACTTTTATGGGAAATGTAAACATTCTTAATAATGTAGAATTTAGTAAAACTGATACATGAACTTAGATTATCAGAAATCAGGTAAGCTAATACTGATAGACCAATCAAAAAGTTCACTTCTATATGAAGAAAGCACTGTTAATGTTCTTCAGAATGGCAATAAAGGTTCATCCAGATTAAAGTATCCAAAGCTATCAAATCCAGTCACCTTAAATACACATTTCCATCATTTTTATACCACTACTTAAAAAGAGACCACCTACTCCGATGTATTACGATGGATGTGATTAAAGTAGGTTGAAAGAAAAGATTGGGGATAGTCAGGAAAAAAACCGTTATCAATCTATGAATTTACTGACTCTTGGTTTTGTTAGATGACATGAATGACTTGAAACCGGTTTTCATGATGGAAATAGACTCATTCTTTACCTCTCTCAATATTTTCAGTTTTAGAATCATCCTATACTCTTAATTCCATAACTTCATGACTTCAGCTCAGAGTTATGTTCTATAGTTGTTATAGATATTTTAAAAAATAAACTTCAAGTATAACTGTGATCATATTGTTCGAAACGTATTACGCAAATATATCACAACTCTGATAACTTTCATCTTCTCAAAGATTGATCTCAGATGCGATTTGGTTCTCGGGTATTGATCTCCTTCCAGGAGGTCCACTTATCGACTTAGAATACGCAGATGACATAGTCCTGTTTGGTGAAGAAGCTGATAGAATGCAGAGTCTTCTGGTAGCACTAAGCAACAATGCCAGAATGTTTGAGATGCGCTTCTCTCCCTCTAAATGCAAGTTGTTGCTTCAGGACTGGTCTGCGTCAACACCTGAACTAAGGATAGGGAGTTAAGTGGTCGAACGCGTTGACAACTTCACTGACGAAATCTCAGCACGGATTCGAAAAGCTCGTTTGGCTTTTGCCAACTTACGTCACCTTTGGCGGAGGCGAGATATCCGTCTATCAATAAACGGACGAGTATACTGCGCGGCAGTTCGTTCTGTTTTACTTTACGGCAGCGAGACATGGCCCTTAAGAGTAGAAGACACCCGTAAGCTACTAGTATTTGACCACAGATGCCTTAGAAATATTGCTGGCATCTGCTGGGATCACCGGGTAAGTAATAGTGAGGTTAGACGCAGGGTATTAGGGAATGATGGTAAATCAGTTGATGAGGTTATGAATCTTCATCGACTGAGATGGTTGGGCCACGTATTACGTATGCCTGAACACCGATTACCACGACGTGCAATGCTATCCGGTATTGGAAATGGTTGGAAGAAAGTTAGGGGCGGCCAAACCAAAACGTGGCATCAGTGCTTGAAGTCACTAACTTCTAGTCTGAGCCATGTTGGTAGATGCAGACTACTTGGTTGGGGTCCGCGTGACTATCGTAACCAATGGTTGGAGACTCTTGGTGACATGGCTCAGAATCGATCACAATGGCGTCGGTGTATACACTCCCTGTCTTCCCTTAAACTAAGAGATTACAATCGCTTCATATCTTTCTTTCTACGAACTAATTCTTTCTTCCTATACTATATCCTTATTGCAATCTTTCTTCTATATATTACCACCTTTGACCTAACCACTCCTATGAATCCGCTGTTCATCTTGTTGTGCTAATGAGGTATGGCAACCTGGACCGATGCACATATGTGCCTGGTCCTACGTTGTAGCTGACTGACTGACTGACTCATCACAGATTGAACTGAACTGGAGAAAATAAAGGGAAGAAAGACGCACTGAACAGGTATTTCGTCCATGACAGTAACATACCTTCAACCCTATAAGGAATAAAAACTCGTGTTGATTACTTCATCCTAATTCCTTCTTATCCATACAAACCATACTACTACTCAATAATATTCAATAACTTATGTGATTGTTAATCATTTTTTAAAAACATATGCCCCGAATCACTATCCCATTCTGTCATAATTTTATGTATCTACAGCAATCTGAGACTTTGAACTCATTTGTTGATGTATTTTTCTGTAGGTGTTTCATACAGAAGTATTTTAGGAAAAGCTCCCCCTTTTATCGTACATTGACACCTAGAATAGCCCCAGATGCTTCATAAATTAAGGTTTATATAATGGAATGTATATATTGTTGTTAATAATAGTACCGCTTTATCGATAAATTCTTTGTTTTCATTTTACGCGTAACTCAATCGTTTGATCTGAATCGTCAAGTGAATTTGACAGAACCTAAGATGTATGGATTTCACTGGGAGCGCATTAGATTTATATCGTCGAGTTTTAGATTTTATCACTTATTCTACCATTGTTCGGTTTTCTTTAGTTTTGAAACAAGCACATCATTGCAAAATAAACACTATCTAGTATATGAATAAGATATCTTAATTTTTCTACTCATAACTGACAAATCCATACAAGTGTTGATTCCTACTTTACAGAAAGTTAGCGTGCGATTCTGAAAGTTCTAGGCTCGATTCCCAGGCACGGCCTCGTGGAAACGCATTGTTAAGTAGTCGCGTACCAGAACAAAACAGAAGTCTAGTACTTCCAGGTTTTCACTGGTGGCCTAACTTGCATTGTTTCATGATTGCAATGAAAACGTAATAGTTTAATTGCCTTCTATCATTTATAATACATTTTAGTTAATGTTACTTTCTACATAATCGGAATCATCAGTTTGAAAGTTAGATTAAATCCAAATATAAGAACTAACCATTTATGATATACATTTGAAGAATGAACAGAACTAGAATTTGAATTTGGATCATCTTCTGTAATTGCTGAACTTTCTTCTTCTTCACCATCTTCATCATCCATATTTTGATTTAATTCCAATGAATTATCATTATTACTATCAACTTTTGTTAAAGTAGGCATTTCATTTAATTTAGCTAATACCATACTTAAACTAGGCGCTTCTAAAGGTTGTGACTCTTTGATAGTAATATCAGATGGTTTTATATCACTAAAATTTAAGAAAAAAATACCAAAGACTTAACCAACTAAGATCTGTATCACGTTATTATTATTATTATTATTATTATTATTATTATTATTATTATTATTATTATTATTATTATTATTAGGGTTTGCTGTAATTATTAAGTCTGGAAATTACCCGATCAAATCACAGATTTAAACGATCATTCTTTACACTGAATCTGATCTCGACGAGAAAGTCTTTACTTAACTAACAATTATTGATTAGTATAATTCCTTTTTTTATAAATATAGGTACTACTCGTAATTTTATTCTCTACTCCGTCTGTTGTTACTTTTTTGGGGTATTACTTACTTACTTACTTACTTTCTCCTGTTACTCCTGGTGGAAGAGCATAAGCCGTCCACCAGCACTCTTCATCCAACTCTGCCTGTAGTTCTTTTAGAATTACTATCGGTCCTAATGCCGAGTAAAGGAGGAGGGTTGGGTGTGGTGTTAGCGACCTCATCCCGTAGAAAATTACCTCGCTAAAAAAACGCTAGCCAGAAAAACTTATTCAAACCATTTTTGGGGTATATATATACAATTTTTTCTTCTAACTGACGTTATTATAGCCTTGTAATTGACTCTGATAAGACTATAGAGTACATAAAGTGTCCAAATAAGATATTTGTAGATACAGTGAAAACTACTTTTTTTAATGATCAACACTAATGGTTTTGATTGTGGTACCGGAGATTTCTAATGAAAACATTGATAATCATTTGAAAATTCTGAATAAATAAACATAAAAGAGGAATAATTATAGTTAATCTATGTAATATCCTGTCACATTAATGAGAATTGAAGTCGATCAGCAGGGTGAGCTCAATCTGAGTTTTAGGCTAGTAGTAGCCTATCATCAATAAGTTATATAAGCTATTTTGAAGAGAATTGACTGCCTTCATGGGATTCTAAGCTATGTCATTCATTGTAGGTCATTTCATTCAAATCATATTAGATTTTTAAGTCAGCTATATAGTTATAGTCCCTCTAAGAAACACTGCTAGAGGGAATTTGTTTAAGATAGAGTTAAACATTTATATTGTACTTATATCTCTCTGATGCACCACTCGAAAAAAAAAGAAAGTTGAACTGATAATTTATTTTCGGTGAGACTGTAATTTATGGACGAACTAATCAAATTTAGAATAACAGATCATGGAATTCGGCGTGGAATTCATTCATCCATTTGGCTAAATAGCGTTTTGGCATTTTAACTTATGTTAGTTCGTGATGAAAACCTTCAGTCTAATTCCTAATCTTAACTATCAACTGTAAATCATAATCCTTATTTTTCACACTGCTTTATAACCCTCATTTAATCTTAGTAAGTAGGTGAACGTTCTCAAAGTCGTCCATAACTTATAATCTCACCACATTATTTTATTGAAATTAACCATACTATACAATTATTTCGAAATAAAAGTTTGTGTGTGACAATCGTAGATTTCAGAATTCCCGCTTTAAAATATTTGAGATGATATTCAAACGGCAAAAATCACTGAGTGGTATTTTGTTAAACCCACTCAACATTTAACCAGTGTAAATGAAACGTATGAAAACCACTGTTTTTTTAGAAACTTCTTGGGGGGGAGCAGGCATCTGCAATCTGATTCTCAACTTTTTGCATTGATAGATATGGAGGATCCATCCAGCGGAGTTGGAAAACGCTGATTCCAAACCAATGGTGCACATGGGCTTCAGGCTGCTGAAGGAACAAATGACCTATGAACCTATTGTTGGTCACAAACTACCATGAGATTGCATCTCCTTACGTTGCTTTACTGCCTTGTGGATCAAACCTTTAGATCGAAAGCTCCGGGTGCGGTCCCCTAAAGAAATCACCTGTTTCGGTTTGAGCACTCGGGCAGTATCATAGCCCACACACAAATCAAGTGACTTGTATGGCGCATTTGTATTCAGTGCTTCTTTATATCAATATTTATGTGTTTAAATAATAATAATTTTTGCATTGTATTCAATAAATTCATGGTTTATCTTCCAGAATAGAACAATTCTATCGCGATGAGTTACAGGTAGACGTGATTACCATTAAAAAGATGTTTGTTCTTTTTATCTAACAAGTTAAACATGGATATCACAATTTTAGAGATTTGACAGTTTCATAAGTGTATTTATTTACATAAAGTAAATTCTTTCTATATTTTTTAAACTTACCTTGAATCAACATACTTATGTTCTACCGATTTCTGAACCGATTTAGATTGTGGTGTACACAATCTTTCGAACTGTTCAAGCTTCAATAGAAATGAAAAGTGATCATACAATTAACTTAGTTCTCAACACTACTTTCCAGATTGTACTATTTTTTATTGTCTTTAAAACACTAACTTACGCTTGTCACGCCTCGTAGAGGAGCATAGGCCAACCACCAGCACTAGCCATCCAACACTGTCCTGCACAATCCTTTCCAGCTAACTCCAGTTGTTATCCATCCTTTTCATATCTGATTCTATTTCCCGACGTCATATGTTCTTTGGCATTCCTCTTTTCCACTTCCCTTCAGGATTCCAAGTTAGGGCTTGCCTCGTAATGCAGTTTGAAGATTTCTGTAATGTATATCCTATCCATTTCCAACGTCTTCCTAATTTCCTCTTCAGTTGGAATCTGGTTTGTCCCCTCCCACAGAAGGCTATTATTGATAGTATCAGGCCAATGGACATTGAGTATCTTGTGTAGACAATTGTTTATAAATACTTGTATATTTTTGATGATGGTTGTAGTAGTTCTACAAGTTTCAGCTCCGTACAGTAGAGCTGTGTTGAAGTTCGTATTGAAGATTCGGACTTTGATATTGGTTGACAGACAGCTGTTTTGAGTTCCACATGTTCTTTCATTGTAGGAATGCGGCTCTTCCTTTGCCACTCCTCGCCTTTACGTCCTAAATTAGTGTTAATTCATTAAGGGACTATCATTCAGTTCTCTTCAAATTGTGGAGCAGTCATGCTCATATTGTAATTTCTTAAATCTGTTGATGTATAGTTGGACTTTTTCTTGATATCATTGCATGAGTGATTCACAAATTGGTTATTAACATTTACATAAACGTCCGCCATTCAGACTCGTAATTATTTCCTGTCTCCAATTTCCACTACTGTATGTTCTCTTGTCTTTGACTGACTCTCTTCACTACAGACGTTGTGCTAATTACATTAATTTACATTCCAGAAACATATACTGTATTCAAGATTAATTTCTATTTGTCTTAAATGCAGTTATTAAGCCAAGACTCTGTGGTTTGACATTAATACGGAACATGTTTGAAAAGCACATATGAAGACAATAAATCCTACTGCAGTGTGGGTTACTTATATTCATATCACTAGTATATAACGGTGGTCAGACACAGAATGTATTTCAGTAGAAGATTGATGAGGAAAGAATGGGAACGGAACGCAATTGGTATGAAAATGCACGAACAATGAGATCTGAGACAATGGATTGATGTTTGCAACAGGAACATTCAAGTTTGAGATGATGGATTGATATTTTGCAAATTAACGATTTACTATATGGTTGAGATTAGATGATGGTTGGAGGTAGTCGACAGGAAACCCTGGACCCAGGTTTCGTGCTACTTGGCGCTCGTCAGCAAGGTGTACTTGTAGTCCCTTGCAGATTTGACCTCGTGTCACCCAGCTTCACAGTCAGAGACGTTACCACTGAGCTATCCGAGCCGCGACCGACCTCCTGTAGGACTGAGATGTAATCACAATTGATTGATAACTGGGTGGCGACTAGACACGCATGACATTGATCACCATCCAGTGATCAATCAATTGTTCTCAGATTTTATTAAAATGCTCTGTAATTTCGTGTCAAATACAATCGATTGTCCCCACTGGTGTTCTGTTCACTACACTACAATACAGTCACTTTTATTGAATACAGTAATAACAGTATGGGAAAAAAGTTCACTGTTAACCATTATGGTTTCCTTCAAATCATTCAAAATAAACTAGCTATCTGAATAGTATTAAAATATAAGACGTAGCTTTTATGAAGAGTTATGAGATACAAAATTCCTGGAGATTACAAGTAACAAACAGTTAAGAGGAGATCCTCTTTCCCTATGTTGATATTCAGGACGGCAGTTGATTGATCAGTTTCTGTTGCCTTATGTGCAGCATGAGTGAATTGACTCGTCATATTGTTTTGTTTAAAGTTATAAGTATATTTTCGGTATATGGCTAGGCATTGTAATTCAAGACATTCATCTCATACTACTTGAGATTCTTTAACCTGATGTACCTGCATTCCAATGTTGGTATTGACGCAGCAACTAGACCCCAAGTACCTATCTCTTAGCCACCAACTGGCTCAGTATGAACATCAATACTAGAATGCAAGTACATCCAGCTGATGAGTCCCAAGTAGGAAGAAACACAGGTTCGGATTCTACTTCCTATCCACATATTAAATATACCATTATCATATAAATATGTCTAATCGCTTCTGTTTTTTTCTTCACCTTGAAAAGTTGGTGTTTCCTTTCTAATTCAAAAACTTTCTCTTGCTTCTTACGCCGTTCTAAATGTTCTCTTAATAGTTGAGCACGTTCTTCTGCCTGTTTCTAATATGTAAATACAAAAAGGAAATATTCGAAATTTTAAAAAAAACGACTGAACAAATCATGAATGCCAAGACATTTCAATAACAATATTCTTTAAGTATACATTGTAGAGTGACATGTTTGAATCAGATTATTGCTTGAATGAATGTTAATAATAAGAAACCACTTATTACACTACAGAATCGACAATCTAACTTGAAATTCACGCTTCATTTCACCTGGGACTTATTCACTAAATAGTTCCACTTAAGTTTTGATCATCGTTAGAACTTTATGATATTATTATTCTATAACTAGTCTTTAGTGGTCATTTATTTTAACACCAATGAGATTGGACGATGATGCTACCGACGAGCTCATCATTTTAGTGGCTCAGTGTATCTGACTTCAATTCGATCGTATGAATGATTGCTATCAAAATATACATGCCTACAATACTCGTATATTATTATCAACTTAATTCATGTCAGATAATAACGGAATAAAATAAGTCAAATACGAGAGTGAAGTTTGAATACGTACATTTCGTACACTCATTGATCTGGACAGACAATCAGGAAAACGATGTGAAGAGAAGAGAACGAAGCAAAATGAAATCATATGCAGTGGCGAAGACAAGTGAGCTAACTCCATTTGATAAGGCGTGACCCAATATTTATATTCGAACAAAAATAAATTGCAGACACTCAATGAATGGAGTAAGCGATTAACACACATACGATCATATCGAAATAGTCAGCGACTTATGAGCGAATAAGTGACAAGGTCAAAACGTGGCTTGAGTAGAATGAATAAGCTGGTTTGTCCAGAAGCTAGAATATCCTATGTGTGCTTGACATAGTACCAGCCACCATAAATCATATTATACACATGGAACGTAATAAACACTCAAATTTCTTAGGATATCAAAATCGACGTGAAAGATCAACACAAGCCTTTATATGAACCAATACAAGTCAATCAAAAATCCCCAATCAGAATTCAACTCGAAAATATGGGAAAATGTTAAGGTTATAGAATATTAAGAGTTTTAACATCATTAATAAACTTATTAGTACTAAATATCAATAATTTAGACTGCAGATCATGGTTATATGGTCATGCTATGCTCTAATTCCTAATCTAATTAGCTTAGGATCCTAACCCTATCTCCCTATTTTGGGGGAAACTTAGGGTTTTCCCGATATATCCCCCGGACACTGGGGAAGACTATGGATTTTTGTATGACTTTAGGGAAAAACCCCGAAATTTCCCTAGACATCCTCAAACTCTCCCCGAAATCATAAGCCTGGAAACCAGAAATCTCCTAGACTCATGATCCCAACCATAAAACCCCTTGACTCTAGCTCTCAACTCTGAAACTTCTCAGCTTCAACTTCTAACCCTGAAACTACTTAATTGTAGATACTAGCCATAAAACTCCTTAGTGCTAACTCCTGACTTTGATAATCCTAACCTTAACACTCCAACCAGTAATATATTGACCTTAATAGTTCATTCCATATGAAAACCACCATCTTTGAATGATTGCAGTTCTTTCAAAATACGAAATATGATGGAAATCATAGGTTTCAGCAACAATCTATCCTCAACAGCGTTTCAAATTAGCGCGTCTGTTAGCTTAAGACCATCGGTTAAGTATACCACTTTACCATATACATTGAATTACATCATGTCGGCTCAAATACATTTAGATAATGGAACAGGGGACTCCGTCAATTTAGCTGAAGCACCATGTTAAATTCGATGCGCTATATCATATCAGTTATCTTCTATTTAAAGCACTGTAAAAAATAAATGTAGGCAATTTTTGAAAATCTATTTACAATAAAATATATGTTATCGTTTGCTGGGTTTTGAAAATCGCAAAAAGGTTTGTCGGAGACTTCTCCAGTCTGTTTGGTGGTCTGAAGGTCATCGCTATGATATCGTCTTGTCTTTACGTTCATAGTGTTCCCATCGGTAGAAACAACTCACGATATTTTGTCAGTAGGTGTAAGGGAAATCGCAGAGCTTAGCCGGCCATCGAAGTGTGGTCGCAGGCATCTATGTAATATATATCATTGTAAATACGATATATCTGTATGAATAACTTTCCACGATTAACACGATTCTCATTGATAAGGATCAGTTAAATGATGAAAATATTTCAAAATATAAAACGACCCAAGGATGTGACTATCCCTTCAATCAATGATATGACCATTTTATTTGCAAACTACACTTGTAACAGTCAGAATTGTACATAGGATCATGTAACGAGTAATTATTTGTAACATACCTTCAAACTACATTAATAAAACATGAATTGTAGTCTCATCAATCGAATAACCATAACCATAACCATAAACTTCTACCCTTAATTTCAGTATCACTCACTCTATCAGGTACCAACGGTATATCCAAGCATTTTTAATAACGACACATGTGATTATATATTTTTAATGTATGCATTCCATTTGCTTTCATAAGCCAAGTTTTAACTGAAGAAAATCTTTAATAGACAGATGGTTGTTTCAGTTGTGCCTTTGTTGCACAAATTAGTCTAATCTATGTTTAGCCACGAAAAAATTTCGACAGTCAACAATCAACTAAGATTAATAGGACTAGCAAAAGTCGGGTAACGTAAAGAGAACTTTTAGGAGGATTCAAAAGTGGGGGGTTTGGTGATCAAATGCATTAACAACAGTATCAGATTACTTATTTACTGAAAATTTATTTTGATGAAGTTCTCGCTTCATTTTAAATTCTAATATTATAGATTTTAAATTAAGGTAAATATATCTACCTTATTGTAATTCCAATAAAAAGTACTTACTTTTAATGCTTCGAACTTTTGTCGTTTCTCTTCCAAAGCTTTTAACTGATAGAGAATATGGAAAAAAACAAACTGTGTGATACATTTATCAAAAGTGGTTTTGTGGAGATTTTAGAAATTTCACTGGTTGAAATCACGAGTCAATTGAAGCTAGATAATCATGGAAAACCTGGAAGCACTGGTCGGCCGTTTCGTCCTAGTATCTGACACCCCAGCAGTGCGCATCCACGATCCCACCCTTGGTGAGATTCAAACTCGGGACCTATCAGCCGTGCGCCAGGCGCCTAACCAAGTAGACCACTGAGCCGGCATTCAACGGTGTTAATGTCTAACTTCAACCAATCCACGAAGTAGCGCCACCGTACACCATTGTCTTTAGTGAGTTGGTATCTCACAACTGACCTGGTTGAACTCCACGGGTAACGGCTTCTCACTAGAACTCCAGGAGTGACTTCAAGTGATAATACATTTATTCCTAGTTTCTTATGTGTAAATTATTTGGTTTATATGATAATTGTCGTTAATGTATTAGAGAAAAAATGTGATATAGCTCAAAATGTGACGAAACGATTCAGGCTTATTCGTTTTGTTTTTTTATATTTTTCTCTAGAAGCTAAACGATAGCGGTTTGAATACCATATGAAGTATCAGCCAGCAAAACGGCAAGTATGCCTTGTTAAAAAGTAAAAATTAGCATGAAGCCTAGGTTTAACATCTCCTACCGACTACTCGCAGCTGCCTAAAACCAAAACGGATCTAAAGAATCTTTCACTTAGCCAAACTGAGTTAGTTTCCAGTTCACCAGCGGCCTCTACAAAAAAGAAGAAGAATTGCTCTACTTTACCCCTTCTGTGTATATCTATAAATTCAGCTTGTCATTGTGTTATGTCAAAAATTGATTGAAACAGGAAATGTATAACATTGGTTACCAAATCAGTGTTTCCAATTGTTAAGGGTCTACTAAAATATGAAGGGCCGAGTTTCGATCCTTAGTAAGTTAGTAAGTGCTGACTGTTGAGAAAAAACTATACAAATTACTTTACATGAAATTTTTAATAAGATATGTTTAATTGCTACTTACCTCTCTTTGATGTTCAAGTATGCGTCCTGTATTATGTACAAATTAACAAAAAAAATATTCACAAACACATAAGTCATCTTTTATTTTAAAAGTGATAGAACCAAATGTGAAACAACAACGTTAGAAAGAATAGAATCACATTTCAGTACTTAAATTATTAAAAGTCAATTTGATGAATATTTTGACTGAGCACTTGAATCCGTTCGTTAAACTTTTCTAATAACCCCAGGCTAACTTTACACGACAACTTGAACACAAAAGAAAAGACGTGAAATATGGAAAGAATGCTTTACACCAAGATTAGTTTATGTGCAGAAAATCGAAGGTATTTGTAGGATTTCAGATGGCTTTGGGCTTCATGAAAGCTTTGGAACCCTGATATACATAGTAATAGATTAGGTAACCATCCAATAAAAAATCTGACATCTACTCTTCGCCTTTTAGATGCTTCCGAAAAACGTTTCTTGAATGCTGATAGGATAAAATGTTTCCCAGCGTTTTCATAACCCCTTTGGACTTTTTTCGAGGAATTTTCTGTGTTTCTTCCACAACATTATATAATTTATAGCTTAGAAATAAGTGATTCTGCTAATTAACATGAAATGAAAGATACGTTAATCTATAGAAATCTGTCTATACTTTGATATGATCAGCCACTCTCTGTCTTCCCTTAAACTAAAAAATTAAAGTCGCTTCAAATCTTTCTTTCTAAGAACTAATTCTTTCTTCCTGTACTATATCCTTATTGCAATCTTTCTTTTATATATTACCACCTCTGAATTAACTACTTTTATGAATCCGGTGTTCATCTTGTTGTGCTAATGAGGTGTGGCAACTTGGACCGATGCATATAGGTTCCTGGTCCTACGTTGTAGCTTACTGACTGACTGACTGACCACTCAAAAAACATTCAAGGGATAATTACATAAAATATCCTCGTTTTACTTGCTACTGACTAATTAGAACGACACATTTTGACCGAACAATATTGTCATCAGCGAAATCTTCATTGGATATTACTCAGATATCCTGTAATATTTTTGTGTATATACGGGAAACATTCAACTAAATAAGGCAATTTATTAATGAATGATAATCATACAAACGATTACATAACTAATTATCATAAGACAGAATTAAAAAACTGATGGTAAATTGACAGTTTGGTAGTAAATATGAGAATCATAAACAGCATCATAAAATGAATAAATAGATTGACATATTAAGTAGGCCAAAGTTTTAAAGTGTAAACTCATTACTATTAAGAACTACATAATAAAAAATATGTGCATAGTCAGTTTAAGCATGCAGGGAATGAAGAAGAGAAAGAAGCTGGCAAATGGTAGGAAAAATTTGTCAAGCTTAGTGATGTTATTTACACACGCGTTATTTTAACTTATGCGTTTTAGTACTTACAAATTGTAAGTAGTATAAATTTTGAAACAGGAGTGTTCGAGCATTGAACAGGCTAAAATGCGGTTTCAGTTTTCTCAGCGTTATTGTAATTCCAGTGAATTTATACATACACTGAAGGTCATCATAAGAATTAGAGTAGCTTCAACTTAAGAGAAGCAAAATTAATATACAATCATGACTTCTCATGGGAATGTCAACAATCCATTTCGGTGCCGGTCATTACTCCAGGAGTTCATACATTTAATGACTTTCAATATAAATAGTGAACTAATCTTAGTTAGGCCACCGTTGAAAATTTGGAAGCACTGGATGACTGTTTCATTTCTTAGCGGCGAACATCCATGAACTTACATTAGAGAACTGAAACATTTTATTGGCTAATTCAAAGTCAGAATTTTCAATTTAATGCAAATAATAATAATAATAAACTGTGCTGAAACTTAATAATGATAATTAGATTACCTCTTTCGTTAAGATTTACAAATGGTGAACCGCCTAATATATCAGCTACACCCATAATATGACCAGCACCACGTGCACGGTTCATTGCAGCTTGTTGTCTAACAGCGATAAAATCTTCGACTAATTTGGTTTGCTTAATTGCTGATTGAATTTGTTCATTTCTACGTAAATTTGATTCGTATGGCTTTGAATAAACTAAAAGAAAAAAAAACATAAAGACAAAAAAAGGTTGCATAATAATTAAGAATAAAATGAAGTCTATTGATAACAAAAAAGAGAGTAGATTAGTCGTGATAAATCAAAAATACTTCTTCTTATGCTATTAAACAATCAATCAGAAGGTCATCTATGAAGAATTGATATCATCTGAACAGATTAGTGGTAACATGAATGATCATGTTGCACACTGATATACGTATACTGATTCCTAGTTAAGTACGGGCAGGAATTTCTTCCATCACAGAAGAAAAGATTTTTCTGAACTATACATAATTTCGACAAAAGAATCTACTAAAACAAGGGGAATCATTTGGGGAGTTTTACTAAGCTATCATGTAACTGTTGATAGACATTTTACCATTTATAGAACCTAATGCAAGTGATCTAATGACATAGATCCCGAACAAGATTATATTTTCTGAATGGATAACAGAATATAGGAAGAGGGACAAAATAGTGTTATGCAACAAAGATCCGAGAATCATACAGATAATAAAATCCTGAGCTTTTCTAGTATGTATACACCAAAAAGTGTCTATTATTTAATGTATTATATTAAAACATGATGTCGATCAATTACTTTCTAAAAGAGTGATAATGTAAGCGATTCATTATTTTAAGTAAAGATGGATAATAGCTAACAGTGCAATGCAGAATGCGTGTTTCGTCCTATTTTGGACTCGTCAGCTGAATGTATTCGTATTTCAGAGTTAATGATCACTCAATAGAAAGATTCAAACAAACAATACAAAAATGAATTACATTCATCATTTATTTACACTTTGAAAACAATTTGTATCAAAACAATTAAAATCTAGTGTAATTTAATCATGAATTATTTCCCGGTTAGCATTTTTTTAGTGAGTTAATTTTCTACGGAATAGGATCGCTAACCCTATGCGCAACCCTCCTCCATTATTCGGGCTTGGGACCGATATTAGCCCCAGACGGGCTCCAGTCGAAGTTTGTTGTGCCGGAAAAACAAAAGCGCTGAAGAAAAATGCTGATCACTTATACTCGGAACGAGGGACCTCGGCAATTCCCACGATGCGAAAGTAACAACACAAAGACTGGTATAAGTGATGATTTATTAGCCCCAAACACTATGGAGACGACGAATCAAATATATTCTAAAATATACTCATTTATATATTGATTGTACACCCATTTTGATTGATAATTAGGATTAAATCACATACTCAGTTACAACAAATCACTTACTGAGCATAGTTCATGTCAAGGGAATACAAGAATATCGTATATTATACAGAAGAAAATATTATACTGGGAAAACAAATCAATTACTACACTGAATGATCCTCACGTTGAATTAGAAGGGAAGTAATGTTGAACAAAACTTATAATGAGTAAATCAATTTAAAATTGACTTTTCTTTCCATCATATCAAACAATAAATAATCTACTGGGTATAACTCGGGTCCTAACAAACCTCCCTTTTTTTGAAGATCCGGATTCCAAATTTTCCGGGTTCATCCTCCCCCCACGAAACAGTGTTGGATCCTCATATGCCCAAGTTACAATTAATTTGAATTTATTTAAAATATATTTGACGCACTGAGCAGAGAATCGACTGAAAGTGATTGAGTGGTGAGGCTGAACGACGCTTGACATGAGGTCATCGAAGTTTGATTCTTCGGAAATATTGTGATCAAATTTATTGGGAACATTATTAGTAGATAATGGATCACTATGATAATCAGCGTCCAACAAAACTGCACCAGGTTCTTGATTATCGTTTCATGCACGTGACATATTTTCCGGCAAAACAAGGGAATCTGGACAATTAGATTCGTCAAAAACTGCTATCGCTGAATGATGAGCTTCATTTGGTGCAGCTGCATTCAGTACACTGCTCGATTTGTTTTCCGTTTCTTTTTGGGCGGGCACTGCAATAATTTCATAAGCGTTTAATAAGACATCGTCTTTCTGTGAGCTGGACAATCCAGTGTTTGTAGTGTTTCGGAGACAATGGGATTTGAACTCACGACAGAACATGTCTCTGAAATGGACATTTCTGGATCACTGGGCGCATCATGAATGACTGCTATTTCATTTGAAGTACGGTTTATCGAGGATTCGTGGAGGCTGCGATCATTTTCCAGCTCAGTGTGCAATTGAGAAATCAATCCATCCACGTCCGTCGCATCTCCAAAACATGAGTAATTTAACAACTGCGTGCGTGAATTGACTAAGAACTCCAACTGTCGCTCAAATAGCAGCTGTAATCGATTGGAAGGGAGAGTCAATTTTCCTTTTTTAGAATCAGCACCGGTAATGAAAATTACTGTATGATTAATGACCAATGTCGTTGAAGGACACTGATGAAAAATCTGGATGCTGAAGGCTGACTTTGGATTGTATTTTTTTTACCCCGTCGCCAATTTAATCATACATTTCACAAATTACTCGTTTATTGAATAAGTACTTGGAATAATATCTGAATTTTTACGGTGAAACTATGATTTCATTAACCTCGATCATCATTGGTTTGCTAGTATACAGTATCATTTAAACTGTAGGATTTCATTAACTAATAAATCTTTCAGAAGGGGTTTTGTGGAGATTGTAGTAATTTTAAACAGTTTAGATCATGAGTCAATTGATGCTAGATCACCATGGAAAACCTGGAAGTACTGGACGGCCGTTTCGAATCCCGCGAGGCAGGGTCGTGGATGAGCAGTGCTAAGGAGTCCCACAATAGAACGAAACGCCCGTCCAGTGCTTCCAGGTTTTCCATTATGGTCTAGCTTCAATTGACTCATGATCTAAACTGGTTAGTAAATCTTTTTTGTAAGTTAAGGTTATGTCCTAGCTTGTCAGTGTATATTGCAGTCAGCACTTTTAATCATTTTTCTATTCATTTATTGCATGAGTATCGCATAACAGAATGTGATTTTTGTTAGATCTGTCAGTTTAAGCATTTGCGGCTAGTCACAACTGTCTGTTATGAAAATATCAGTGCAGAGTATTCGAATATCCAGAGTATTAAAATATAAATTAAGTGTGTGACATTTAAGGCTTAAAATGAAGTATCTTATAACGATTACACTCTGATACACAGTACTCACCTAATAGATGAGCGAGTGAATGACCAAAAGTGTTGGAAATAACATACTTATTGAAAAGTGGAAACTTTATAGCTAATCTCAGACACTATACAGAATAAAAAAAGAATAAAAACGTACTTGGTTGATATTTAATGTCTTCATACTTGCCATTCTCACTGAGACATTGATCACTTATAATATCATCAGTACTAGTATTATTATTTTCAGTTTTACCATTGTTTATAATATTGATTTCATCATGAATGTTACTGTTATCAATAATAGTAATATTATTTTCCTTGTTAAATGGATAGAGTAAAGGACACATATCATTCGGTCTCATCGGTAGAACAGCTTGACATGGTTGTAGATAAGACGGTTTTATGTTGATTTGGGGTGTTGATGGTGTTTGTGGTGTTATTGATACTCCTTCGATTGCAAGAGATTGTGAAGGAATTGATACCGAAATTGTATCGATTGGCTTGGGGGTTATAACTTCTGAATGTTTAACACCTTACATTAAGGGCAATTAGAATAAAAGAACAACTTAACCAATATGTATCAGATATTGTTTAGAAAAGATTGAATACAACGTATGAGGTAATTATATCAGTAAAAGTGAAAGCAGAAAACTCATGGTCCGATGGTGAAGTCATATAGCTGACTTTACAGCTGTTTGACAACAGTAAGGTGTCTCTTCCAGATAACTAGCATATACAGAAACGTTTTCTTTCCACAATCAAAGGGAAAGGTTAGAAAAGATCAACTTTAAAAAAAGCGTACTCCATCTATCATAATTACTTTCCCTCACAAGCGTTCAAAGCCGTTTCTAACCTTGTTTCTTTTTAAGGTCTTTCGGAAAAAAATATCCTGGATAGCAGTGAGGTGTCAAACTTACCCATATATTTAACAGAGTTTGGATATCACCTCTCTCTTACTGAAACTCCATTACTTATTTCTTCTGTTTCTAATAACAATCCTCAACTTCCACTTTCCAAATATGTCCATCCTCCGACTAATCGACAGGCCGTGATGACTGATGTAGCACTAAGTTGGAAGAAAGGCAGAAGCGACCAAACTAAGAAATGGCGTCAGTCAGTGACTTCACTGAGTCATGTTAATTAGTGTAGACTACCCAGTTGGGATCCACGTAATTATCGTAACCGGTGGTTAGAAACACTGAACAACATAGCTCAAAACATTTGCAATGACACATGTGACAAATTTTAAGTTTCTGAATCCTTCATAATTTTTTATTACTTCACTAGTTTGTATTCGCTTCTCAAATTGTATTTCGAATGCCTAATATTTTTTTTACCACTGATACTGTTACTACCTAGCCTACTCTGGGATTTGCTCTGACAGTTTTATCTCACTATTCTAATCGGTTACGGTTGCTTGAAACGGTGTACACATATGTCAGGTTCTGCGTTATGTTCAACTAATCGGCTGATTGACTTCTTAGTTAAATTTAAGACCATATGTTTATGAAGATTTTCTAACTAGACAAAATGTCGACTTAGTAGTTTGAATAGTGAAAGGTATTCCCTTATAGATCGTAAGTTGACAATTGTTGTGACTTTATGTCCAGCTAGTTACCACGTGATTTATCCACCAATCAAAATACGACTTATACAATCTTAGCACTGTGCCAAACCAATGACGTCCGACCAGTATGAGCAGCCTAGCGTCCTTATTGGTCCTATGTCCGCCTAGCTCGTCCACTCGAGTCCAGAACACCAATACCAGCTCCCATTATGCAAATCGAGTCGAATCGAATCATTTATTCCAGACATACTGGGTTTATATATCAACCAACCAGACCGCAACGTACCATAAAATAGGAAATAACATTTGTACACAATAAAGCCAATAAGTGGCTGTGAACGTGAGAGGCAGTAGTTAATAAACTCAATATAGCTTAAGAACAGTAAATCATACAATAATAAATTATAAGTTAAAATAAAGCTTATAATAAGAGGAATATAAATATACATAATCTAATTATTGAATAGTTATACCAGAAGAATATATAGATAACATTTGTCAATTAAAATGTCTCAGAAGTTACTCGTGATTTAATCTTCGCACGTATATAACAACAATATCAGCGAATGTTGACATGAACTGTGTCATCAGGTGCAGAGTTTATTGACCAGGGACCCTAGGTGACAGGTTCCAGAAGTAATTGCAGCGTCCCAGATCCATTAGCTCTTTATCCTTCTCTATATTTTATGTGGTAATATTATTTCGTGCTTTGTAGTAATCGAATTCGTTCATCTCAAACTAGATCATTGTTGGGATGTTCAGAAAAATATACCAGCAATTATCATGTTAAGTCTAATAGTATCCTTGAACTTTAAATGAACATTCCCTATCGGTCAATATTTATTTCACTTGTTAAATATTGTACAAATGTTGTTTTCTATTTTATGGTACGATGTGGTCTGTTTGGTTGGTATATAAACAGAGTAATGATTCGTATCTCAGAGGCTTAGACTTGCGTTCTGGACTCAAGTGGCTGGGCTAGACAGGGAAGCAGGGCCAATCAAGACTCTAGGCTATTCGTACGTATTTTACGTGTCATTGATCCGATCGATAAATACGCTGTGCGTCTAATCTGCAGTCCACAAAACACAACAATCATCCATCTGATTCTTTCGCATCACTATGCATCCTAACGTTGTTGAAGGTACAGAGATCCCACTCTCCTTCTTGAAGTAGTCTTGTAAGGCCATATGCTTATAGCCTCTTCCATGAAAGTCCTCTTCACTATCTCCAAATACCTTGAGGGTATCTTTGAGGAAAATAAAGGACGAAAGCAGATATCTGGTGTTCAGATTGAGTTGCTGACTAACATAGAATACTTTCTTGAAGAGTTTAAAAACTTATATTCTAAAGAAATGCGAAACATCTGCTCCGAGATTCCCCAGAAAAATCCCAATGGCTTAAAAACCATACAAAACATTTGACTACACAATAAATAAAGAAACTTACAAATATAATTATCATAATCTTTACAGTTTATTTGTTGGATACGATCTCTTTCTTGTTTGTATTTTATAAATGCATCAGCTACAATTACACTTGGTGATGAAGAGGGATTACAATCATAAGATTGATTAGTCGAATTGATAATTGGTTTGTAATATACATCTTTTAGTTTGGGATTTTCATTGATCACATTTACCTAGAAAAGCGCAAATGAAGATTTTATGTAAATATGTATATGTGTATTATACGTATAAAAGATTGATAAAATACGGTTAGGTTATGTTCACAATGAAATCGACTCTAATTGGTTGTTCATAATGAAGTTCAATGGATAAAACAATACTAACAAAAACAATCCAGTCCTCACAAGTGATTCATTTCGAGGTTGATTCATGGCATTCTTGTTCAAAGCTGTGATTGATGAAGGCTGATTTTATCAAAATTGTAGCAGTGATTTATGAATCGTATTGAATAATAACCAAGTTGTATTTTACAAATTGTCTGAATTTGTAAGTTTAAGTCAACGAAGTTTTATTAAATGGTCTAAAGACATTGCACTAACCATAGGAGTCAAGAGTATTGAGCTAGATTTACAAGTAAGATTATGAGTATGCACTGCTAAGGAATCCGAAAGTTAGAGCGAAACCTTTATATGGTGCTCTATAGTCTTCGCAAGCCCAATATCATAAATTTTAGTTCTTAATGAGGCCATGTGGGAGTAATTTGTAAGAAAGCAAAGGGAAACCAAATCAAAACAAGGAATCAGTCAATGAAGTCATTAACTGTTGGATGGAACCGTAAAGGTAGGTAATAACTACCTGGTTGGGGTCTGCTTAAACAATTATTTAATCAATCACTGGAGATGTTAATTGATATAGCTTAGAGTCAGGAGCGATGGCGCAGATTTTCATCTTCTATAATCTCTTCTTAACTTTGAATTTCTTAACAATCTTATACTGTTTGCATCCCACGAGTTTTTTTATCCCTTCTTGCATCATGTAAATCATACCTAATCTTTTTTTTAGTATCAACGATACCACTAATGGATTGATATATGTCTTTATAATCCCATCTTGTTTCTCCAACATGATATGGGGACTTGAACCGATGAAATGTTTATCAGCTCCTCTACGATGATTATGACGCTAAAGATATGTATGGAAAAACATTTATACAATGGACCCATGGTTAAAAAACCTAAAATTTTCATAAGATATAATGAGACAAATTGGATGGCATGTTTTTGAAGATCATTTACAATGAATTAAGTGTATTCAATCTACATATTTCTTAAAAAATCTTGAACTCAATGCTATTTTATATTTTGCAGTATTTTGGAAAAGTATGTTTAGATTTCTAGTGTAATTGATTGTTTTTATCGAGATCAGGAACAGATTTAAGTTAGGCAGCTATTGAAAACCTCGAAGTAATCTATAGCTTTCTGGTCCTCGTGCGGTACTTTTCAGGAGTGAATAGCCATGACTACACGATCAGGGATCAGTCATGCATGCGGATTCTTAAACTTATGATCGCCTACCCGGGATATAGTAGTGTACAAGACTAATTTCAATAAATCCACGATATTATGCGACCATCTTTCATTGTCTTCGGTAAATAACTTCCTCGCACGGTTGAACACCATTAGTCACAGCTTCTCACTGGAACTCCAGTCATTTACTCTCGAGGCCAGTCACTAGTTAGCACATAATCATTGGCGGTATATGATTATGGAAACTGCTGAATTTTACCGAGATCAATGGGTATCCAACGTAAATCGGTTCGTGATCTTAAAATAATAAAATAATCCCTACAATTCTATACCGTTAATGTTTATCCACTTTCTCTAAGTTCATCTTTCTGTTAATTTCCTCTCATTTTCATTGTCTCATTATACGAAAAGTGCACTGAGGTTATCCATTGTTCAATAAGTACATTGTATCTAACAGTTTTCGCTCATTTTTCAATTCAGTCAGTGGATGAGCATTTCATATTTAAATGTAAAATTTATTAGTCATTTCATTTCAAGAGTTTGAAGTTGTCCACAGTTGTTTACTATGAACATATCAGTGTTATTCAACCTGAAATACTGAACAAAAAGCACAAAGATCGTAAAAGTTATTGTTTATAAATCAAGTACTTAATAAAAATGACACTCCAATTTTCAACACTCACTTACTAACTGAATGGAAAATGATTCAAAATTCAGGAAGCGACATACATATTGAATATTAAGAACTTGGTAACTAACTTCAACCGAATAGCATGATAGTTTAGACTATTAAACACCTTTTTTTATTTAATAGTTGAGATTATGAGTCAATTAAAGCTAGACCATCATAGAAAACTTCGAAGCACTGGATGGCTGTTTCGTCCTATTGTGGGACTTCTTAACAGTCAGTCAGTGAGCATCCACGATCCCGCCCTGCGGGATTCAAACCCTTTTCTTCATTTAATACTAAATTATTAATTTTCAGAAAAAAATTAATCTAATAAATTCAATTCAAACACTGAAATCACTTACCATATTTTTCTCATTAACGGCAGGTGTAATGCATACAGGTGAATTATCTAATAAGTGTTTCCAACCTTGTTCTTTTATTTTATTTCTAGCTTCCAACTAATAACAATAATAATAATAATAATAAAGTGACCATGATACAATTTTAAATCTATCAGTGTATTTAGTGTAATGATCCTGAACAATAATTCACCTTGAAGAATCTAAAGTAGTATGATTCAGTAGTGTAATCGACTGATTCACATAGATACAGACTTATATCCAGATTGAGTGTATCTTCCTATTTTGAACTCGCTATTAAGATTTACCTGCATTCATATTACTATTATTATTATAGTCCATGAATGGACATAAAAATTAAGCATTGGTCAGACTTTTCTCTATTAGTTTGATGAATTGTAGTAGCTAGTACTTCTTAAACAAGAAAAATTTGTTGTAATTAATTGTAATTAATCAGTCTCTGTTGAAAGATAAGTTTCTTATGGGTAGACGCTTTTATGTTACTTTATTTTGCACATCAGTTACATTTCTTACGGTAATTGATGATGGAATGGATGAGACATGACTGTATCTATAATGGTAGTAGTCAGCTGAATTGATCCAGTGTTGATGTTCACATCACCAATACGATGGAACTTGGGTTTAATCATTCAAAAGTGTTATTATGTAGTCGTAGTATTATGATAATTGAATAGAGTATTAATGTTTGTAAAAATCAGATAACTGGTAGAGTAATGGTGACTAGAATGCTTAGTGCTGATTTGTGGTGGTATGTCCTTATAGCCTGTTAATTATCACGTGATATGATCACCAAATAGAACACCGACGTATTGACCAGGTAAATGATGCGTAAACCAGTACAAGCAGCCAAGATTCAACTTTGAGTTTTTATTGGACCTGAAATAGTAGCTTCCCGCCTAACCCAGCTAGTTCAGTTCAGAATATCAATATCAGCGTCCACTATACAAACATATGTTCCAGACAGACGCAGTTTATATACAAATAAATCAAACCGCACCATATCATAAGAGAGGAAATAACAATTATACAAGATCGGTCCAAAATGTGGCTGTGCATGTGACAGACTGTAACTAATACATTGTGAATAATTTAATGATAGAAAATGGTATAATGGTAGTCAATAGGTCAAATGGAAGCTTATAATAAAAGGAATGTAAATATACATATAATATAGTTATATAATAGTGATACAATAAGGATATGTATGATAATAATCCATGAATAGATTTTAGCGGTTATCATTCACTTGTTCTTAGTCCGGATATAACAGGTGAATAGAAGAAAAATCGTTCTTACAAATTTTATTTCCTAGATTTTTACAGACTCTTCATCAACTGCGTCATCTTTAGACTAAGGAGTCAGAATCTAATAATTTACATTTCCAACTTTAGTCAATTCGTGAGAGATGTTTTTTGGAGATTGTTGAATCCCATAATCTACATCATGGAGTGACTTTAGATAAATAACAATTGAATACCAGGAAATACCAGACAGCTGTTTCATCCTAGTATGATACTCTCAACAGTACACATCAAAGGCCAAACGGTGGTTTGAACCAAATATCGTCGAGTCTCTCACAGAAAACTTAACTTTCAGACAACTGAGTTGGTATCTAATAGTTTACGCTCCTAACTTTTGAGTTTTTCTGATATGACGCAACAATTTTCCTCTTGTGAATCAACTGAATTTAGAAATGTAAACCAATGAATGGCAAATAGGTGGTCTAAGATTTGAGCATTCTCTAGAAGACTAGACGGTTCCTGGTTCGAATCCCGGTGGGATCTCAAATGTGCACTACCGAGGTCTTATGCTACGACAAAGCAACTGTAAGCATTATTTGTCATTTTCAGTGTTGTTATATATTTCCACACTTCATACTATGCACTTTCAATTGTTTACTAATTTAGTGATTGTAGAGTTTTGTCATATCAATGGTTTATATACATCAAGAAGACCTATCACACTGCACTTTTCCAATAATACATAATACAAAATAACTGTTATATATATATATATATATATATATATATATATATATATATATATATATATATATATATATATATATATATTAATGGGAAAATGAACTCACTCGCTGTTTTTCAATCAATTCTCTTTGTTTTCTACGATTCACATCGATCACTGGTTCCCGACGTTTGGATTCGCATTCAGAAACTGTTCCATGTGAATTACTATTGTTACTATAATTGCTATTTTCCGTTTTCTTATTTAATTTTTTATTTATCGCATCACTGAAAATTTATGAAAATGAATATATTTTTTTCTGACTACTGAATTAAAACATTTCAGTAATAAATTACTCTCTATTCAAAATATAGATATTTGATAAAAATCTGAGATCAAATACATTTTAGTTCATAGTCGCTTTATAAAAACAACTTCTTATCTCTAAATCATCGAATAGATTTTCATGATTTATAAGTATACCTTAGCAATTAGGCTAATAATGTTTTGTGGTTCCTAGTCAATTATTATTTATCAGAATGGGTTTTGTGGAAATAAATAATAATTTCACTGGTTGAAATCATGAGTCAATTGAAGCTAGACCACCATGGAAAACCTGGAAGCACTGGACGGCCGTTTCGTCCTATTGTGAGACTTCTCAGAAGTGCCCATCCACGATCCCGCCCACCGCGAGATTCGAACCCAGGACCTATCAGTCTCTAGTTTGTTAAGCGCCTGGCGCGAGACTGATAGGTCCTGAGTTCGGGTCTCACCGGGGGTGGGATCGTGGGTGCGCACTGCCGAGGAGTCCCATATTAGAACGAAATGGCTATCCAGTGCTTCCAGGTTTTCCATGGTGGTCTAGCTTCAATTGACTCATGATTTCAACCAGTGAAATTATTATTTAATACATACAAGCTGTACAAAATATCTGGTAGCTTATTCATTTGTATAAATCCGTTTACTTATACAAAAAAATAGGACAAAATATTCTTTGAATTGGCTGACTTCAATTTGATAAGTATGGTACAGATGACGTCATGCTGCTTAGTATCTAATGCTGAATAAATTATACCGATAAGAGTCACATTATGATCACTTAGCTACGTAACTAAGTAATATAATACGCCATAATTATTGTTTAGTAACTTAATTAAGTGAATAGAAAACCCTACAGTTAAGCCATGTTCTCCTTTACACTCAATAATGAAGCTTATGTAACATGACACTCATTATTCATAAAACTAAGAGGCGTTAGACATGGTAGACAGTGGTTTTGTATTGTTTCATGGTTCTTTAACTAACAACATTAAAAGATCCAAATAAAAGATAATCGTTCTCAGTATGACATAAGTCATCATACTTTAAAGTCTGATTTCATAGCAATGGTACTTTCAAACTTTTAGTTATGACAGTTATGACAATCAAATAAAAATTCTAAGTAATACTGTATACTTCGCCTTAGTTGTACTTCTGTATCTTTGATCTTTTCATATACATCGTTACGGATAAACAATAAAGCTGAATTTCAAGTGAATAAGCTGATAAATTCAAACAGAATTTGTTGCTAGGCATACAACAAATACTGAATATCACAGTAAATCCCAATAATTCCCATCATTGATTTATTGACCTACTGTTAAGTATTACATAATCATGTAAGATTTTTGTTTATTTCAAACGAATCATCTTTATTCATAGAGACTATGGTTATTGATACAGTATAAGTATGAAAAAAAGAGAAGGGACAGAAACATACCTTAACTTGGATTTTTTAATCACTGAAAATTGATGTTGTTGTTGGTGGTGACGTTGTGATTGTTTGAAGTGTTTATTTATCAAATTTAGATTGTTAGATTGATTATCATTTTTACGTTTAGAATGTTGATGAAGAACTGTATGACTAAATTCTTCTGCCATTTCCTTTAAATCAGCAAAATATACGGAAATATATATATATAAGAGATGATACTGAATATTGAATGATGAGGAGTTACTTCATGATGTGTTTACGCATTCTGAATTATCCTTCTCATATAAAAGATTGTTTGTTAACATACCCATCAGAATGTATCGGTTACTAATGAGTCTGTATCTGACGAAATCTTGGTATGCACACAAAAAGATAATTCAACTTTAGGCAGTATGAACCACTTGCATAGTGTTTTACTATTTCTTAATTGACACTCATGATCCACGTTATATCTAAGTTGCGGTTATGCGTAGATTGATAATACTCTATCATAAGTATCTCAGAAGCATCTCTAGGATAGGGTGGAGTCAGCACGTGAGTTATTCTGAGGTTAGATGTGTGATTTAAGGTGAAGAGAGTGAACCATTTGATATTGATTCTGGATTATCATCGACTGAAATAGCAGAAATACGTGTTATGTATGCTCAGTCACCAATACACTTCAAGAAGGCTTTGTATCATGACACAAAGAAATTACATCAAACCATAAAATCAGTGTCTAGTGAAATGACACGCATAATGAGGTGATGACTTCTTAATTTATGGCTGGAGTCTTCAGTAACAGTGGCTTAGATGTACTCGTTCTTTATATTTCACTAGATCCTGAGAAAAACCTGATTCTACTATTAAAACAACACTTTTGATTTTAATTGGTTTTATCCTATTCTCCCGAGAAACTTCTTTGTTTTTCAATCATCAGTGAAATACTGTAATTCATGGTTGAATGTACTTCCACCCTAGAGATTTCTATCGCGTTCCCCTGAAATCTCTTCCCCTGTTGTATTTTTTTTTGATTTCAGTAATATTCCCAACGCCGTCCATTGATAAAATGATGTTTTCACTGAAACCACGTATAATAGGGTCTACAGTAACCATTCTATACTAATGCGATCAGATACTTTAGAGATAAACCCTCTGTAATCTTGAAATATGAATCTGAACACTGATTGGCTTGGTTACGTAGAACAGTTCCAACATCTCATATAACTTAAAGATAATTTACGTCACAAAATGAAGAAGACCGTTGAGAATCAAGGAACAATAGACAGCTGAATATTTCTTCTGATGCTTATTTTTCCTAAGTGGTTAATTTAGAATTAAAGTATTCATTTACACTTCTCTAATTAAGTTACATTTGTCATATGAAAATAAGTTCGTTGATCTATCAAAAATATCTCCTAGATTCTTTATCACATCTCATAGATATCAGTTAATTATATATTCTAATTAATATGAACTTTTCACCAACGTAGTAGGAGAATTAGTTGAACAGTACTAATTGATATAAGTTTATAACTTACTGTTTCTGTTAAGTAACGATAGATACGTTTTGATAAAAATGGCTTCCTTAAGATTGCATTAATACTTGGTCTATCTCTAAAATCGAAAAAGATAAGAAGAAACATGACTGATAGATTCTTATTTACCACTAGGAAAATCAATATTTCAAATATGTTTCAGTACAATGTTCTATTCTAAATTATGGATATGAAACATTGCCCATAAAAAGAGGATATTCATAGGTTGCTAGTATTTGATCATGAATTTTTTTGAAGCATTGCTTATGTATGTTGAGATTACATAGTGAGGAATATTGTTATTTAGAATAGGTTACCAGGTAAAGATGACGGATCAGTTAATAAAGTAGTAGATCTTCATTGACTAAGATGTTTGGGAAGTTCATTGTATTTAATCAACCTCTATCTACATTGATACATGATAAAAGATGGTGTAGAAGTACTTACTTACTTACCTGATTACTTACGCCTGTTATGCCTCGTGGAGGAACATAGGCCAACCACCAGCACTAGCCATCCAACACTGTCCTGCACAATCCTTTCCAGCTAACTCCAGTTGCTATCCATCCTTTTCATATCTGATTCTATTTTCCGACGTAATGTGTTCTTTGGCATTCCTCTTTTCCACTTCCCTTCAGGATTCCAAGTTAGGGCTTGCCTCGTGATGCAGTTTGATGATTTCTGTAATGTATATCCTATCCATTTCCAACGTCTTTTCCTAATTTCCTTTTCAGTTGGAATCTGGTTTGTTCTCTCCCATAGAAGGCTATTATTTATTGTATCAGACCGATGGACATTGAGTATCTTGTGTAGACAACTGTTTATAAATACTTGTACATTTTTGATGATGGTTGTAGTAGTTCTTCAAGTTTTAGCTCCATACAGTAGAGCTGTGTTGACGTTCGTATTGAAGATTCGGACTTTGATATTGGTTGACAGACAGTAGTTTTGAGTATAATATGTTCTTCGATTGTGGGAATGCGGCCCTGGCTTTGCCAATCCTCGTCTTTACGTCTGCATCTGATCTTCCTTTTTCATTGATGATGCTTCTAAGGTACGTGAAGGATTCTACATTTTCCAGAGTTTCACCATCAAGTGTGATTGGATTGATGTTCTCCGTGTTGTAATTGATGACCTTGGTTTTCCTTTCGTGTATGTTGAGGCCTACTGATGTACAGACCGCTGCTACACTGGACGTCTTTATCTGCATTTGTTCGTGTGCATTGGATAGGAAGGTCAGGTCATCTGTGAAGTCCAAATCGTCTAATTAGTTCTGAGCCGTTCATTGTATTCCGTGTTTTCCTTCAGATGTCGAGGTCTTCATAATCCAGTCGACCACCAGACTTACTTACTTGCGCCTGGTGGAAAAGTTTGCTAAAAGAAAACTAGCAATAATCATACTAAGATCTGCGATTAGTTCGTAAAGTTATTGACTACTGAAGAAAGCTGTATCAGTATTTATTATGAAACAGATCACTTACAAATCATACAACAAAAAGTTTATGGTTAATATTTTACCTTGGATTTCGACGAAATAATTGAGAAATTAAACTTCTTATTTCATAACTATATTTTGATGAAACCGGTGGATAGGTTCCACTAAAATAATTAATTAAGATAAAATAATTTATTTATATAACTATCATACCGAATAATTTTCAATACTAAATTCTTCATATTACCGGCTTCAAACTAGAAACAATCATAATAATACCACATAAATAAATAGAAATTACAGCATGTTTTAATGTTGTCATTTCATATAGAACACAACCTAATGCCCATATATCACTTTTATGATCATATGGTTTATTTTCACAAATTTCTGGTGATAAATAATATGGTGTACCAATACATGTACGCGCTAAATCCAATGTATGATTTAATACTTTCGCTATTCCAAAATCACCTAATTTTAAACGGCCTTTAGAAGTAAGAAATACATTCTATAATAAATGTAATTAATGATTAAATAAAACTTACTTGTGTTTTAATATCTCTATGTAAAATCATTCTATCATGTATATGTTTTAATGCTAAACAAATTTGTACAAAATAATCTAAAATCTTATTAAAATATTGATTTATATAGAGAGACAAAAATGTAATAAAGAATAACATTACCAATGATTCTGGCATTAGAACACCATTTTGTTTATTGATTTTAGTGTATAAATCTCCTTGATCACAGTATTCCATTATAATATATAACCAACCAGATTCTATGTTATTTAATAAATAAAATAATAAATTACATAGCAGTCAAACAATACGGATAATTACCTTCAAATGAATCACAATACTGAACTATATTTGGATGATTCATTTTCGACAAGACAGAAACCTAAAAAAAGGAAAGAACTTAAAGTCATTAAATCCGTCTGTGTACATAATATATCTACATGATGGTTAGTTTCATTATCGTTGTAAAGTTCTTTTCATGAGTGAAAGGTTTATTTAGACTCAGAAAGCACAAGACAATTGTTTTGTTCTAGTCTGAAATGTCTCATTGCTATGCATATATTTCCATACACTGAATGATATCTAGGACTATTAAGTCTTGTGTCTGGTGTGGTAGTGCTAATGATTCTTTGCATAGATCAAGTGATTATGAGAAGATATGCATAACAGAGTTGATCCATTTCATCTGAAGGATATACTATCCCCTAATTCTATATTATATATGGTGTTTTGATTAGTTAGATAATTTATCCTTCATTCTTTGCTCTATCAGTAGGATATAAACTGTTCGACAAATATTTATGTTCTAGCCATTAGGATCTCACTTCGAATCAAACTGTATATTTCGAATTATTTTTATAAAGCTTATTCACTATTTTGCTGTTTCTCGTCTATCTTATCAAATTTTAACAATTGAAAATAATTTAGCTATGATTAAAGAGTCAGTTCTAGACCTTTAGCTGGATCTAGTGAGTGTTTCTAGATGTTCAACTTCAATAGTTCAAGTGGTAGGTGACTCAAAGTTCCGCACTTTTGTGTTCGTTTTTGAATTCTTTTTCACTACTGCTTTTTACATTTACGGAAACTAACAGATATGCTACCAGACAGGAGTTTAGTTAGTCGTTTTGACCAGGAATTGAATTCAGAGGAGAATTAAAAAGTGGATGGGGATGGTTTAGTTTTTACCGCAGTGAAAAAGCGCTTACTTGCGGGGAATTCCCCTAGAGTGAGACACTATAGTTTCTGTTGGGTACTCAGATATCAGCATGTAATCCACTTACAATATAATTATCATGATTACCTTCTACTTATCATTTATATATTTTTATTTGTCTGTATTGAAGATCGAAACCTTAGTCAACCCATTCAGCTTATAAAAATTTGCTTAACAATTAATTACTAATCAATAGTTATTTACTTCAAAACAAGTCTTTAAGGTGGATAAAGGCGATTATATGAAGTAAATGTTATTGCGATTTCAGTCCTAGTCCAACGTTAAAGACAGAGGAACGGTTCATAAAATTTAAGTCGTCAAGTTCAATAAAGCGTAAGCTAAAACAGATCAAGATAGTTTCCGAATAAAGAGATTGATCAATAGTACTATTGACCAGTCTCTTCATACATACATGTAAAATCTCATATCGATAACATCTTGTGTAAAAACTTCAAGACAAAACTTGCCTCCTTCCGGGCTTCTTCTCGCTCCTTGAGTGTCATCTACATAGAAAATATCAGCTAGTAGTACTGCATAAAAGTACCTTGCGAATATTGATTTCTTTCATCACTCTATGAATGTTTTCCGATTTCGACAAAACGAGTATGGCTTTTCCGAACGCCCCCTCCCCTATATTCCCAACTTTCTCATATTTCGATAAGTCTGACATGAAGATTTGAAAAGTTTATCCAAATATCTAGCTATTTGAAATAGTTTAACAAACAGTATCGGGACCATGGAAACCGACGTTTATATGACGCGCCATGAATTTGGCTGGTTGCAATGCTCAATTGTTAGGCGGTTTATACCCATGTCGAAAGTGCGTCGGACATTAAAAGACTGTGAATGGCTCAGAGTTTCAAAACATTTAGGAGATGCAGAAACAAGAAAAGTTCGGTTCAACATGCTGATAATTGGAAAAAGAGTCAGTACCAATAAACAATCATACTACCCCTGCTTTAAGGATTTCGGACGATCAGAACACTTGAAAGACCAATCAAGTGACTGACATCACTTCACATCATTAGAAATTTGGAAATCAGTTGATTATGAATTTCAAAATACAAGAGTGTAGATTGCTATAAAAAGTAATTAATTACATTTACAAAGTTAGTCCCATCCTAGTGCGAATCTCTAACGAGAAGTGAAGAAACTGTGAAGGGTTGTATTGAAGCCTTACAAGCACGACAAAGTTAAATTATCATACGCATTTGCTGAATAGATGAACACGATAAGTCAACAATGGTCTTCAATATTTGAATCGTTCTTTCAGTTAATAACTCTCCATGAAATTTCATGTACGTGTAAAGTTAGTGTTGTCCTTATCGGAGTTCACGAACCATCGACGGAAATCAAATTTTAAAATAAGCCGATGAGTGAATTTTTGAAACTTTATGAAACCTCTGTTTTCCTGAAATTAATGCGTGAAAAATTAGACTATGCTACCATATGTGGAGGCTTTATTAATCCCGTATTCTATAGTAGATATCAGGCTCTAATTCTCCCTAACGTAAATCGTAAAACGGAAAACTGCAGATTCACTGTCCTACACTTTAGTGAATGATAAAAAACCATTCGCACACCCGTAGATTTATTTTTGAAAGTAAGGAAATTCTGTTCTTACTTTCTGATAGAAATAATTCAAGAAGCAGCAGCTAAAGACGGTGATATTTCTCCGCCACTTTCATTATTGGAACCTTGTTAAATAAAGTATATAATGTGAAACTGACGATCGAAACCAGATACATAAAGTAAAAGTTTGTAATTGAAAAATCTGTTTCAATTCGTGAATATATATGCGACATAAACTACATGAAATATGATGCAGAGTCTTGACATTTTAGCGGAAATAAATTGCAAGTCGTAAGTCAGTGATAATGGTTGGATCACTGCTAGACAACAATATTTAATTTTGTGAGAAAATAACCAGAAAATTATAACCGGGACTAATGACAACAGTGCTATAAAAATTGTCAAGGGCCAATCTTTGCTTTGAGTGACATTGAACGAATTGTTTTCAAAGATGGAGAAGGATTGGAAAGTTTTGCTGTAAGATCAATCAGATTGACATGCGGAAAGGACTCCCTAAAAATTTTGTCATAAATTTGGTTTATAATGATAATAGCAGGTGAAAGTATTTTGTAAAAGTGATTGGCACAGCTACAAATTTTCCGAATCTGTTGTAGCCAATAGTGCTGTCCATAGACAACTGACCAGGTCTATTTGGTCCGATTGAAAAACTAAAACATATTTTGTTAAGTCGTAAAGTTAAATATAACGTAAACGATTACAACTTTTATGTGTCTTGAGATAAATGTTGTTTGCTTAAAACAGAAAATAGTTTTGGCCCAACTATGGGTTTAATTAAGTGTTATATCTATTACAATACCGAATACTTACATGCTTTTCTCAATAATAATAACTTTTTTATTTCGCTAAGCTTTTAAAAGAGTTGTTGCCATCCTTCAAGCATGATCGTGTTGATATAACAAAACTCTTACATGTTTATTCACTCTGTTGTAGACGTCACAATTTTCTGTCTGATTCGTGCAGTACCCACACCTGGTAATTTTCACTGCATTTTAAGGAACCTTTTGCCAATGCAATAGATTCCCACGTAATTTTCTTTGCATGGTTTATCACAAATTTCTGGATCAAATCGCTACTCAGTATCCTTCAAGTGCTGCAAATATCAACCGTCTACATGAATTTCTATATGTTCCGTATACCAGCTATTGGGCGCTGATTCTCCACTTTCAGCATACGTCAGTCTCATTGGTACGGAAGTAACTCAAAGTACTTTACTTGTAGTGGCAGTGGGCCCTAACTATACAATCTTCAAACCTGAACACGAGACAATTGGGGAAATAGATATTCAACATTTTACGCGGAGAAAAACCTAACGATAGAGAAGGCAGGAACAATGAATTCAATTCACTGGAATTGATCAGATGCCATGGCTCGGCCTTGCAGGCGTATTTATATTAGATATATCGTTCTGTCTCTAGCCTAAGTGTGTTCTTCATCATATACTGATGATTGCTGCGATGCGATGAAGTGGTGTAGATAATTATGTGACTTCCATGTAAGATCTTATGGATTAGGCAGTTACATTATGACAAATCTGCAATTTTAGGATCGGGTCTATTATTAGAGAAGTACTAATATAATTGTAGACCATAATCCAACAAACTTACTGCAACTCATTACTCGGGATATCATTCTGTTTAGTTGTGCTTGATATATTTGTTTTAACTAAGCTGTTTTCTTAATTTTGATGTCCGACTTCTACTTTGCTTCGGTTGAGCGTTTTGCATTTTCAATCTCAAAGTTTAAAAATAAAGGATTACTGCAAAGGTTGTCAATATAATTATTATTGAGATTATTCACATTGTTCGAGGTTAAATTGGGCTTTTTCAAACTAGGATTTTTGATTCCCTTGTTATTTGGATTATAGGTCAGCCGTCTTTTGAGAACAGACTGAAGTTGATGTAACGAAAATCCCTTCGAAGTGTTTTTTAACGAACAGTGCTGTTATTTCTTTGTTCTTTTTCCCTCTTCTATGTTTCAGCTGTCACTCAGTTCTCTTGTAACAATGTTTTGTGTTTTTCAATCTTCTTTCCCTGGACTCTTGTTATTTGGTTCGGGTTAAAGATTCAACCTTATCACACAACGTTTGTGTTGCATGTTCTGGGGCCATTGACAATCACAACCTTTACATGGTGGACAAACGCCGTAAGAGTAGCACATCAAAAATAAGAATCTTACCTTTCAACTTATTTAATTTATCTATACAATGCACCATTATCTTAGAATACGTATTCACTACTACGTCATACACTAGATCTGTGATCAATTATTTACTGACGGTTCTTCTCGGATAACTTTCTCCCTCATTCACTTTATACTCATGTAACGTAACATTCTAGCTTGTAGTTTCCATGAACGAAATTCTTAACTAACCTAGACAGAGCAAAGGGTTGTTAAGAAATGTGAGGTAAAAAATCACTGTGTTCCCTACGTTTGTTACATCAGTAAAAAATTATTTGTCGGAACATTTTCATAACAGCTTAACACAGTAATGTCTTCTTCAAACCGAAGTTAAATATTCCCGAATGATCCAAACTGGAGGTAAATACATCGCCAAGATTACTAAAATTAATCAATCAATCAAATTTCTTACATCGTTTTATTCCATTGTTTTTCCTTTTATCTCTCAAGCCTGTTCATAACTTCGAGATGTCCAAAAGCTCCTCTGAAACTTACTGGCTTCTAATATACCACAGGAGCACCATTATTCATTTTTAACGTCATCACGTTTTCAGTTTATTCGTCAAACGTAAGTTCCCATCTCTTAAGTCTAATGATTGTTTTCTGTAGTCATTTATAATGCCCACACACTTTCAATTTTTTAGATGGTGAATATTCTTTTAGGCGAACGTACGGTGTAACTGATAATTTCAGCCTTTGGTCTAGCTTAAGTTGACTCATGAATTCAATCACTAAAAAAGTACCAATTTCATTGTCACCAACAAGTTCATAATGCAAATTATGTTCCTAATATATAATAATCTATGACTATACCGTCACATACAGTTGCTTTGTAATACTTGTGTAGATCGCCAACCACCGCTGAGTTCTCACAATAACTAAAATATAATACTAGGAACAAGAATAAAGACTTATTAGACTGAATTTTCATGGATAAAAAACGATGTGAATTTATAACTGTTCCACCTGGTCTATCTATCAGCTACTGTTACTCTTTGTGTTAAAAACCTACTTAATAATAAACCATACTGTTATAAGGCTCACAACATTAGGTTGGATATGCGTAAAAAGTATAGAGGCGTTATATTACATGGTATGAAACCCGACAGAATAATACACTACGTACTTGTCTTACAGTCTCACAGAAGTTCAAGGTAAAAGCAGCAAAGGGTATAAATAGGTATGCTTAAGTAATGCATAGAAAATGTATCAACTGTGTTGTTACTACTTGGATACGGATGCACGAAATTCGTAAATTTAAGGGTAAATAGCTGTAATTATTTAGAGACAGTTTGTACAAAAATCAAGTGACGTAGACTTTCAACAATATAAGTAATCAGTTTTAATCTAAATGTGACCTGAGGGAAATGTACTTTGGGCATAGTAACCATACTAAATGACGTAGATGAAAAGTATTTGGTAATTAGAAAAACCTAGTACTTAGGACATGTATTTTAGGAGAAAAGTGAAAAGCTTTGTATAGAGGATTATGCATACAGTACCAAAGTCATAAAATCTGACTTTGAAGCCCTTCTTAGGTACCTACAATATACATTATTCGAAGACGCACATTCAGCGAATAACCTGTATTTCTGAAATAGGGGGGTCATATGTGCCACCAAATAACTTGATGGAGCTCTGTTTTCTACCCCTTCCTTATAAGTACATTCAATAAAAGTGAGTTCGTCGCACGTTATAACAACGAGTTCACCGATACCACAATTGATTTACATGGAAACCTAAGAAGAAGCCTAAAGGTATCATGAAGGTCAGAATGACCATACCGTTGTAGACGGAGATGAGCGGTTATCGCTTAAAGAGCTTTTTTGTCTATTATCAGTGAACCCATGACTTCTTTAGATGAGTAGTTAGTTTAGGAAACAACCAGAAAGGAAGTTTTAACAAATCATAGCTACTTAACGTCTCAAATAATGACACGATTATCCCCAAAAAACTTTTGATTGGCAGCTTGGATCACTTTAAAAGATAGTGAATTCTAATATTTGACTATTTGTCAGACGTAACAAATATATGTACAGTCCATTTTATCGTAGCCTATTTCCAAATTCTGGGTGTTTCCTGTGAGGTCTCTTTTAAGAATGAGCCCAAGCAAGCATTTTAGATAATGCCCAGGAATATCCAAATTTATATAAGCAATTAAATCACCAGCTCTCAGCTATTTATACTCTGTGCTAAAATGCAAGGATTAAAATTCTTCATTATGCAACAATTTCGGTCTTTGATCTGTTTGAATCGCACGCCTGTAGGTGTGTTATAAAGTATTTTTATCCTTTCTGGGTGGCAGAAGAAAATACTATGTTTCTCAGCTGTAAATTGAACAAATAAAAGTATTCAAAATCGAGTGAGGAAAACACTGAGTCGAGATAAAAGAATAATTCGGAAAATTATCCACTATTAGAGTATTAAAAGAAGAAAACGTGCCTAATATATTACAATGCTGACGCATTACTTGGGAGCTGCATCCCACAGCTGAACGTTAACATTGAAGGTAATGAACTTTAGTTTGTTTGTGTTGTGCAAGATTAAAGGGCAACGGAACAGCAGAGAAATCCTGACTACATTAATCATTTACTTTTGTTTTCACCTGGTTGATTATGTGCGTACACTCATGAAGAGGGATGTGACATCTTTGACCTCAAATCAATAACGAAAATGATGTGAGACGTGGTTCCTGAAAAGTGTGCCACGCACTGACCCCCGACTGACTACTTGGGCGGAAAATTATATTGAGCTGCCTAATGAAATGCACGGACACTCATATATATATACCCTTAAGGAGATTAATCCATTTCTTAGCCAATGAGATTCACTTGTCCTTCAGATCACTTCCGATTGCCGTCGATTGACCTTCTCACTAGACTCATTTTGACTATCTTGCGCCATCAGACAATTATTCTGCTCACATTCCTATATGAGAACATTCAGCCACCTACAGAGGTCACATACTATGTCTTTCTTCTCCGGTAGACGATTACAAAGACAAATACCACAACCATAATCATACCAAATTAACCACTGAGTGGTAGGTCTGGATGTCTCTATCGGCTGAACTCTTACCGATTACTTCCGATGTAGCATACACACGTTCATTTGCAAACATAAAATGTGTGGTAAAAATATTGTACCTATGCTAATTTGCTTCTTAGAACGGTCAAAAATCGTTACCATTTTGAAGAGTCTCCCATTTTACGTCCATGTACAGCTTAAATTTACCTATTTTTATAAATATTTTATTTCTAACCTCACATCTTGAGTATTTAGTTCTTATTATTATTTCACATCCTACCTGTTAGTCCGTTACGTAGTGTCGCTACCACTGATTAATTTTTAATCCAGGGGTTGACAACAAGTCCGAAGTCTTTTAACAAGCACCAAGGTCATGATAAGGCTCAAAACGACAATAGATAATGAAACATAAGCTAGGGTGAACAACACAAATCAGTCGACCCAAATGCTAAAACTAAGTACCCATGGTTCATAGTATGACTAGCAAGTAAAAACGAAATCGAAAAAACGTCCTGGACCCACGATAGCGCAGTCTGCTCGAGAGAAAGGTCGCGAAAAGGAAAATTATCTCCCATGCTCGTAACTAGCTAAAACCAGTAACTCAGCATTTTAACTTTCTTCTATGGTAGCTGTGTCCACAGTCTCTGTGATCTTACAGTACCTAAGCAGTAGTACAAGTCTATATCTACTAGATCCCACCGCAAACAAACGATATCAACGCTCATTGGTTTATCAAATCCGTCAAACACAGCCGAACACTCGATTATGATAGCTATAATCCGTGCCCATACACCGACGAACTTTTTCACTGTTGTGAATACTTAGGTTGGAAAAAGAACTGGCAAGAGCATAGCTCACAAAATCTAAAATGGGAGGCGAAGACGTTAGATAAAGCATCCATATTTTATCAAATGCATTAGTGTTGACAGACGGTCTTTGACTGAGAATAGACAGACATATAATTTTCAACGCTTGCAACGGGTACCACTTCAGCAAAACTGTACTTCCTGTATAGAGGCCATAATTGAGAATCGGTACAGTCGAGTAGCTAGACTATCACGGACTGAAACTCAGTAATTACATGAAATCGAACCAAATAAAAAAGCGAGTGCAAATAAAACAAACTAATTTATACAAGCTCTAGATAAAAGTATTGGACACTGTTCAATGCTATTGATTTACTAAGCATTCAGAGATTTTTCAAGTCTCAAGGTTGGTCTGTCCGTTTTCGCATCGTCGTTCGTAATACCGTGTCTATTCTGTTAGTAACTGTACAGTAGTATTAACTTGAAAATTCGTGAAAATTCTTGCTAAAAACTGTCTGGCGTCTTGTTTGCTGCAATCTTGTTCAAATGTTGAGCGAAGGATTCAGACAATATTTCTGATTGGAGCTCCAGGGGTTGTGTTGTAGTTAACTGTTATTTACTTGAAAGTTTAGAAAATTTGTTGCGAAGTTTGATTGAATCTGTCTTCATCGTCTATGAAGCTTTCGACAACACTCCTTTAAGCAAGGTTATCAGATCCAATTTTAAATATTAATACCTTACTCGCTATTTCTCAAGACAGTATATTTTGTGATTACTAGTACTTTTACTGTGGAGCTCATCTTCACTCACGAGAACATCTGTTTGGACTTTTAGTTGTAATGATGTAGTTGGTTGACCTTAGGTTTATATTTGACTGCCTAAAAATATTGGAGTTAGAATACCTACCTCCATAATTTATTTTGGTTGCACGTAGATGTTTTTTAGAGCTCAGCTTTATATTCAGGGGTACCGTTAACCAATTTTGACCAAACTTTAATTTTAAATTTGCGAAAGCCTTTTCCTTATAGTTATTTAAAATGTGTTTACTTTGGATCTTTATGGAGGTCATACTGTGTTTTAAATTCTCTTGCTGTTTAGTGTCTTCTCACCTGTTTACACCATTACAATGCCATTACACATAGTTTTTAAGTACATGTGTGTATGTAAAAGCTAATACGTTGTAGCATTTAAATTCTAATGAATCCATACTTTCAAGCAATCAGTTTTCATATAATATGTGTGCAAGAAAATCGACCCTAAAACCAATTTAAATTCTTATTGAATGAATTGAAAAGGTAAAATGTTTGTGTATCAGTTTTCATCCCGAGTGGAATTGAATAACTTCATATATACAAGTTAAAATGAAGTGCTTTTAGTGTGTTAGTAACTTCTGTTCTTACTGCTAGTTAATCATATGGTAATTGACGTAACATAAAATCTTGGTTAAATATTTTGCATATAAATGTCAGCTTGAATTCTCTCCAGTTTTTCAGTCGTCTATTCTATCCTTAAAAGTATGTTTGGTTGGGATTTTGGGTCTAGTAAGCAAAACGTTCATTCTATCACCCCAGTCTATTTGATATTTTATCATATCAATTAGGCCATTACAACACAAATATCAATTGTATTCACATAGCTTATCGTTTCTGTGAACTTTACATTATCATATACTAAGGCTTTTTTTAGAACGGAATGGTTATTTTTGATTCGCAGTTTTTTTATCATTTGGTATTTAAATGTAGTGGAAAGTATGACCGTAACTTCAGTTTGTTTTAGTTAGTACTTAGTCAAACTTTCCAGTGCTTTTAAATTTTTGGTTACTTATCTTTTCGTAAAGATTTTTCGGTATTTTTAACTTTCAGACATAACGATTTTAAACAGTTATAAACAACAACTAACGATCGTTAGAGTGTCAAGGTGAAGTGCTTTTTAACTTATTGAGATCAATGGTAAATGTTTGTCATATTACCTTATTATCTCCATTGAATTATTAGAATACTCCTAAAAGATCTAACTTTCGAGGAAGATTTTTCAGAGGGAGAAGGTTTCCTTTTAAAGGCAAAGTTCAAAGTGATGGGAGTTATAAACGAAAACCTAATCAAATCAAATCTCCTCGTACATATACCACTAATTCTTCAGAAAATGAATTTTCCCAACTGACGGATTCGTTAGGAATCGATTCTATCCATAGTGGATTCCTTAATCAAAAAGCATTACCACTTGCTTCATTCAACAAAAATTGTCCTTATCCTGGTTGGTTATTATACTTTCCAACTCGATTGTATGAAAATTCATCAAAAGTTTCAGCTTACTCAAAAGTAGGTGTCTTACATTTTATTTTATGCTGTACGTATACTGATAATGCCAGTCGATCGGGATCAGCTCAAAGTCTGGCGTACATTTGTAAAGTTCCAACTCCCCATACCACATCTACACAGAGGGGAAGTTAACAAAATAGATAACAGAACAACTGAATACATACATGACCTCACAGCCCACACACTAATAACTGGAGATTATCAGTTCGAATTGTATATCTGAGATATTTAATCGCTTCAACATACTGGTTGTGCCATCCTTCGCTAACTGAACAAAAAAAAGGAAAATAGATTTTGTGTTCAGATTAGTCGAAATACTCTGAATAATTGTCAATATGCCAGTGTCCGACGTCAGCTTATTAGGAAGTAAGGATACCTCGACAAACAGCAATGGAAAAGGTGACAGACAGAAATCCCTAACATAGAACCTGGAACACATGTGCGTTGGCTTAAGTTGACATACTACATTAGCACGACGAGATAAAAATAATGAAGAAATCGAAATAATTTAGTATCAATGATAAAGAGAGTGGCCGAACATTGAAAATATGGCTTGAAAAGATAGTGTAAATGTATGTGCGAAGGACTACTGCAATTCATGGTCAGAAGGTAGATGGAGAATAAATTCATTGGCACTGTGAACGATTATGAGCCATATCACCTAGTTTCCAACCTCTGACTGTCGCCATAAAGCGGACGTTAATAAGGTAGTCGCCATCTACCAACATGGTTCAGACCAACAGTTAACTTTATGGGATGGTGCGACCTTCTGGTTTGATCGCATCTAGGTTTCTTCCAACTTATTTTGCACTAGCTGGCATCGTTCGTTCCTAATAAGCTCCGTCGGACACTGGCATATTGACAATTATTCAGAGTATTTCGACTAATCTGAACACAAAATCTATTTTCCTTTTTTTTGTTCAGTTAGCGAAGGATGGCACAACCAGTATGTTGAAGCGATTAAATATCTCAGATATACAATTCGAACTGATAATCTCCAGTTATTAGTGAGTGAGCTATGAGGTCACGTTTATTTATTATTTCGACACAAACATTGGTACAAAGAGGCACCAAATATATATGCACCACAATTCATCATCCAATTTCTGTAAGGGCTGAAATACTGACCGGGCGCCCAAACAGGAACAGGCGGTTTCCTTAAGAAGCCACTCCCCGAACCTTTGACCCAGAGGTCTAGACCACAATACAGTGGAGCGACGTAAGGAGACGCAGTCCCACGATAGTCGGTGACCAACAATAGGTTCATACGTCTTTTGTTCCCTCATGATCCTAGAACCCATATGCACTATTGGTTTGGAATCAGGGTTTTCCAACTCCCCTAGATGGATCCTCTATATCCACGAACCCTATTAAAGCGTCGGACATTCTCTTTTTGTCTTCCCAATCTCGGGAACAACACCCCCGTCATGAGAAGGAAATGAGTAGGACTTTGTTGTCAGTGGCTGTTTACGCGTGGCCATGTGAGAACATTTGGAGTGGGTGCGCTGACTCTCGACTGTACCAGGGCATTTTGGGTCTGTTATCCATTCTGTTAACTTCCTCTCAGTGTTGATGTAGTATAAGGAGTTGAAATGTTTCGAATTTACGCCACGCTTTGAATTGTTCGCAACTTAATAACATTCAATTACTTCAATAAATAACTTCTTTGTCATTTTTTTGCCTTCCAGATAACACTTGAATTTATTACTGACTTAATACAAAAATCTGGATATAATCTTCTACTAAATCCTTGTACTGTTGATACTGTATCAAATTTGATTGGAAATGCTCTGGATTGGATAAAAATTGAAACACAGGGTGCTGTACTCATTGACTATTCATCAATTATTCACTCTAAACTATTACAAGATAAATTGCACATAAACAAATGTTTTAATGATAATGTGACAGGGGGTATAGAATGTGCTGAACATTGTGAAATAATATTACGAGCTTTTGGTTTAGCATTACATACTTTATGCTATCGAACAGCTTATCAACACGACTCTGTACCGGATATTTTTAAAGGTATGAACGTAGATTATTTTGAACTAAATTTACTATCGATTATCCTAGTTGTTGACGGAATTTTTGAAAACTTATTTACCGAATAAAGATACCGTGATTTAATTTATGCCAACAAAGATTTGTTTGCTTGTCTCGCAGCTACTATGAGGGTGAGTCCTTATAACTGTCTTTCTAAACTGCGGTAGAGTTAACAGTGGGGATTGAAGCTGCCACTTAGTGACTGAAAGGTATACTCTTTAACCATTAGATTATTGCTCTAATGAGATCGCTTCTTCTTATAAACTAACATCATTTGAAGGGTCATTTGAAACCAGAATACTTTTTGTATGTTTTACGTTTCACTTTTGAACTCTTCAACAATGCAAACCCACAGCCCTACATATTATCAAGTCCATGGTCCACGATAATTTTATATCACTAAATCCTTGGGCAAGCACATACCTATGCACTTGATTTTAAACTATAATACTTCTGTGGTATATGTTAGTGACACTACCTGATTACGGAAACAATTTATATGGAATTCGAGACTACAACTCACTTGTTGGCATAGTAGTAAGCTGTATTTATATTGAATATGATTTTTAATTAATTGGATGGTATTATTAAGCTTAGATTTCATCAATTTTGTTATCTATCATCATGTACCTGCGATTTTACAACAGCCCATGATCTTCCTGAAATCCAATTTGATGTTAAAAATTGTTCATATTTAACTTAAAATATATTATTTTTCCATCCTATATCGTATAGTCAAATCTTTAAACATCTTAAAACGTTGTATGTTGAATATCCTTACGTTTAGTTTGAAACAGTTAGAAAATAAGATCTCAGGTGTCAGATAAGTTATGTATTCCCTTATTCTAATTATTGTGACACACACTTATTATTAATTGCTCATTGTTGTGGATTGTGGCGGGTTTTGGTATGTAAATATATTTACGTTGTGGTCAAGCTAATTACGTGTTCTTGATATGAGTTTTGTTGACGTCCTGTAGAATAGACACTGGGAAGGATCTAGTGTTGATAATCGTTTAAGGTAAATTAACGTCCCATACGTGGAAACTCAACCGTTATATCAATATGATTATTTCTCTGTACTAAATTAAATCAGTCTTGTAGAAACGTATGATCATTCTAATGTCACAGGTCTGACGATTATTTCCCTCTTTCTTTTAACTGTTGTAGTTGAAAATGAATCGATTGGAATGAATACACGTTTACCTGGTTATATTGCTGCACGTATTGTAAATCATTCACCGATTACTCCGTTACGAAAATTACGTGCTCATCATTTAGGACAATTCATATCAGTCAAAGGCATTGTTGTAAGACTTGGTTCAGTAAGTAATTTTGTTGATTAGGTTATTAATTTTTTGATCAAACTATTATTAATTGCAAAAATTTCATTTTGTAATGCTCGAAAGCTTGGTTTGTGATTTTTTTGAAGCCCACCATCAACTAATTGTCAATTTTATTTCAGAGTTGTTGTGTAGAGATCAGCTTTATTCCTTCATGGTATTCGTTACAGATTGAACTCGGTTGAGCTGCTTTCGAAAATCAGGGGGCAGTGATCAGCTTTTTCATTCTATTATGCAACTCCTAAGAACTAGACATTCATAAACTATCCAGAGATTGGACATAATGCCTTACTACGGCCACTTAATCTTTAGACTATTAAATTGATGTAGATCAGTTGATACAGATTTCCAATTGCAATCACTTCCCTATATAACTTGACAAAACAGCTATTCAGTACTCTCTATTTCCCAATGGTAACTCAACTAATATCAGTCCTTAAGAAAACCATAAAACTACAAATTACATCAGTCTCTACAAAAATTCTCAAGCAGAATATGATGGTGTACCCACTGGTGACTGAGTACAACATGAGTTCTTTAGGTTTTGTGGGCGAAATTTCAACAATTTTGCTAGGAGTAAGACAGTAATCAATAATAGCAATGAATAACCGCAACGTGGGTCGATTGGTGGTAGAATTAAATGACCATTATTCGAAGTTAGAGGATCCATCTAGGGGAGTTGGAAAACCCTGATTCCAAACCAATGGTGGATATGGGCTCTAGGATCGTGAGGGAACAAAAGATGTGTGTGTTTTTGTGTTATTACTGTTCAATAATGAATGCGATCAGTCATCGTTGGTACAGGAGCTTCTTGAGTAAACATCTCGGTATATTGCTTGGAGAGTTACAAGTTGATCAAATTTTTAAATAGCGGCTAACAGTGCGTTTCATTTTGCTTGGAACTCATCAGATGGATGTCAATGTTGACATTAAAACTCAAGTACAATGCGCTTCGCTTCAAATGTCAGCCACTTATCCATCAAGCAACTAAATGATGATAGATACACAGCTTATTCGACAGGTATACTTTTTATTATTATTCATAAAAACCAGTAACACTGCGGCTCAGGTACGTTCAGCTGACGAACCCTAAATCGGATGGGATGCATCCTAAATTCTATTGCTGTCTAGTAATTAGGAATATAATTCAACTCGATTACATTTAACTAGTAATTTAATGGTTGGATTCATGAGTCAATTGAAGCTAGACCACCATGGAAAACCTGGAAGCATTGGACGGCCGTTTTGTCCCAGTATTGGACCTCTCAGCCGTGCGTATCTGCGATCTCACCTCTCGAGATTCGAACCCAGGACCTATCGGTCTCGCACGCGAACGCGAGTAGGTCATTTCAAGGTGATTTTCCTAATGAAGTAACAGTTGTACAAACGATGTTTATTCATTTTATTTACCCGTATATATTAACTTTTTTAAATACTACAGTAGTTTAAGATCATGTCTGTTTTCTTTCTGTAAAGACAAGTAAAATGTATTTGTATTTATTTATTTGTCTAGGTTGAACCAGTATGTCATCGTTTAGTGTTTGAATGCTGTCGTTGCGAAATGAAACAAGTATTAATACTACCAGAAAATGGTAATTATGCTATACCAAGTAAATGTCCAACAAAAGATTGTCGATCTAAAAGTTTTGAACCATTATTAAATCATCCTGATACATTAACAATAGACACACAAGTTAGTATTTGACGTACTTTAAGATGAGTTTTTAAAGTTTTATAGTGAGAATTCCATAGCTGGTAGAGTCCAGATATTTTAATAGTGCAATAGGCGTTTACGATGGGGTCGGATGATTATTGAGCCTTGTCATGAGTTGACTGAAGTTGGAGTTTTATCAACAAACCTAGACCCAATGGTTGTTGTTGTAATCTGAGGTATTGGAGATTTGATATTGGTATGGTATGCGCTAATTATCCGGACAGACATAATTAGTACGTATCAAGAATCAGAAGTAGAGTATTCACCAGCAGAAGAATCAAGTATAGGAAAGAGGAAGAAAAACGAAGAACACTCGTGATGACAAAAAGATCAGAAAAATGATGAAGTATATGTGGGACAACTGAAGGAATATATACAAATAATATGTTTAACATATGATTTCCATATTTTACAGGGCCACTATTTGATTTTGCATAGAACAACAAATTGGTTTACCGTACCTGAGTTTCCACTCACTACACTGGTACGGAATCTGTCTACACACGAGCCCAACTAGGGCTACTTGAATGAGAAGACTAAGTGAGAGAAAGGTAGTTTATTAACTAACCAAATTAAGAGATACATGTGCCCATATATATATACTACTTATGTCAATATAAGTAGCACACACCACACTCGTCCCCCCTTTAAAGCAATCGTTCTTGCGGTGGTTCATGATCGCCGTGCCACATTCTTCGTTTCTGCAGTCTGTGCTACGCTCTCCGTCAAAGTGTCGAGTCTGCGGCGCGCTGAACTCCATAGCTCCGTCGACCTGCCGGGGTAACAACATCCGACATCCACCCGGCACCTGAGATGCTTAACACCCGTGCTCCACCGACCTGCTGAGCCATCTACATCTGATGTCCGCCCAGCATCCGCACGTCACACCGCTTCTCTCTGTCAACAGCACCCACTACAACCAACGCCGCCCCGCCCGAACACTCCATTCGACGCCACCTCCCCGCACCAGACTGCCCCAACTAGTACCTTAGCTCCAGGCTCGCAACAACGTTCGCAAAAAAGCACCCCTCCTGGTTGGCAGCGACACCAAATGTAGTGAACAAGAACACGGGTGGGGACAATCGAGTGTATTTAACACAAAATTACAGGACTTGTTAATAAAATCTAACAATCATAAAGTATCAGAATGAGTTTTGTGGAGATTTTAGAAATTTCACAGATTGAAATCATGAGTCAGTTGAAGCTAGACCACCATTGAAAACCTGGAAGCACTGGACGGCCGTTTCGTCCTGGTATGGGACTCCTCAGCAGTGTGCATCCACGATCCCGCACCACGCGGGGCTCGAACCCAGGACCTACTGGCTTCGCGCGCGAGCACTTAACCATTAGACCACTGAGCTTAATTTGCAAAATGTCCATCGCTTGTCTCATAATGACTCAGACTTCATTGTTCTTGCATTTTCATACAAATTGCAATCTGTTCCCATTCTTTACTGTTCGATCCTCTTGTCTCACTACTGCCAGACCTGTTTACGACTAATATCATATACTACTTATGTCGATATAAGTAGCACACATCACAATACTACTCACCATATTACTTCATTATATTTGACTATTTGTAATAAATTTAAGAATGGAGGCAGCTCACACTTATACTTGCATATATTAAATAGAACGGATTTTTACGCTAGCTTATTGTTATTTGATATATTTTTTAAAATTTAATTATTATTTCAAGTAAACTGTATCCTAATGTTTGCCTACATATATAAAATACTTCATTGGAATATTAGTTTTTCATTTATCTAATTTAACATACAACATCCGAAGGCTATCAAACTGAAACATAGTATCAACCTATTAAGTTACTAACTATTGAACTAAGGGATATTGACAGATACAGATTATCGGTAAACGATGGTCAGACCATGAAATTATTGACCTTCATATTGAATTATTTAAAAATCTGTTGACTTCCTGGTTGATCTTTTCGAATTAATCATAATCAATGGTTGCGAATGTTGTAATATATGACCCAAAATTATTTGTAGTGGTGTAAATACGTTTATTCTTCCTCGAACTCTCGAAAATTATATTGTTTCATATAATCTATTCCACGATTTCTTTTTTAAAACTGATGCTGTTATGTCCTCTACTTGATTATGGTAGAATATGTTATACGAATAACGGCACATGATCGTGTAGAACCCCACAATCGCAGATCACAAGACAGAAGAAGCAGGGGAAGTGATTATTGAATAAGAATCAAAAATGTACAGAAAAACATGGGTATTTACAGTTATTAACGTCGGCTCTAACATCGTTATAATTCATCTAATCCACAAGGTGGCAAGTTATGCTACCGTCCAATCGTAACATGTCACGTTGATGTTCCAGAAAGTTCTATCAGCTTCTGATTAGATGAAATCTTTTCGGCTCCTCTAGCGCTTCTGTAAACCTCGTCGTGCTTCCCGGAGCCGTCCCAATAAATGTCAATTTTCCCGGTTGAAATTACGACCTAACTTTAGCTTGACCAACACTGAAAACCCTGAAGCACTGGACGGCATTTTCGTCCCAGTATGGGACTCTTAGACAGTGCACACAAATCCCCCACAGTTATAATATTGCCAATATTTATTTTCCCAGTTGCTATTATTATTATTGTTATTATTATTATTATTTCGAATGCTTCTCATTTTTTACACAAATATTCGAATCCCGCAAGCGGGATCGTGGATACGCACTGTCGAGGAGTCCCAAAATAGGATGAAATGGCCGTCCAGTGTTTCCAGGTTTCCAATGGTGGTCTAACATCAATCGGTTCATGATCTCAATCAAAAACTTAATAATCTCCACAACCCCATACTGTCAAATCGTAAAATTGATTATTTATGAATAAGAACTACACAAACTTGCTTCTATTATCATTGATCTACAAATGATATTCAAACAGTTTATTTTATTTAAATTCAAGATTATTACAATTCAAGAAGCATCATCGGATAATCATGAGATTGATGGAAATCATCGTGATGCATCCAGCTCAAGTGTTACATCAATTGGTCGAAGTGCACGTTGTTTAGCATGTCGACTAGAACGGGATTTAATTGATTCCTGTATTCCAGGTGATGTATTACATTTGACTGGCTTAATTGGTCTCATTAGTTCGGATGGTTTAGGAGCATCATCATCTTCCAATTCTGCCTACTCGTCATCTTGGTCAAGTCGTCGTGGTGCAACAATGTACAGTCTAATTATGAATGTAAATAGTTTGGTCTGTTTAAGTGGCGGGGGTGGTGGACGTAACTCTGGCAGGTTAACTGGCGATGAGAATCAACGTTTGTTGATTTTATCATCGAATGAATCTGAGCAACCTGACAGCCAAATAAAGAGTGATGGTGATATGAGCAAAGTTATATCCAGTTTAGGTAAGTATATTTCTATCCGTTAGTAGGGCATTTCAAGGTTTTTTCCCCAATGAAATAACACTTGTACAAATGATGTGTATTCATTTTATTTGCTCGTATAGATTAACACTTTTCTTCAATTCGTCAGTCTATTTCATCCTAATAATTTGTTCATCATAAATGATTCCGCATCAACACTTTCAGGCATTTATTATTGACTACTGAAATGGGATATAGTAGCCAGAATCTTCCAACTTAAGATGATTCCTAACATTATTCAAATTTCATTCTTTTGTCAGATAAACGAGTGTTTCTATTTAAGAATTAAAATGAACTGATCGGTTAGGATTTATTATTTTCCAAAATAAATTGATCTGAAATACTCTCAATATCTTATTGTCCAAAATATTATACGGAGAATAAAACTGATGTCACATTTATAATTAAATAATGTCATGAAATGTTGCATTGAGTTAAAGAAAACGTGAATTCGTCTCATTCCGACTTATCGACAAGTGTACAGTAATTGTACATTACAATTAAGAAAATGACTAGGGTCCATTTTACGGTATCAGTCATTCAGTCGTACGCATCGTATAATCTGGCACCAGTTCAAGTTTCCATAACCTGTAAGCACAACAAGATGAAAGTGTCAAAATAAATTCCAGAGTAACCGAGGTATTGATAGGTATTAGTGGCAACAGAAAAGATTAAGCATCCATGACATGATTTGAGGTAAATACACTTAATTATTGAAAAAAGAGTTTACAAGGCATTTATAAACTTGGAAACTAAAGGAAGAAAATGAATGAATAAGCCTACGCCATTCCAAACGGTTTCCAGCCATGTCATTCAAAGTCTAACCATTGGTTACGATATTCACGCCGACTCCGAGTAGTTTATACTTACCTAAATGATCCACTCCAAAAGTCAATGTCTTTATGGACTGATGACATGTCTTGCTTTGGTTCGTAAAAAAAACTAAAATGGATCGTTACTTATTATGTATTCTAAAAAAAATGTATGATAACACCTCAAGCCACTTAGCTGTTTGATTTTCACAGACCCATCTAAGTAGTTGTGATGGACCAACAGATAAGAGTTCTATGCATCTATCCATTTATTCTAATCTAAAAATCCAATCTCCTGATCAACATATAATGTAGCACGTGGTATGAAAGCTTTTGACACGGCATTCTTCAAGCATTCCTAGGTTACCCAAGCATACTCTGATCGAACCTCGGCTTGCTTGGATTGTATTGTCACTGAATATGAATAATTCTATGGAGACATCGCTGATTGGACATACAGAAAAGTTATTTGTGCGTTTAAAACACTGAATTATTGTTGTTAATCTGAGCGAAATCACTAGCATACCAATCGTATGCTGTTAATTATTTACGCCTGTTACCCCTCGTGGAGGAGCATAGGCCACTCACAAGCATCCTCCATCCAATTCTACCCTGAAAAATCTCCAGTTTTTTCCAGTTGCTATTCATCCTTCTGATGTCTGCTTCCGATTCCCGATGTAGTGTGTTCTGTGGCCTTCCCATCTTCCGTCTCCCTTCAGGATTCCACGTTAGCAGTTACTTCATGATGCAGCTTGATGAATTTCTCAATGTATGTCCTATCCACCTGTAACGCCTTTTGCTAATTAATTTCCTCTACAGATGGAACCTAGTTTGTTCTCTCCCACAGTAGGTTGTTGCTGATGGCATCCAACCACTTTCACTCCTAGTAGTGAACTCCGCCTGTAACTCTTCTACGATAACTGCTGGTCCCAAGTCTGGGTAAAGGGGGAGGGTTGAGCATGGGGCCAGCAACCCCATTCCTTAGAAAACAACCTTGCTCAAAAAGCTCTAACCAGAAATTCCGTTTATGTTTATTATTTAATGAATTTCGACTCACATTATTATCGTTATTGTTATTACTACTACTATTTAGATAGTGAATTTTCAATGAAAGATTTATATGCAATACGTGAAATAAGTGAGCAACCAAATTTATTCCGTTTACTGGTCTGTTCATTATGTCCTAGTATATGTGGTCGTGGTCTCATTAAAGCTGGCCTAATATTAGCTTTATTTGGTGGAACACAATCCACAACAGATAAAAGTGTGAAACGTCGTATGCGATTAAAACAACATAAACAACAACATGATCGAGATGTTTTGGTCGAAAATAATGATCTGAATTGTGAAAATAACAATGCTCATCGACAAGTAACAAAAAGAAAAAGGAGAAATTCACATGAAATTATTGATCATATCGATGATTCTACATCTTATCGGTTAGGGTTTTTTCAAAATGATAAAAATACCACTTTTGATGGTGATGATGATGAGGAAGAGGACGTGAACAACGATTCCATTGACGATAGTCAATCTGATAATTTATCATTAACTGATGAAAATCAAGAGAATAGTTGTATAAATCAATCTGATAATGATATCCGATTATCAAACTATACAGAATTAAATTATGAATCAAGCTTAGTTCGTCGTTCTGCTTCACATGTACTCATTGTCGGTAGGTGATGTTATTTTCATTTCATTCACGTAAATGCTTTTTTTGTACTTTCTTTCATGGAAATTTATATGAAAATAAGTTTTAATATCTTTGATCAAGTAAATGATTTATTGTTTTCACATCATAACCAGTGATATACATATCTTGGAAATTGTATTGTAAAACAAATGCTACTATCAAGGGCTTCAGGATTAATCTATATTAACACCTGATCTGACCATAGGGAATGAACTAGTTGGGTTCATTGACCACTTTGTCTTGAAACTATTATCTACCTGAGTCATTTAATGAATGATAAAATATTCAAGCGGATTCAAAATCTTAGCCTGCCTTTCATTAGCATACGTCATCTATGCGGTAAGCGTAATGTCTGTTTACTAACCAAAGGGTGAATATATTGTACAGCAGTCCTTTAGGTCTTCCTTTATAGCTGTGAAATATCACTGAACAACCATTTCATCTTCAACAGTGGAAATCCACTAACTCCTCAAGACTCGGACCAAAGACTTTCAGGCCAATACCAGTGGATGGTCGTTGCAAAACATAACAAGCTTACTAAGGTCAGAAATTTGAACTACTTGATGTCAACTTACTGGTTTGAAGGTTTATTGCTTGTTATGTGGACTAAAACTCTTGGATTTGATCTCTGATGATGGGGTCATGGATCTGTACTACTGAGGAGTCTCATATTAGAAAGAGGTAGCTGTCAAACACCTCTTGATATTCAGTAGTTGTTTAACTGGTCAGTCTGTGATATAAAATAATTATTATGGTTGTAGTACTCAGTTTTCATAAGTCATTCATTGGCTAATCAAATCAAAAGTTGGTTATCAAGTCTAATTATTGTCCCCCATATCACAGTCATAGATATTATACAATCCGATACAATAATGTACACCAGATTGAGTTGTCACAGCCTTCATATTTCACCATAGTTAGAGCAAATATGTATTCTAGTGTTAACTTTAGTCTATTCCTCTTATCGCATATTGCAGAATATTCTAGAACCTCCACTTGTAGTGATTGTTATAAGTTTTGCATTTTATTTCTCATTCTGCGTCACCCCTAATTTATGTATTTATTTTCAACTTACACATTAGGTGATCCTGGATTAGGTAAAAGTCAACTACTTCGGGCTGCTGCAAGTTTAGCTCCAAGAGTTTTATATGTATGTGGAAATACAGCGACAGCTGCTGGTTTAACTGTCAGTACAATTCGTGAAGGTAATAATAGCGGTGGGGGATTCGGTTTAGAAGCTGGTGCATTAGTTTTAGCCGATCAGGTATGTTTAATGTTAAATTTGTTGCTTGCTACGATGTGCTAACGAGTTAATTCTGGAAGATATGTTTTGCAGATGACTTTTGTCATGGATTAACTTCAGTTGAGATATCATCATACTATAGAGTTTACAAATCATCTGATTCTTTTCAAAAACAATGAATGATAGTTCTAATGTGTAAAGAAGTTCACGACAACATTTTAAAAATTATATTTCCTCACTGACCTTTACTGTTACCTGACAGACTCACTGATTAAGGTCCGCGTGATTACCGTAACCAATGGATAGAGACTGGGTGACATGACTCAAAATCGTTCGTAATGACAAAGCTGGGTCCATAATTTATCTTCCCCTAAGTTCTTAATTTCCAAATACTTCATAACGTTTTTCCTACCCCAGTAACCTATATTTCCTTCGGTGCATAATCATTTCCATCATCACTAATACCTCTGCTACTCTGAAGTTTCCCGTGACAGTCATCTCGCTGTCTTAATGGAGTATGACAACTCGAACCAGTGTAAACATGTGTCAGGTTCTACGTTGTCTTTGACTAACTGTTCTCGCTTCTAGTTTATTGTTTCTGCTATGTATCCAAGGACCATACTTTTTACTATGTACAGAATTGTTCTGTTTCATTGTCGATCTTTTGTAATATTTGAAACAGTACCCAAATTCGCTGGTACGGTTGAGAGTGTGGAGAATTAGCTCTTTCTCTCGAAATGCTCTCGCATGGCCACGCGTATACAGCCACTGGCAACGAAGTCCCACTCAGTGATTTTTCACGGTGGGAGTGTTGTCTACGAAATTAAGAGGACGAAAAGCGAACGTCCGGCGCCTTAATGGGGTTGGTGGACACGGATATTCCACATAGGGGAGACAGCCGTAATCAACAGTTATAGAATAGAGTTAGTTTGTCTCAGACTCATCCTTTATTTATCTTAGTAATAACAATTTGGAGGATCCACCTAGGGAATTTGGAAAACCCTGATTCCAAACCAATGGTGCACATGGGCTCCAGGATCCTGAAGGAACAAATGGCGTATGGACCAATCGTTGGTCACTGACTATCATGGGACTGCATCTCCTTACGTTGTTTGACTGCCTTGTGGATCAAACCTTTAGATCGAAGGCTCCGGGTGTGGTCCCCTAAGAAAACAACCTGCTTCGGTCTGGGCAGTATTACAGCCCACATGAAAATCAAGTGACTTGTGTGACTCATATGTATTTGGTGTCCCTTTATACCATTATTTATGTGTTCAAATAAATAAATATTTGGAATAATCAATACATGATTATAAATAAATACATTGATAGGTCATTGATTAGTAACATATGCAAAAGAACATCGTGCCAGAACTGAGGAAATATCGGCGATAGATTTTTAGGATTGTTTGAAACGGTTTTTACTTCATAGTTGCCTACTCAAAGTGTAAGAATATTTCTTCTTAAAGGGTTTAAGAAAGAAAATGAGAAATAGTAGTAATACTTCTGTCAACCTGAGTTCTCAAAGAATAGACACTCGAGATCGGTTACATATGTCTATTTTTTGAGCTTTTTTTCGATGTATGAGTTCTCTACTATCCAGACCTTACCTAAATTAACTATTTTTGATCTTGCCAGTCTCCAATCAACCTGATTGAAATGGTAGAATTTCGAGAAAGAACCATTCTAGCCAATGTAGTTCAAATAGATCATCACAGTAGATAAATCTAATTACCGTATCTTGGATGCTATTAGCTATGGTCAAATGTTTATAGGGTGAATCGAAATCTTTCAGAGTTGACGTATATACATACATTATTTATGGAGTTGCTGCTAATTTGAGGGAAAGCTTTCATAGGATAGTTTAGCTTATCTATAAGTTTTTCAGAAGTCAGAGTCATATCATCCTGTTGATAATTGTATTGCATAACATCGGTAGTTGATTATTGAGAGGTGTTCACCTTGATCTCCGCCTGTAGCTGCCGTTCCCAAGCCAGGGCATGCATTCAGCAACCCCATCTCGTATAAAACAACAATGCTAAAGATCGTTAACCATAATAAACTATTTAAACTCTGCCCTGGGAGTTGAAAGATTTTTATTCCGAAGAATTATGACACCTCATGATGGTAGCCGAGTTTCTTCGGCAGTCACAAGGTCGATGCCTCTTCTTACAACCAGAGCAACAATTAATATAGGTACATAGAATGCTCGGATAGTGTGGGAAGCAGGGAGTACCAGTTAAATATCAACGGGAGTGAGGAGATACAACTTGCACTCAAGTTGGACAGAATAAAGGATCATCGGGAGAGAAGCTAATGTACTCTAGTCACGAGGAAGAAAATGCTCAACACACTCAGGGAGTTGCTCTGATGCTGTCTAAAGAGGCACATAAGATCGCTTATAGGATGGGAATCTCATGAATCCGGGATTATCAAAGCATTCTTCAAAACAAAGAAGTAGGGGATCACAATGAATTCTATCCAATGTTGTGCACCCACTAATGATGGCAAGGAAGACGATAGAGATCAGTTCTACGAGAGGCTACAATCGATCATAGCAATGTGTTCCAGGAAAAGACCTGATAATCCTGATGGAAGATCTAAGCGTCAAAGTTGGAATGGACAACAACGGTTATGATGATGTCGTGGGACGACATGCACTTGGAGAAAGGAACGGGAATTTCGAGAGATTTAAAAATCTATGTGTATTCAACAAAATGGCGATAGGCGGCACAATATTCACCCACAAACGCATTCACAAAGTTACGAGAGTCTCACCGGATCACGCTAAAAAGAAGCGGATAGATCATATTTGAATCACTAAGAAGAGTTTATATAGCTTCAGATCACCACCTAGTGGTTGCCATGATGAAACTAAAGCTAAAGAAATACTGGCCAACAGCATTACAAAGTTTTAGTACAGCATTCCTTTGACATACTGTCAAACTCAACGAATTCAAGATAGTTCTCAACAACAGGTTCCAAGCTTCACGAGATCTATTGAAAGAAAAGGAAACTACTATGGAGGACAACTGGAAAGTGGTCAAAAAGTATTAACTTCAACATATCAGAAGGTTCTGAACCGCAACAAGCATCAGCACACAAGAAATGGATCTTTATGGAAACCCTGTCTTAGATTCAAGAAAGGAAAAACAAAATACAGCAATTAATAATAGCCGAACAAGAACAGAGTAAGTCAAGGAACAAACTGAATACACAGAAGCAAACAAGCAAGTGAAGAAAAGCATTATAGCGGACAAGCAAAATATGTTGAAGACCTAGCAACGACAGCCGAAAAAACTGCAAGAAAAGGAAATATGAGACAACTATATGACACGACGAAGAGACTAGCAGGAAAATATGATAAACTAGAGACCGGTCAAAGAAAGTAAGTCAGTCACTGAGATTCAAGAATGAAGGAACAAATGGGTAATACATTTTGAGGAGCTCTTGAATAGACTAGTCCCACCGAATCCACCGGACATCGAAGCAGCACACACAGACCTACCTATAGATTTCACTCGCAACGATTGAAGGCCTCAACATACACAAGGGAAAAAGCAAGATCCTCAAATGCAGCACGGAGAGAAACCAACTCAATCGCACTTGATAGAGAAGCTCCGAAAAAGGTGGAAACTTTCACGTACCTGGACAGCATCATCGATGAACGAGGACGATCTGATGCAGACGTAAATGCGAGGATGGGTAAAGCAAGGACAGCATTCCTACAGTTGAAGAACATATGGAACTCAAAACAACTTTCAACCAGTATCAAAGTGAGAATCTTCAATACGAATGTCAAGGCAGTTCTACTGTACGGAGCTGAAACTTGGAGAATTACAACAACCATCATCAAGAAGATACAAGTATTTATAAATAACTGTCTACGCAAGATACTCAACATCCATTGGCCGGATACCTTCAGCAACAGCCTTTTGTGGGAGAGAACAAACCAACTTCCAGCTGAAGAGGAAATTAGGAAGAGACGATGAAAATGGATATTATTATTATTATTATTATTATTATTATTATTATTATTATTATTATTATTATTATTATTATTATTATTATTATTATTAGCTTTATTCAATATTATAATTTTGGTACAATATAGAATTCTCAGCGCAAAGTATTTCAACAAGTTTCCGTTTCTTTCTTCTTGGTCGGTCCTGGCGATAAATATTGAGGAATCGCCAGTTAGATGTTAGCACTTCAGTGAATGAACAACTGAATAATGTACATTCTTTTCGTTGTACATTGCCAGCAACCATATTGTCTCTTATTGAGTTTTCTGTAACTTTGACAACGAAAGGTTGTACACTTTTCAGAAACGCAGCAGAATAGGTTATGCGATTAATAAACATAATGATATATTTAAACAAACAACAATAGATAACTTGTTAAAATATCTAGATGGCAGGAACAGGTAGCCCAGATGCTCAAGCAGGCCGCCCTGATAATATACACTACGAAAATCGTCAAACTGCATCACGAGACAAGCCTTAACTTGGAATCCTGAAGGAAGGCGGAAAAAGAGGAAGACCAAAAAACACATTACGTCGGGAAATAAAAGCAGATATGGAAAGGATGAATAACAACTGGAAGGAGCTAGAAAGGATTGCCCAGGATAGGGTTGGATGGCGTATGCTGGTGAGCGGCCTATGTTCTTTCACGAGGAGTAACAGGCGTAAGTAAGTAAGTTAGTCGATAGAACATGTACAAAGTCAAGTAAAATTCATATTTTATCTTTACAACATTAATAATTTAATCATATTAGAGTTAGTTAATAATGGAGTACCAAATTCTGTCGACCGAATGCAGTCTTTTTTATATTCACTTTAAACTGTTTCTATCCAGAATTGGGAATACATGATTCCTACAGTCTTCAATTTATATTTATTGTATGTGCTTGTATATATTTGTGTGTTAGTGATTTATGAACACTTCTTTTTTTTCTCCTTTTAAATGTCTAATAATACACATTAAGGGTTGTTGTTGTATTGATGAATTTGACAAGTTAACATGTGATCCAGCTGTACTTCTTGAAGCTATGGAACAACAATCAGTTAGTGTTGCACGTGGTGGTCTCGTAGCAAATTTACCAGCTCGTGCAGCTGTTCTAGCTGCAGCTAACCCTATAAATGGTCATTATGATATAACACGACGGTTAGATGAAAATCTACGTATACCACCAGCTTTATTATCCAGGTAATTTTAAAAAAAATAATGACATGATAAAGCCTTTTTTATGTCCTTATTAATTGTTAACATGGTATGTGTTAAAAACTCCTGTAGATTCATCGGAAAAGTTTTGAGAAGCTGAGAAAAACGCTTGAAGACTTCATCCAGTGGGTATTCAGTAGAACCGTTTTAGAAAGTGTCAGAAAAATGATGGATTATATGTTTGTTCTGACTGGATAATTACAAATTTTGGCGTGTTTTTAGGAGTTTCTAGGATATTGAGGTTATGTTTGAATGAATTAATTAGTTTATTCTGATTAGTGTTTATTCAGCATGATTCTATTTTACGAGATAGGGTTACTGATCCCACACGTAACTCTCCTCATTTATCCAGGATAGGGACCGAAAGTGAATCGCTGGTCAGGGAGTTCAACGTCCAGCTACTAAATCTCAGATTCAAGGCCTGAACAGTTTATCCTAGCATTAAACACCTCAGTAACATGTATCTATAACCTCGTCAAAAATCGAACCCAACATCTACAGTCTTTACAGTTAGCGCTTTACTCACAGATCACCAATGTGTTGGAATCCAACGGTTCACATTTACAACTTTCATTGATTCATGATGTCCCATTATCAACATATGAATGAATATATACTAAAAAAACTGTCATTTTTGTATAGAAAACAGTATGACAATGGGTTACTTGTCGATCGGTTTACAGTGATAACAAATGACTTTTTCCGTATTTTCGACACTTAATTAACTATTATGCTGTAAATTCACCTGTGAAATTATTTTATTTATATATTTATTTTAACACATAGATATTGGTACAAAGAGGCACCAAATACATATGCGCCATACAAATCTCATTCGATGTGTGGCGGCTGTGATACTGCCCGAGTGCCGAAACTGAAGCAGGTGGTTTTCTTAGGGAGCCACTCCCCGAGCCTTCGACCTGGAGATCTAATCCACAAGGCAGTGGAGCATCGTAAGGAGATGCAGTTCATGGAAGCCGGTGACCAACAAATGGTTCATACGTCATTTGTTCCTTCAGGATACTGGAGCCCATGCGCACGATTGGTTTGGGATCCGGTTAAAGTGTCGGACATTCGCTTTTCGTCCTCTCATTTTCGTAAGCAACACCCCCGCCAAGAGAAGGCAGTGAGTAGGACTTCCCTGACAAAGGCTATATACGCGTGGCCATGTGAGAGCATTTCGAGAGGGAGAGCAGACTCTCCACACTTTGGCCGTACCAGGGCATTCGGGGGCTAAGTGTAGTGTCAGGAGTGGTAACTCTAAAGATTTGGCAACAGATAGGCAGTTAGATACTGTTAAATAGAAATTCCATATTCATTCATCATTTTCAGCGTTACTACTACTGTTGTGCTGTATTATCTTATGTATTTCTGTTTCCTTATATTTTCTTCTTAAAAATCAATAAGGTTTGATTTAATATTTGTATTATTGGATCATCCAGATGAAGTGGCTGATCGTCTTCTATCAGAGCATGTTACAGCTGTTCATACTGGGAATTGGAAACCGTCTAGTTTTATGTGTTCTCAAACAACAAATCAACGTGATCGTCATATGAATATTAGTCATAATTGTAATACTGGTGCTGGAGGCAGTGCCATTGTACAAGAGTTTGATTCTAGTATTCCATTAAGTCAACGATTAGAATTGCTTGTTGGTGAAAGAATTGATTATATACCTCCAGTATTATTGCGTAAATATATTATGTACTCTAGAAAATATGTAATGCCATGGTATGTGGATTTTTTTAGAATTCCATTTCAGAAATATACGTTTTATGGTTTATATACTTTTCTATAGTTTTACAGTATAGATTTACCTTACTTAGGTAATCATTGAAAACCAGGAAACATTGTTTAACTGTTTCTTAGTATACAACTCATCAGCCGTGTAAATCCATAACCTCAATTGGGATCAAACTCTAAACCTGTAGACCAATACCAATGCTAGTTGTTCACGCAATATAGTAAATTAACTGAAGCTAAAAATCTAAGCAATTAGATGCAAACTCAATAGTCTAAAGATCAAAACGAACCAGTAGTTCAGTCATCGCTTGTTTTTAATGGTTATTTCAATAATGTCATTTTATGGTTTAAGACTAAAAATTCACTATTACTCACAACCTTTGATCCTAAAATGTACGTTTATTTTTAATGTTTAGTTTTCTTTTGTACGGCATGTATCTTACTGTAGTATGTATCAGTGGATAAATATCATATGTAACCGATTTAGTCCTGAAATATCGGGTAACTATGTTGTAGTCAATACAATTGTAATCATATGGTTACATAATGAACCAATAAGTATAAGTTACTAATAATGAAAAAGAATATGAGTTTAGCTTAGTAAATAAAAAATAATGTAATGATGATGTAATCAAATCAGAGTTATATTATCAAAACAAAGAGAGATCATAATATGGCAAACGATGACTGAATCAATTCAAGTGTGAAGAACACATGAAACTGGTTTCTTTCCTAATCGTTTGTAGCATGTAATCACATCTTTAAAGGTTGTTATGCAACTTCATCAATTAGTTATATCTGTTAGTCATAGATACTTCATTGTGTATGTTCACATTAGTAATTTATTTGATTCAATAATGTTAAATACTACTTAGTTCAATTTATACATATCTCAGTGGTCTAGTGGTTAAGCACTCGCGCGCGAGACTGATAGGTCCTGGGTTCAAATTTGAAACGAGGCAGGATAGTGGGTGTGCACTGCTAAGGAGTCCCACAATAGGACGAAACGGCTGTCTGGTGCTTCCAGGTTTTTCACGGTGGTCTAACTTCAATTGACTCATAATCTCAAACATTGAAATTAATACAATATCCATTAAACCCCTTCTGATACATATCTAACTGTAAATAAATCATGTATAAAGTTGTGTATTCATGTATGATTATGTTAATGTTATTTGAAGGGTCAAATAAATCCTTGTCTATCATTTTTGGTACTTTTATTTATATCATTCAATTTACGGTTTCCAGTTGTAATGTGAAAAAAAGGGTAACTGTCAATTTGGCATTTCGTTAATTAATATATTGTTTTATACAAGTTAACTAGTCTTGCTTTAGGATAGTCTGTAGGGAATGTGGGTTTCTTTAAACTTTCTATTTATTGTTCCCATAACTTCATCGAAGATGTTATGTAAAGAGATTTGTTCAGTTTGTTGGTGTAATTTCGTCACCAATCTATCATCAACTGAGAAACTGTTGAAAACCAATTGACACTGGACAACTCAGTCACTCTTAGTCTGAAAATCCTTAACAGTAAAAATCGATAACCGCAGAGTCTAGCTGAGAAACTGCAGGTCTTCTAGTGGCTAAGATATTTTCAAACCGCTGAACTCAGAGCCTCTCTCGGTGAAATATATAAGGATTCCCAATAATTTTCAAACGGTCCAAAATTTTTCTCATGATATACCAATTTGTAATGAACATTGCCTTCAATATCATTTCACTCATCATGTTCAGAATAATAAATTATTCTTCAATTTTTGGGTCATTGGACTGATTTATTTATTTGAACACAAATGTTGGTACAAGGAAACATCGAATACAAATGTGCCACACACAGGTCACTTGATTTGTGTGGGCTGCAATGTTGACCGGGTACCCGGACCGAAGCAGGTGGTTTCCTTAGGGGGCCACACCCGGAGCCTTCGATCTAAAGGTTTGATCCACAAGGCAGTCAAACAACGTAAGGAGATGCAGTCCCATGATAGTCAGTGACCAAAAATTGGTCCATACGCCATTTGTTCCTTCAGGATCCTGGAGCCCATGTGTACCATTGGTTTGGAATCAGGGTTTTCCAAATTCCCTAGGTGGATCCTCCAAATTGTTATTACTAAGATAAATGAAGGATGAATCTGAGATAAACTAACTCTATTCTATAACTGTTGATTACGGCTGTCTCCCCTAGGTAGAATATCAGTGTCGACCAACCCGGTTAAAGCTCTGAACATTCGTTTTTCGTCGTCTCAATTTTGTAAACAACAACCTCGCCACAAGAAGGCAATGAGTAGAACTTCCCTGACAGTGGTTGTATACGCGTGGGTATCTGAGAACATTTGGAGAGGGAGAGCTGACTCTCCTCACCCTCGGCCATACCAAGGCATTGGACTGAACACTTCATTCAAATCAAATACACGCAAAGTTTAATCTAATATTGATAAAAATATATTCTTCATTCTATATAAGACCTCATCTATTTTAATGTATGAATATATATCTAGTTAGACAATGCCACAAAACCTTAATTGGTTAGTATTTTTAATCTTGCAAGTATTTTTGTTCTCTGTACAGCATCTATTTCCTCGTAGTACAATTTCTGTGTAGATCTTCTACTCGATGTTAAAAAGTTGGAAATTTCAAATAACGGCTAAGAAATCAGTATTGAAATCGATTAAAGTAGAAAACTTGATATTTTCTCAATTTTCTTTAAATTATTCAATAAAAACACACAGTATCTTTATTGATAATAATAAACTTTTTTTTTGATTCAGATGACTTTGTGGAACTATTTAAATTGATTTTTACTTTAACCACCTAATCTTGATTATAGTCTGTATTTCATTATAGTTTGAAATGTCATACTTCAAGTGTAACTTGATGATAATTTTTTTTTGGATGAATAGATTGTGTTTAGAAATGGAATTTAGGACGGCCGTTTCGTCCCATTTAGGAGTAGAACCCCAGTGTATTTTGCTTTAAACATTGAGTGTAATGTTTATACATTATTAATAGGCATTCAGATCAGGACTGTTGACGCGTTGGCATTCGGAGCGAAATTTCCGGGTTCAAGTCCCTGTGTAAAAGCCAATACTGGGATATAGATATATGCCCCCAAATTCCCTGGCATGGCCGAGAGTGGGGAGAGTCCGTTCTCCCTCTCTAAATGCTCTCACACGGCCACGTGTATACAACCTCTGCCAAGGAAGTCCTACTCACTGCCTTCTCTTGTCGGGGGTGTTGTTTACGTAAATGAGAGGACGAAAAGCGAATGTCCGGTGCTTTAACCGGATTCCAAACCAATGGTGCACATGGGCTCCAGTATCCTGAGGGAAAAAATGGCGTATGAACCATTTGTTGGTCACCGGCTTCCATGAACTCCATCTCCTCACTATGCTCCACTGCCTTTTGGGTCAGATCTTTAGTTCAAAAGCCCGGAGGGGTATAGCCCCCTAAGAAAACCACCTGCTTCGGTCTGGGCACCCGGGCAGTATCCCAGCCCATACACAAAGATAATGAAAATGATGATATTTACTGAAAACTCGATTCTTAGTATGGTGCATATATATTTGGTGCCCTCTTGCACCAATATTTATGTGCTCAAATAAATAAATAAAAATATAGATATATCCAACTGATGAATCACAAACAGATCGAAATACACGTTCCAGGCCCTTTTCATAGCCACAATTTATCTATTCAAAAAAATTAATGAGTAAACGGATATATCAGGCGATCCGCACAGGTTACACATAAGCCAACAAGGAATAATCAGGAATTCAGTGCTGAATATCAACTGGATAATTCAATCTCTTTTTAACAATAATATTGATGATAACTCTCAATGCCCTTAAAGGTTTAATCACTCACTCCTCCTGGCAATTTCATCCAGTCACTTATATCCATTTTTCTTTTTGATTTCTAGCCTTTCAAATGAAGCAGCCATAACTCTACGTGATTTTTATTTAGAACTTCGTAAACATCGTCATAGTCGTGATACATTTCCTGTAACTTTACGACAACTCGAATCATTAATTCGTTTAACACAAGCAAGAGCTAGAGCTGAACTACGAGAAGAAGCAACTAAACAGGTAATTAAATCATAAGGTTTTATTAATATTTTCTCCATAGCCAATACATGTGGCTCAATTGTAGATATTCAAATATCATTAACATAATTACTCCCTTTGATAAACTTGGATAATTTAATGTGAAAATGAAGTTTTCCAGAATTGTGTTGTGTGTTTACACAACAAATTTCGAACAATCTTATCACACATATTCTTTTTAAGAAATTATATATAAAAATGCTCTGGTACGACCGAGAGTGGGGAGAGTTAGCTCTCCTTCTCGATATGCTTTTACATGGCCACGCGTATACAGCCACTGACAACAAAGTCCCAGTCACTGCCTTTTCACGGTGGGGGTGTTGTCTACGATATGAAGAGGACGAAAGGCAAACGTCCGGCGCCTTAATGGGGTTGGTGGACACAGATATTCCATCTGGGGGTTTGGAAAACCCTGATTCCAAACATAAGATGTATTTACATTTAATAATGAAAGCAGGCAACAGCGATTAACAACAATACAGGCATGAGATTAAGATAATTTGATAATCGGAACTAGAAGTTTGTGGAGTAAGGTTTCAAATATGTTGCACTAAACACTGTTTGAATTGTGTTTTAATTCACATGATAACTCCTAATATCATATTTCAATTTCTTTAATGGCTTTTTAGTTGTGTAGATTTTCCATTTGAATAATAATAATAATACCATAGAATCAAATTTCACTGAGATCATGAACCAATCGATATTAGGTCACTGTAGGGAGCAATTTCCTAGAGGTTTAATTCTGAGCTATTCTCTAGACCGTCGAATACAGAGTCTTGATTTGGTCAAAGTCAGAACAAGCAAGCTATTTGGCTAGATAAACTTTATCTGTTTCTAAAACATAAATTAACATCGTTAGTGTACAAACAAACAGTACGGTCTATTAACACAGGGAAAAAAACAGACAAATAACATACCGAACAGTAGCCAGAGAATAGGAAAAATGAGTCAACAAGCAAATATTGTTTTACAATGAACATCAAACTGTGATTGGTTAATAAAGAGATACAGTAGCACAAGGTCAAAGGGAGTTAATGTGGTGGTGGGCGTTTTCCTTTATTATTTGTGAGTTCGTCTATCGATCACATTTTACAGTCACCATTGAAAACCTGGAAGCACTTTCCGCCTTTTTAAATCCTATTACGAGACTTCTCAGTATTGTGCGCCCATGATTCCGCAAGTGGGACTCGAATCCAGAACGCTTAACATTTCGACCTCTGAGTCGGCATCCAACGGTATTAATGTCTTACCTCAATCATTCCAAAATCTTGCACAAACCTTCATTCATTACCTGCAGTGGTGTTATAACTTGTGACCTGTGTGCCCTGTTAATGTATAACGTAACGATACCTCCAATTAGAGAGCAGTGAATTATCGATCGGACCAATGACGAGTAAAACCCATGTGAGCAGTCTAGAGTACTTATCGGTCCTGCTTCCTGCCTAGCCCAGCCAGTTAAGTCCAGAACACCAATCTCAGCCTCTGCAGTATGAATCATTTATTTCAAGCATACTGGGTTTATATACCAACCAGACAGACCACACCGTACCGTAAAATGGAAAAATAACATTTGTACAAGAATTAGCCAAATATGGCTGTGAATGAGGGAGGTAGTAATTAATAGACAGGGAATAATTCAAGAATGGTAAATCGTATAATAATAGCTCATAGGTCAAAATAAAGCGTATAATAAAAGGAACATGAATATGAATAGTTTAGTTATTTAACAATTATACGATAAGAATATACGCATAGTACTGGTCCATAAATGGATCCCAAAAGTTACCATTCATTATTCTTATCGGGACATAACAAGTGGATAACTGCTTCACATTCGACATGGTCCAGTGAAATTCAACAATCTCTACAACCGTTTACCGACAAAATAATTTAGTGTTTTTAGCAGATTACAATGAAACGTTTCACTAATCTATCGAGACTGCTTACGAACAGTTTATATCCTCAACTGTTAAGTTCCGTAGTTTATGTGTATGATATTACAGAAAATTCTCATTCGAGACACCTGTGAAAACCAGAGAGCACTGAATAATTGTTTGGTTGTAGTATGGGAATCCTCAGGCCCCCAAATGCCCTGGTACGGCCGAGAGTGGGAAGAGTCCGCTCTCCCTCTCGAAATGCTCCCACATGGCCACGCGTATATAGCCTCTGCCAGGGAAGTCCTACTCACTGCCTTCTCGTGGCGGGGATGTTGTTTACGAAAAGCGGATGTCCGGCGCTTTAACCGGAATCCAAATCAATGGTGCACATGGGCTCCAGTATCCTAAAGGAACAAATGACGTATGAACCATTTGTTGGTCACCGGCCTCCATGAACTGCATCTCCTTACGATGCTCCACTGCCTTGTGGATCAGACCTTCAGGTCGGAGGCTCGGGGAGTGGCCCTCTAAGAGAACCACCTGCTTCAGTTTGGGCACTCGGGCAGTATCACAGCCCCCACACATATCGAATGAGATTTGTGTGGCGCATATATATTTGGTGCCTCTTTGTACCGATATCTGTGTTGAAATAAATAAATAAAATAAATATGGGAATCTCAGACGATGGTTTATATTATTCACTTTCATTGTTGATGAATAGATTAACTGAAATTTTTGAATGTTTTTATCGTGTATGTAGGATGCATTAGATGTCTGTCAATTAATGCAATCGACCGGTTTAGGTAGCGGTTTTATCACTGGTACACCAGCTAATGTAAGTCTTAGTGAAATGAATAATCTACTCAATACAACATTATCAAAACGAATTAATTCGTCATCAACTGGACCAGGCGCTGCTAAACGTCTGTTAGCTGCACTTGAGGTATGTCTTTGTTAATTTCAGTGTAATTTTGATCTTTTTATTCCCATGTGGATTATAATTCAGAGTGTTGAATGATACTAAAACTTAGGATCTAAATGTATATAATGAGTTTATGCATTTTGTACCACTGTGACTAGTTTCAAACCACCAACAGCTTCAAACATGTATCACAATTATCTCGTGGACCTCCGACTTCTAGTGTGAACCTACCAATCTAGTTTGAGTTTTGAAACAGCGAAATCCTTGATATTCTTTTCCTAAATTATTAAATTCAATCATTATCTGATAATAAAAAAATTCCCGAATATTTCTCTCTATTGAACCTGATTGATTTTCTTGGCGGGGTTTTGTGCTAGACCTTAAAAGTTATCGTTATAAGTTAAGCGATGGCTCAGTGGTTAAATGTTTACGAACTTCTGTCACTAAATCGAATCCTGCCTCACCTACCTCCGTTCGGACAACCAAACTCTCTAATAACCTTAGGCTTTAAAAACAGACAGACCAATAAGTGCCTAGTCAGCTTGTTATTGTTATAAAGTATCACTTCCTTTTTATGATAGCTGATAGAAATCTCTATGCGATGATCTTTCTCAGTCTCTTCAGAAAGTTTAAATTGATTTAATTTTGTTCACTTCAAGTCAGTTACGACTGGACACTAGTAGCGCTCTACAGAAATTTACATATAGGCTGAGAAACTGCCCGAACACTCAAATCAATGCAGGCGGTTTTCTTAGGAGGCCATTCCCCAAGCCTTTGATCCACAGGTCTAGTTGACAAGGAAATGAATAGCTTCGGATGATTCTGTTTCGTTTTTGAGGACTAAGTAGGACTTTCTTGGAAGAAATTATAAACACATAGCAGTGTGAAAATATTTCAAGGAGGAAAACGGACTCTCTTTACTGTCGGACATATCACTGCACTTGAAGGGATTGTATAAAGACTAAGTTAATACAATGAGACATTAAACTAATGATTACATACTTATCTCAAGACTTAAAAACCTTAGACTCTACTCTTTGTTTACCGAAAATGTATATTGATTCTCAAATCAGGTATGCGACATATATTGATTTTCATCGGTTCTTCATTGTTTTACAACCCTTCATAGATGACAACATATGAAAGGCATATGATATTTTTCTTCTATCTTAATACGCAGCTATCCTATTCACTTATTTATTTATATTTAGATAACTTCAAAACGTACAAACAGTCGATTATTTACAATGCCAGAAATTAATACTATTGCTAATGATATTCATATTGCTTCAAATTGTATTATGACTTTATTAGATCGATTAAATGAATCCGGTGCAATACTTAAACGTGGCACCAACCTATATAAACTTGTTTAAAACTCATATTTTCTGTGTTGTAATCTCCTTGTTTACTTTTCTTACAGTGTTGACCTGAGTTGATTTCTTGATCTTTTTAGTACGATCGTTATTTATATTCCCTTTTTTTACTTGACAGAAACGCTGTTTTTTTGTTTGTTTCTTCTATCATAATAAAAACACAGTCGTTCCCCAGTTTTGCCATAAAGCAGTCTTCTAAAATTGGACCCAACGGGAACCCATGGTGATCTCATCTCTTTGTCCATATATTTCATTGTTGAAACTAAACTGGACATTAAAGGTACAACGTAACAAAATTTCTTTCAAATTGGTGCAATTTTAGCCGACATCTTTATGGTAAAACTGGGAAACGACCAACCTAGTTCTATGAATAATCGATTTCATCTATGGACGACACATTTGTCATTTGTGACAATAATATTGAATTAGAAGATATCTTACACTCCTTCAACACATGCCACTCTTCTGTGAACCTCACGTTAGAAAGTGAGCGAGGCCAGTCAATCTGTTTTTTCGATTTGCGTCTGATGAGAAGGAGTAACGATTCCTTAAAAAGATCCATATTTAGAAAACAAACACGAAATGGCCAGCTGACCGACTTCTATAGCTGGGTTCCTTTTAGCAGAAAAAGAAATCTTATTCGCTATTCATACTACCGTATATGTAGTATGGAGTGCATTGACGAGGAACTCGCATTCATCAGGAAAACTGATGAGAAATAACTATCCAGACCGCTTCGTAGATAAAAATATGAAAAGAAGTAGTTGTGACAAGGAATCCGGTTTTTGCGTTCCAAAGAAAAACCTCTATATAATTTTGGAATTTAAAGGTGGTCGAGCATGTGATGTAATCAAAAATCGTTTAACGACAGCGATAAAAAGAACACTCTATGCAATAAAACTGCGAATAACGTTCACCAGTAGGAACTTGTTTTCTGTGTCCATATAGGATAAGCTTCCCCGTCTGATCGCCTGTATATGTCTCTACCAGTTCACCTGCTCTTGTGGAGCAAGGTACAATGGCCGTAGCTGGTGCTTTCTTTCAACTCGGCCACGGGAACATGTTCCAGTGTGGTTCTACGAGGGTGAGTGGAAATCAGTTGTATTGAAGTTTGGAGCAAACGACATTGGTTTTTCCGACCCATTTAATTCAACGGCTTGTAGGCCATGTAAAAGACCAGTAGGAAAATTTTTTCGTTTCACTAACTATTATATGAAACACAGGTGAATAAATCCAGAGAAATGTTCATACTGGAAGCAAAAAATCATAAAACTCTTTTCGCGTTATAAAATATCCACAGTTTTCGACTAATTTGAGCTCAGAACATGAATATTGACGTGTAAACCACGTCTATCATTCAGAAGTAAGAGCAGTTTCTATCTGAACATTAAGGGCTTACTATTTACAAAATATTCAGCTCCAAAACCCACAAGGAATGAAGAGTTTTGCGTACTAGCGTCTTAATAAAACAGAAGTGGTATTTTGCAAAATATAAATATATACAAGCGGAATATTTGACGTAGGATAATAAGAAAGGAATCATTATGCCGAAAATCTAGTTCAATCATGACATGCACTAACTAAAATAGCGGTGATAGTGTAGCCCGATGCCATGCTAGATAGTTTTCTGGTGAAACATTGTTGTAGATTCTGTATACAAAATACTCTCCAAGATTCTTCTGCAAGACAAAAAGCTTTTATTTCCCATGTGTCACCTTATCGTTGGCTCAGTATAGCCGGATTCATTTTAAGTTGTCGTGAGGTGGCGATACTGTAGCGTCTTCACTACTGAAAGTATTCCATGATTATTCTTATATTAGGCATCCTGTATAGTGACTGGATGGTAGTAGATTTTCACAGATAAGTGTTAAAATATTTGTAGAAATACAATTTTTTGATTATGAAAATGCGTAGAAGATCAAATCAGCATTTAGTGTCTTAAAATCATCTTTATCACAAGTTATTGAGTGTTAGTTTAAATGCTTGTGAGGAGAACAAGGAAAACTCGATTAAAGAATGGGTGGTGTCCATATAGGTGAAATCACCACCCACTGTTATGACAACTGAGCAACTCTTATTGCTTAACATTTCCTAGACACTTGGATTCACTCAACAGGTCCCGGAATCAGAAAACGATTGAGCAGGAACGTAATTCCAAACAAACTAGGTCGAATAGAAGTAGGAGTCACAGAAAAAAAAGCGTTAGCATATTAGTAGTTTTACACAAGATTCTAGAGTCCTTGCCAAGTATCCGCGAGGGCTGATTGGCTAAGGAGTGGCCAGTCAGCGCGTTGAAACAACCCTGTACGGAGTATGTCGTAACCCAATCTCTATCCTACTAACACCAACTTTTTGAGCAGGTTCGTAGGGTCTGGTGCTAGGGTCTACTCGCAATCACGTGACTGGTGCGTGCTTTCGGTTGTTCCACCTAGGAAATAAGAGTAGTATCGCTCTTTGCTTGCACAGAGACTGGCTTGTATGTCTTAGGGGTTCTGATTTCAAGGGTGTCCAGCAGAACACGTGTTATTCTGTGTCGGGTCTCGTTGCAAGAGGTCGAAGTTGCTTTCTGTCAGTTAGCATGACGCACCCAAGCTTCTGAGCCAACTGATAAGCCGCATTCCCTTCTCTTTGCCCCACCCAACCATCTATTGGCGTAGGACGTCCGTAGCAAGTACTTTCTGACCCATAGAGAACAATCGTCTTTGTACTCCATGACGTCGATTGGATTGGTTCCACACCGATATATTCCTTCCAGATTCAAGAGTTGACATCGGAAGGATGTCACCGGAATGTGTTAGCATTTTTCTGCCACTTAAAGCTTCTTTTGGAAAGACTGTAAAGGTATCGATTGCTTGCTATATAATCTTCGGAGCTGAACATAAGATAACTAAGGAAATTCACACTCAATATTTAACACGTAGAGGTCAAAAACAGTGAACGCGGGAATAAATTATCGATATGGCATGGCTCGGCCGTGCTAGCGTGGTCAACCTATGTGACTTCTTGCTTTTTTGTTGAATATATTACTCTCTTTTCAGCCTAAGTGTGGTCTTCAGAAGCGCGAAACGCCGTATTGGTGATTGTCACGGTGGGATGAGACACTGCAGAGCATACTGTGACTTCCACGTATGATCTCATAAATTACGTAGTCACATCATGACAAATCTACGATTTTGGGATAAGGCCTATTATAAGAGTAGCTAAGATAAATGTACTAATATTAAACTAGACTGTAATTCAAAAAGACCTCGTTAATTGTCTGAGGCTTCGGTGGAGAACGACAGACGAGCAAAAACCTTTCCAAAATCTCTTCCACAGTCCCCTCCTATTTTAATTGTTGCAGAGTATTTTTAAATGTACAAATAAAATATTTTATATAGCCCTTGGATTTAGGAATTAATGGAGGTGCTCAGACATGATTTATTCCGTTCTGTCGACAAAATGTCGAGAAAATAGATGTAAACTGTATTACATTGTCACTGATTATTAATTTTGCAACTCTGAAACAATTAAATCGTTGATGTAGTTTTCTAACAGTTCAGATTGCATCAAAGGAGTAAAGTATTAAAATACGTTGATAACTATACTTTTTATCGTCTTTCTTCCTTAGTTTGCTCTTTTTCATTTAATGCTAACCACTATGTTATAATGTAAAAATCTGAGCTAGCATGTTATACGTTATCTTAGTATAATAGTGAATTTAATGTAAAATTGGAAATATGAGTATGAATAGCGAGAGTTGGAGAACCTCAGTATAACTGGTTGATTGCCTCATACTTAATTATAAAGAGCCTGAAGCAAACAAAATATACTACTTCACAAATAATGGTGGATTGAAGTCATTGCCTTCACCTTCAATGCGTCCTGGTCAGTAACTCCACCCTCCTTCTGTGATATTAGGCTCAATGAGGTTTATTTTTAGATAAAATATCTCGCATGGTGCTTTATGTTTCACGTCCTGTTATAAAACACTATTTCTGTAAGTACCAGCATGTTCTCGTTAGATGTAAGTTTTATTTTAAAAGATGTGTCTCCAATATACAATCAGCCACATTTCTCTGCATTAAATTCATGCTGAATTGTTTTCATAGAACTACGTACATTGCAGCTGTTGGTTTAACAGATGACTTTAAAGTCGTTAGCGTAAAAGCAGGTCTTACCTGTGTTGAAGCACCTGCATCTATTATTGATGCAGATTGTAAAAAGCAATGGACTCAGGACACTACCCTGCACAGAACCACTAGTTATTGCTCCAGGTGTAGATGTCGTAAAGTTTATTTTAGTTATTTTGTATCTATTCGTGAGAAAAGGCTTAATCCATTTCAATAGGGGGTTAGTAATTCCAAATGACTGAAGTCTGATGCACTTGGTGTCAATATCTGGGGCATGACATTTGTTCCTATTGTGAGCAACCCACTCGCTCAGCAGTTCACATATGACAGTTTAGTCATAATACGTCACACTGTCGTACAGTATGGAGTGGATTTGTGGTCTGTACTCTTTCTTTTGCGCTTTTCTAAGAGACGACACAAGTTTTGAGACTTAGATGAGGTGGTGAGTGACAAAAAGAAGAGGAAATATTCCTGCACTATGAGGAGACAGTACTGCCTCATCATTAGTGGAGGACGACTTGGTAAGGCCAAAGTATTCTCAAACTACTTTGGCAACGTATATACCATAGAAACACCCTTCCCGTCAGTCCATACAAATCCTCCCACACAAACACCGGTCAGCGCAACCATTGAACAACTGGATGTCTTTGGTATGCTAAATAAGCTTGATATAAGGAAGTGCGCGGGACCCTATGAATTGCATTCTAGGCTACTAAAAGAATCATCTAACTTCGTTGCGAACGCTTTATTTATATGCTTTATCCTATCCGTAACCCAGGGTCGTTTACCAAAAGACTGCAAGAAAGCCATAGTTAGTACTGTCTTCAAAACAAGTACAAAAAATAAACCTGAGAATTACCGACCCGTTAGCCTAACTAGTGTGGTTGTCAAAATCTTAGAAAAGGTTATTCGGAAGGAGATGCTTAAGTATATTTGTTGGCGCACAACTAGGAAGTCTTCTATCGACATCATTAGATTGCCTCCAATCCCAACACTTCTTAGCTTGTTTAACAGCCGACTGTGAGGAACTTTGTCAAAAGCTTTGCTGAAGTCGACGTTGGCTACGTCTACAAGCAACTTTTGGTCTTTCAGAGCGCACCAGCTTTCACGAGCCACTAGTAGGTTAGTGAGACAGAAATAACTTACTATAAAGCCATGCTGCTTTTCCGAAGGAATCCGGTTTTCATCGAGATACGTGAACAGCTCCATCCGAATAATCTTTTCTGAGATTTTAACAACCACACTAGTTAGGCCAATGGGTCGGTAATTCACAGGTTTGTTTTTCGTACCTGTTCTGAACACAGAACTTATTGTAGCATT